CCTTTGGGTCATCTTCAGCTCCTGGGAAAATTACAAAACATATGTTGATTGGAAAAAAAATATAATTTAAGATGTAAATATAAATTTTGAACCAAGTATTTCATACTCTATTCTTGTAGTGTCATATTGACAATGTGCAACTAGACGTAAAAGAAAAAAGGAATTACAGTACAGTTTTGTTTTTAATTATTAAGTTATTACCATTTTATGGTAAACAAAGCTAAGTTGTCCTGGGTTCGAATCCCGGCACAGCCCATGGTTTTTAATTGAGAATGGTATGAAAGAAAATATTATAAAGTTGTTTGACCGCTCGTCCGCGACAACCAGCGTGTAGTTGGACGTCTTCCCAACATGAATAAATTTATTTATTTTATATATACAATATTCAAAAAGCATACTGATATACTGTGTGCGTGGTGGCGGACGGACCCAGTCGTCTCCTGCCACCTTGGTATACCGATTATCCTCGGTTTTCTGTCAAATGATTCAGCTTTTCCATATCCCCAATGGTTGGTTTTTGAGCTATTTTTGTCAGTTAATACGCTTATCACTATTATGCTTTACTTTTTCCACTGTCATTTTTCTCTTCACGCTTCAGAACATTCCTTTGCACAGGAAGTAAACTATTTACCTAGAGAAAAATCCGGTTTGTTCGTGAACAGGTCGAAGCTAGTTTTTTTAAATCGAAAGTAATGAACTGAGAGCAAAGCGTCGGAAACAAGCACCTTTTTATTCATGAAACCGTTTATTGCCGCGTACATATCCTTTAATTGTTCTGAATGGAATCAAGGATAAAACGTGACCGGTTGAGACCAACGATTAATAAAGTTGCCTAGTTGCAATTGAATCTAAGAAGCAACTTCGTTTTTAACACCTTCTAGCTCTACTGCTCTGAAATATTACGCTCAAAATGTGTAGTTGTTCATATGTACATATTTATACTAGTATTCTCACTTTTTCCTAGTACGAGCTTTAAAAAAATATTTCAAAAACTAGTGACTTACTTAGCTTTCCTCTTTTAAGAATGGCACCATCCTTTGGTACACAAATGGATCTAGATCACAAGAAGGTACAGGGGCAGGAGTATTTGGACCTGGAACCAAATACTCAGAACCAAAGGGAAAATACACCAATATTTTCCAAGCTGAGATTCATGCAACCAAAATATGTACCCAACTCAACCTAAGTAAAGGGTAAAAAACAAGGATATAGCTATCATGCCAGATAGTCAAGTAGCCATCAACGCTCAAATATCATTAGTTCAAGGATGGTGCTGAACTGCAAAACCGAACTATACATATTAGGTATGCAGAACAAAGTCAGCCTCTGCTGGGTCCCAGGACACATTGGAGTAGAAGGCAACGAGAAAGCGGACACCCTTGCAAGGCAAGGAGCTGCTACACAGCTGACAGGACCTGAACCCTTCTGTGGCATAGAAACCCAACTATTAACGAGTATCTCAGACAGAAGGACAAAAAGAAAATGAGGAAACTATGGAATTCACTCATTGGACACAGACAATCCAAGCATCTTCTAACCAATTTCGGAAGAAAAGAAATTACAGAATGTGTCAAGGGAAGCAGGAATAAACTGTGAATCCTAATAGGATTCCTAACAGGACACTGCAAATTAAACAGACACTTAAAGAAGATTGGAATAATCCAAAATGGCACATGCAGATTCTGCAAAGAGGCAGAAGAGACACAAACAAATTTACTAACAAACTGCGGAGCTACACTAGCCCGCAGGAGGAAATGTTTTGGGATGTATAATGTGACCGTAGAAGAGCTTCAACCATTGAAACCGGGCCTATTAATCAAGTTTCTTGATTAAAAAGGACTCACCAATGTGCTTTAGGCAGAGCTCAGGGGATACAATAGCACTTAAAGGGCGCAATATACTATACCCTGAAATTATCTACATCTACATCTACATCTTACTTAGCTTTACTAACAGGAAATCTTAAAGTCCTTCCTCTACTTTGAGATTTTATTAGATTTATTGTACATATTAGATTACTTTTCACCTCATTGTGCACCCTTTCAATCCACCCGTTGCAGCATAGAAGTGGTTCAGAAAAGATCCGCCCGATAAATTACAAAACAACTGGAGTACAGAGTACACCATAATCATTGCTGCCAGATGTGAAATTGATGATTCTTTGGTACAGAAGGAATCTTTGATTGCATATTATTACATTCCTTAACTAACTGCCTATTACTGCTTAACTGAATTTTCACGTTCCATCTTATTATTCCAGAATTCATACAACATTCTCCATTGATTGTCATAGGGGTTTAAAAACAATTTTTACGCCTGATACTTTACACAACAATTGGAGAATACAGAGATACATCATACTCATCGCTAATGTTGGATCTGAGAGTGACAACTGTTCAGAAAGAAAATTTTTATTGCATATTTTATAGAAATTATTACATTCCTTAACTGATTGCCCATGCCTAACCGAATTAACTTTCATATTCTATCTTATCATTCTAGAATTCATATAACATTCTCCATTCATTGCCACAGAACTAATTATGCCAAATTAGTTACCAAGAACAACAAATATGCTAACTCGTTTAAAAATATAGATATATTTAATTTAAAAAAATGAAAAATGGCAAAAGGAGGGAAAACTCATAAGGTGGGGTTGAGATGGGGAGTTGATGTCCGAGTGGATCGAGGTCACGATAGCTCAGGTGGTAGAGCAGCGGCGTATCTAGCCGAAGATCGTGGGTTCGAATTCCTCTCGTGCCATTAACTTTTTTTCATCTCAACTAAAAACCTTAATTAATTGTAATGTATTAATTGGTCAAGCGGACCACGAAATTAGTGGATATATTTAATGTCAGTTTAAGAAAATTTAAGCATATTTTATTATTAGAAAATTAAATATTGTATCATTAATATACTTAACTAAATATTGATTTTTGTTATAATCAATAATTACTTAATTTTAATTCATGTTTCAAATTGTTTCAATTCATTTTAAATTTAAATTTTTAAAAATACATTTGTAACTGGGAAACCACAAAATAAATGCCAATATAATCTAGTTTAATCTAATTCCATCTTAATCATCTTCATTTATGGTACATGGATTGTATCAATCTTTCCCATTATCATCCCCACAAATTCTCAGTGAAATGTATCTATGATGTTCTGTTGTCTAGGTACTCTAGGAAACTAGGCAATCGGTTCAAACTATACTTTTTTTACTTATAAGGTCTTTGTTTATTGAAACACAAACAATACTGATTATGATGCAACACAAACCATATTTGATAAGATGGTAATTTATAACTTTTTATTATGTTAGTGTTATTGCAATTTACTATTGATAATTTAAAATGGTCAGAGTGATAAAACATTAATTTTGTATAAAGTTTAAAAAAGTTTCATATTTATTTACAACCTAAGATCAAAGCATTCACTGAACAACCAGGAAATAGCAGTAAAAACAATCTAGTCAATTGAACTAGAAACACTGCTATCTCCTATCTCCATTGGAAATATTTATAAAAGGAGAAGAGAAGAAAAGCTTATTTATGCTCCAGAAACTATCAAACTGGATGGGAACTAAATACTTTCAATTAAAAATTAGTTAATAAAATCAGACGCCAATTCTTAGAAATGGGGACTGACTATATAATATCAAAAACACTTTACAACGTCCTATGAAGTCTCATCAGTCTACAAAGGAGAAGATTTTAGGAAGAAATCGGATTCGCTGATTTGGTATACAGCTGACACAAAACAAGTGAAGGAACAGGAATAGGCATTTTCTGTACAAGCCCAAAATATCCAAACAGAAGCAAGTGCACCTTGGTCTTTCAGTCTAAAATACATGCCATTAACATTTGTGTCTTGGAAAATCTTAAAAAAGATTACACTGAGAAAAAAATTCTCATAAGATCAGATATGAAACATTAGTGTGTAAAAAAAACCTGGGGAAACACAACAGCCTGGGTACCAGGACACAAGGGAATTTTTGATAATGAAAAAGCCGACACCCTAGCCAGAGGAGGATGTGCCTTGAACCTATTCTTGGATAAAAACAAACATCCTACATCATGGAATGGATCCAAAAAAGCAAAAGAAGAAGAGATAAACTCTAGAGGTGCTAGGTACAATATGAACAAGACTGTCAAGCTCATTGCTACGGTTAGAGAGGGCGAATGATAGGACTATTTACTGGTCACTGGCATCTGTGGAAACGTGTAAACAACGCGGGCATATTCAACGATAATCCCATTTGTAGATTAAGAAATGAGGAGGAAGAAATGGCCACCATATTCAAATGCTAAGCAACCGCTAGAGACATAACCTATATACAAAGAAAATCCAGAGAAAGGAATTGTAGCAATGACATCAATGATCTAGTACTTCTTAGGAGAAGGATCAAGTCAATTGCAATGAACTAGGAAAGTACAATAAGCCAGAAGGCTGTATTGGGTAGGGAACAAAAACACCCACTTTCTTATATCCATCATCATCTTCAACAAGTCCTGAGCATACTGAGAAGTATTTATATCATACTTCTCACCATATTCATCTATTTATTTCATACAAAATTTGAATTGAAATATTAATTGACAAGAAATTTAATGCAAGCTATGCTTTTATAAGCTTTTAATTAAGCCTTTTTTTTAGGTTATTAGAATTTCAATGGGTGTATTATCAAATACAAAATCAATATCATCTGCAAAACAAAAAGACACAGAATTTAGAGGAATTTTAAATAAGTTGTTATGTACAGTAAGAATAGAATAGGTCCTAAAACTGTACCTTGTGGGGCACCAACTTTTAATTTTAAATCATTACCAAGAATATCATTTATTTTTACAAATTTTTTTTGGTCTTTAGGGCAAGATTAAGTTTACAAAAAAATCATCAATATTCCTACCGATAATGTAAAATGAAATTGACCATTGTTGCTGTGAATATATCTAAAACTTTCACAATGCTCAAGCCCTGATTTTTTTTTTCCGCAGCCATGGAGAGTCCTGTGGCAGATTTCTATTTTGGAAAATGTATATTTGTGACTGGTGGAACTGGGCTGATGGGTAAAGTACTCCTTGAGAAACTTTTGTACTCTTGCCCAGGACTTGATAAGATTTATGTTCTCCTGCGCTCCAAAAGAGGTAAAGGCGCGGATTCACGACTTGAAGACATCATCAAACTACCAGTGAGTCTATTTAAAATAACATTTCAATGTAATAGAGTATGATTTACAGAACAAGAAATTTAATATAATATTTGTTGAACTTTCTAATGAAACTAATTACTATTACAATTATTAAAATGTCAATGTTTTACAATTTCAACTGTATTCTCATATTTGTGACTGAAACAGTAGATTACATATTTCAGCTTTTTGGCAGAATACGAAGAGAGTGCCCACATCAGTTGAATAAACTGGTTGCAATTTCTGGTGATGTAGCAGTGGAAAATCTCGGCTTAAGCCAACAGGACGAAGCGAGACTGATAAATGAAACTAACATTGTGGTCCATGGAGCGGCTTCTTTAAAATTGGACGCCAAACTCAAAGATGCTATAAACATGAACACTGAGGGCACTTTGAGAGTCCTTGAGCTGTCCAAGAAGATGAAGAATCTTGATGTAACACAGCCATTCCTTGTGTATTTCAAAAAATTAACTCTTCTCACATTTATAGGTCGTATTACATCTGTCAACGGCATTTTGTCATGGTGATATTGATGTAATGGAAGAAAAAGTTTACAAGCCTCCACATGACCCAAAAGACATAATTAGACTTACCCACTGGCTTGATGACGCCACGCTTGAAAAGATAGCACCTGAGTAGGTACAATTTGTATTCCTTGTTTCAAGTTTTATGCTCAACTCATTTAGTTTGTATATAGTCTTCTCCAACCCCACCCAAACACTTACACATATTCTAAACGAATAGCTGAAGCACTGGTGGATAGCTATAGCTCAGAACTTCCAGTCTGTATAATCAGACCATCAATTGGTAACACTTTTTGAAAAAGAAATTTAATTGCTTTTTATTTTGTTATAAATCATTCTTTTTAGTAACGCCGGCTTGGAGGGACCCATTGGAAGGCTGGGTGGACAACCTCAACGGGCCAGTGGGTATTATGGTCGGAGGAGGAAAGGGTGTGATTAGAAGTATGCACTGTAATGGTGAATACAACGCAGAAGTGATACCAGTCGACATGGCCATTAGTGGTATTATAGCCATTGCCAGAGATGTTGCTCTACATAAAGACAAGTTTGTCAATTTTTAAAAATTTTATATCAACCGCCAATATAAAAAAATTATTATTTATATAGATTTCAATCGACACCAGTGTACAACCTCACACAAAGTGGAACTCATCCGATAACATGGGGAGAAGTATTGGAACGAGGAAAAATATGTGCTTGGAAAAACCCTTTCGAATGGATGCTTTGGTATCCAAACGGAAATATCTACAAATCAAAGGCAGTGCACAAGATGAATGTCATCTTCTTCCACTGGCTTCCAGCTTATTTCATTGACTTTCTCCTCTTTATATTTGCACAGAAAACATTGCAAGTCCATTTCTTTAGATTTTTAATCTCATTTTTAAATAATTATTTTTATTTATTTTTTTATTAGTATGCTGAAAGTACAAAAAAAGATCCAAGATGGCCTGGAAGTTCTACAATATTTTACAACCAGACAGTGGCAATTCTCAAATGACAATATTTTAAGAATGCGAGAATCTTTGTCACAAAATGATAAAGAAGTTTTCAACTTGGACTTTGAAAGGGTAGAGGTAGACCCTTACTTGACGTCTTGCATTCTCGGAGCAAGGCAGTATTTGCTCAAGGAAGATCTCAAAAGCTTACCTCGATGTCGTAGAAACCTCGCTGTGTAAGTTTGTAAACACTTTTGTAAACATGCTTTACATGCTTGTAACTTTTCAATTTTAATTTTTTAAATACTCTCTTGTAAATGCCTGTAGTTTCCAATAATATCACAATGTTGCCAAACTTTGCCATCTTAAGCGTTATTTTTAATAAAAGAATCTAACAAATATGGAATAAGATTAAGAGATGATTTACTATCATAATAGATCAAAATGAAATCAATAGCTAGTTGAAAACTAATTTGAAGATGCTGAACTGAAGGGTTTTTTGTAAGAAGTTTTAATGTTTTTGTTATTAGACTGTGGTTCCTGGACAAGCTGGTGTCTGTTCTTTTCTACGCTTTTCTCATCTGGATGGTGATCAACTTCTCAGAAGCTACAAAGTCTATTTTGGACACTGTTGTTGACCAGTTTTCATCCCTGCCATTTCTGAGGACTATTTCTCACAAATCTGCCTAAGAATCGGTTGAAATTATTCAACTGGACGATATCGAAAAGTGGAAAATTCATGAGCATGTTAACCAAAGCTTGCTCTTACAAAAATATTATTTTTTTTAAAGAAAACAACGCTAATTTTAAAAAAAATATTATGATTATTATAGAAATAGTTTAAATTGAATTATTACATTTATAGTTTAATGTATTAAAAATTAAGAGGAATTGACCTTCAGAAAATATTATTTACTTTAGGATTATCTAACCCATGTCACTTAGCCGACCCAATCATCAACAGAAAAAAAAACTGTTAAGTTTATTACACACGTTACAATTATAAAACCCCTAACATTTACTTGAATATTAGTTTTTAATATAATTTTAGTATGAAAATAAATTTAATGACCAAAGTGTTTTTTATTATTAAAATATAATTAGAAAACATTCTTTTTTTTTTAATTTCCATTTATTTAAACATGTTCCCTTTTTTTTATTACAAGTGTTTCTTAATCATATCGTACAAGTTAACAATTAAATAATTACCAAATGTTACAATTTCCGTTCTTAACCACCTCGTTCCGGCCCTCCAACACTAAGAATGCAATAAATAACATGATTAAAAAAAAGTGGTCGGGTTGACAGAGCTCTTATGTATCAAGATAGTCAATGGGTGGCCCTCAGAGGATCCTAGAGAAGGAGTGTCATCCTCACTCGGATAAGAATAAGCCATGCGAGGTTGATGCACAGACTTACTTTTGGGCCAAAGCCTGCTTGTGTCCAGCATGCAGAGAAAGGTTTCTCAATGTGTCCCACCTAATTAATGCCTCCATATAGAGAGCATGCAGGAATGCCACCCAATTTGAGAATTGTGCTTGGGAATGTTGCTGTTCCGATTCTTACAGGGTTGTATATAGTAACAAAAGTTGTGTATATACCTAGTTTTTATTGAGAGTAAATGAATTTTTAGAGTGAATGTCTGTGAGCAGATGGTGGAATATTAAGTACCCCATCAACCCTCAATTGTTAGTTGTAAAACGTGTAAAGGATGATGATACAATATCAAGTACTCCACCACTCTTATTTTATGAATGGTATATAAATAGGGATGAATGTATTTAAGAATGAACATGAGTACATATGCGTTTGGATCTAGGAACTGCATGTGCTGGGCCTGAATTGACCTAGCTGTTGAGAGCCCAACCAGTGGCCGGGCGGATAAGACCGAGATCTACCCCCAGACTGCCAACACCCTGGGTGGGTGATTACCGAGACTGCCGGCAGTCAACTGTATATAACAAAAGCTGGAACTGCCTATGGACTGCGAGAAGCTCAACTCAGCACATGTTTGTATATATAAACATACATGTGCAGATTTATGCTTGTATAAATTCAAATTAATTTGTTTTTAATAGCTGACAATTCTGCACCTTCATTGTATTTTTTTAAACTGTAAATGTACGAGCGAGCGTATGCGATGCGTATTTACAGTACAAGGAAAATAATGGAATTTCAATTTAATCATTAAATTAAATTTATTAAAACAATAAACAATATTACAGTAAATGAATTTAATAATGCAGTAAAATAAAGCCTAAATGAAACAATGACCATATAATTCAAATATATGTTCCACAAAACTAGGTTTTTCTCTTGAAATAAATGAATATATTAATTTATACAAGTAAGTTTTAAAAACTCAAATTTTAATTAGAAAAAAAGAGGAATTAATTTATATACAATGTTGTAAACTTTGTTTAAATAACATTTTCTAATTATAAAGGGTATTCAGTAGAAGAAAGTTTTTTGCAAATATAATACTTTAGTTATTTTTTTCCAAAATTCCTAAGTCACTTGAAAATGTATATTTTCCTAAAAAGAGACCTTTCCTCATATCTTCTCTTATTTATTTTTTTCATTCAGTCTTGAATTAATTTTATCAATAAAAATTAAAAGAAAAAACATATCATATACAAATCCAACAAAACATCCAAGGGGTGTATTTTTAGGCACAGTTTTTTTTTTTCTGTAATTTCAGTATTGTAAATTACACCTACACAAGGGCTCTTGCTCTCTCCGTCGTTGTTGCTAATGTTGTTTTTCAGTACCTCCTGAAAAATAAACAGCAAAAAGAAGAAAGCAAGTGTAAGCAGAACAGCAGCTAAAATTTGACCCCTGTATTTACAATTTTGCAGTACAAAAACTGAACTGTAAGCATCAGGAAATCTTTCTGCTATTTCAAATAATTTAAAATGACATTTTTTGGGTATTTAAAACCCAGTTCTTTACTTATACTTTTGGACTAGGCATAAGACAAGCGTAAAATTCTAGGCTTTTTAAATTAATTACATTGTGTGATATACTCATATAAACAATTTTCTAGTTATTTTGTATCATATTAAATAAATAATTTTTTTCTTAAATCCGGTTAAGCTCATTTATTTAAACACCTCTGTTTATTCAATTAAATTTGTTCTCACTTTCTTTCTTACATTCACAATTTAAATTTAAACAACAAAAATACAGGATATTTGAATTAGAAATGAGAAACAATTAAAAAATTTAATATACATTCTTTCTTTTAAATAAATATATATATAAAATTAACAATATTATTAAATATATGTCTGAGCGAACTATAAAGGGGGAAGGGAATCAAATATATATCAGGAGAGAAGTAAGGGAAATTCAGAAGACTAGGCGTTAGTTTTTATCAGTTGATTCTGTCTTATTAATAGTATTCATCGAAAGGCTTGGTGAAGTTACTCGTGAGCATGACTGTTCAGGAGACTGCGGTGCTGTACAATACCCTTCCATGCTTCCATGGCCGTTACCTAAAACACGTTATATTAATTGAAGAGAATTTAAAAACACTTTTTTTCATTTCTCACCTGGCAATAATATTAAAATAAAATTGTATAACACAAATATAAAATAACGAATAAAAAGAAAAAAAAATATTTAAACTTACTAGAAATGATAATTACCAGCATAATTTGTGGTCGATGCGAGATGCCTGCATAAAGCTTCAACCTCTTCTCTATGTTTTTTTTGCAGAGCTTCCAACTCCATTTTTTGCCTAGAACGATTGAAAATGTTAAGAAAGAATAATAATGAGAAATAATGAGAAAAACAAAAACCTGAGCAACAGCGTCCTCAGCTCTTCATTGTTTGTCTCGTTTTTAATCGGTTCCTCTTCAGGTTCCTGGAAAAAAAAAAGTTTTAATGTAAAAAATCTCGACTGACCGAACCCAATTGTTAGTATGAAAAATAGGAAATAAATTAAAAGAATTTCTACAAAGAAAGCTTCCAACCAAATGATTACATTCACAAAACTGCTTCCCCCCTCCAAAACCATAAGAATCTCCTCTTTTCAAAAAAAAACTTACCAAAAACAAATACTACATGCATCTAAAAACCACACAAACTTACCTTCTTCTTGATTAAAAGGATCCTGGAGATTGTACTCAGATTTATTTTACAACTTACAAACTTTAGAACTCTTCAAATAATTTATTATTACAAAAAAAAAACACATGCTGTTTATATTATGTTAAATTACCTAATTATCTTAAAATGGAGTTTTTTTAATGTATATGACTGTTTATTAAATTAGTCTAATATAAAATCTTTTTATTTTAAACCTCTCACTCAATTAGCAGTATTAGATGTAAATAATCAAATGACATACTTTAAATGTGTAAGTTAGTGTTGTTATTCATATTTTCTTTTTAACGAGTGGTTAGAATTCACTTAAACGTTAACACTATAAAGACATTTCTTTGCAATAAATAACAAACATTTGTAAAATATTAACCATTAACCTGATTAAAAAAATTTTTGAAAAACTGTGACAAAATCTTTAACACTATTACCATTTTCTGTACTGACTGACTGTAATGCACTGTTTATTATTTAACATTTTATCATTTTGATATATGTACATTATTTATAGGAAATGTGAAATAAGTTGACATTTTTAAAATATATGAAAATAATTTCAAACTGTATCTTTTTTAATTAAAAACATTAGGAATTATAACCACCCCTAAACAAATAAACAGCAATATTCTAAAGCCAAGAAAGTGTTACGGACTCATGCCCTTAATCCGCCTCCTTTCAAATAGTCTTTTTTTTTCTAATCTGTTTTTTACCTGCTGACTACTGAAGAACCACGGAGTGTATGGAGTCAATTTTCGAGAAGGTATCTCACCAGAGCCGAGGGTCCTCGGCTGCCGCCTCTCTGTGCCATGGCTGCCGCCTCTGCCATCCTTCTGACTCTGAACCACCCCTTTTCGCCTCGAATTCGTCCGGTCTCCAGCAATGTTCCCGTCACTTGGCCAACGCCAGAGTCCACCCTTTTTATTTCATTCAACGGATCGATTCATTCGGTCGGAATCATTTTTAAGAACACTTTTTTTTCTTTGTTCTTAACAATGATTCAAATCTCATCGACTACAGGCATAGTACAACTGCAGTGCAATGGAAAATTGTTCAGCAAAATGTGCACATGTATTAGTATTTGTATGTAAATTGCTTGTTAAAAATATATTTTTTTTTACTTTATATAAATTAATAAATATGAGGTCTTAACACATCAGTGCAGACATGCCACATGGAATCTGTTCAGCCTTAATATTTTTATTAAGGTAAAATTTGTTTGAGCCTGCATGTAGCTTTGTTGTCAATTGTTTTATTACAATAATCTCAGAATCGCAATTTCTTTACTCGTGAATACATAATCATCTCTCTTAATTAAAGCTCCTAGCATTGAGATGCACACATTTGATCAAAAACATTCAGCAGGGTAATGAATATCTAAAGTAATTAAATTGCAGGCTTATTTACTGGTGTTTTAATGTATGTAGTTTGAGGTATTGACATGCGAACCCCTTGTCTTGGTTTTAAAAACTCTAAAAACCTTAAGAATATGGAAAATACTTAACACTCGCACAGCCGTTGTGAGTCTTTCAAAACCTAGATTTTTTTTTTTACTTGTGTGCTTATTTTTTATTTATTTTATTTGTTTATTTAATCTTCCTTCCAATATATTCCACTATTTGGTCTTTCCTAAATGTGAAGTAATTTTCTTTGGAAATTTTGAACAAATATAAAAATAATTATATTAATCCTTGTATGTTTAGCAGTCATAATTGGCCTACTTAATTATTTCAATTCATTATACTTTTTATAACAAATAATTGTTACTGCTCATTTTGTAGATAAAAAGATGCCTACTTTTTTTGGACCTGCCAATCACGGTCCGTGTTATAATTTTTCGAACGATAAAACATTTTAAGTTTACAGTCTACTTTACAGTCAGTACTTTACTCTCAGGTAGGAAAAACGCTTAGCCTCACTACTCCCACCCTAATCTGTTAAGCTTAATATCTTGTTGTTCCATTTATCCCAAAGCTCCCACTTTTCAGTTTGTATTCAGTTTCGGTATAAAACTGAAGCAAAAACTTTTGTTTTTATTTGTGCAGATATTTTGAAAGAATTTTGGAGAGAGAAAGAACAAAACTTTTTTGTCTGTCAGTCAATGTTCTTTCCAAATACCAAATAATTACCAAATATGATAAATACAAGCAATTTATATCTGGTAAACATTGTAGTGACCAAAAAGGAAGTATGTGTAAGTTGTTTAAGAGATTTATAATGTTATAGTTAGGTAATGTAAAATCAAATAATATTAGTAAAATTTTATCACGCCTACATATGAAAATTTTAATAAATAAATATAATAAAACAAAAACACCTTACTATTGTAGTTTTCCATTTAAAAAATTGGGTCTAAAACGACCAACCATGCTTTTTTTTACTGACGGCAATGCAAGTGTTAAGCACAGGAGTTTTTATAATTGTTATTTTCATTAATTTTTTTTTCAATTTTTCTTAGCACATTGTTTTCCTTATAATAAATTATATATTTTCCATTTAATCAAATGTGTGACCCTTAAGAGAATCAACAATAATGCCTAAATAATTTACTGTGCAAAACGGTTTGTTTTAAGTCAATCTAAGAAATTATAAACTAATATTACATCACCACCACATTTTAATTATGTTTAAATAATTGAGTATAATATTTAACAGTAAATATTTAGATTGTAAACTTGTGTATTTGCATTTAATTCATTGTTTATTTTGCATTTATTTGTAATTTATTCATTCATAAAACATTAATATAAACTTACATTTAATCTTTGTTTTAAGCAGGAATATTTTTATTGTGTCAGATTCCCAAATGTAAATAGTTGCTAATACTATGCCATAATCACATTAAAATTAAAATAAATTGCCTTCATATCATTAATAAAATAAAACCACAACCATTTTTTTTAACTCTTTAGAAACATGCATTACCTTTCCTCAATATTTCACTGAGATCACACTTTTGCCTTATGTACAACTGAATTGAAAAAAATAAAACCCATGCGAATGGCAAAGTATTTTAATTGAGTATTACAATCATAAAACCCCTTTTTAAGTTGAAAACATACATGCTTTGTAAAATATTTCAGTAGATATATCCAAGAAAAAAATTAACAACAATAAAATTTACTATTGGTGCTAGAAGTGGAGCATATAGCCATGCAGTCTATTGACAAAATAAAGAAAAAATAAAAAACAGCTAAAAATTCCACTCAAACACCCAATTGCAAACATGTGTAGGAACAAGAAAAAAAATCTTTTTTTAGATATTACTACTCACCGGGAGAGAGGTAGGTGGTTGAACACTGCTTATTGCTCTTTTTGCAATATTGGGACCAGTAGATTGTAACACATCTAAAATAAAAAATAAAAAAGTATAATTATTGTTTTAAATCCTAACCATTATTTTAAATCCATTTAATCAAATTTTTACCAGCAGGAGGAACAGTTTCAGGTACTGAACTGACTTGAAATCTCGACACTTTTCTAACTGGAGCGTGAGAACTGTGTTCACCATCATCCACACCTTCCTAAATATTGGGGAAAAAAATATGATCGTAGTATTTTAACAATAATAATTTAATTAATATAGACAGGAGGCACGTTTTTCAAAGATGTAGAAAACTTTTTTATTAACTTAGAAAACTTTATTTTATTATTATTACAAATTGATTTTGGGGTGTAAGTCCCACAGTAACCTACACACTAATAAACAGCTAACAGGGGGAGTAAACCAAAATTGATTCTCTAATAAAAGAAATAAAATGTAATTTAAAAAAATAGATGTGCTCCCAGGCAAGAGGGTAAACTGCGTCCAAAAACACATACTACGCACACCTACACTGGCACAATACAATAACATCATATACACGCTATGTCCCAAGCAAATAGTTAAAGAGTTGCCCTCGGGCAAGGGCGTCAGAGTCTGCTGGGGGGCTTTTACATGAGCTGAATGACTCCAGGGAAGTCTGAGGGGTGTGGGTGACTGCACACATGAGCCTATCCTTCCTTGTGCTCAGTCCTAGGGGGCTGCCCTGACTTGTGGTTCATCAGCGGCCCGATCCAGGAGTCTTCTCAAAGTCATGGGTAGCCTGATGCAAACTGGGGGAAACATACATACCACACAATACACCCACACTGGCATAAGCACACCATCCGCATATGCCCTACGATTATCGCCCCTAGGGAACTTCTTTCCCACTCTCACAACCTGGGCAAAACCCTAGGGTGAAGCGAGAAGTGAGAGGTGTGCTAATGCATCCTAAGGTGGTAGCCCCACTAGCTGGCTAGGCCATGCAGATTAATATTCCCTATAGCCAAAAAAAAGTTACAAATCCAGAAATAGAAGCTGGAGATCCCAGGAAATAGCAGTTATCCTTCCAATTGTTATGCGTGCGAAATATATGTGTGTGAAATGGAACCTACGCCAAGGAATTTCTCTTAGCATCCTGATAAGCTCGATAGTTGAGGCATGTTGCAATGGCTGTACTCGTCCAGAAAGATCTCGCTGTGTTAACCAAGTCATCCTCTCCACCGAGCCAAGTTCTTGGAACATACTGTAATACAACTGACAATGGTTTGGTATGTGAGTATTGTGAGAGTGCGTCCACTTCATGATGACTCCTGCTACACTGTAGCATTTACAAGGCAGAACAGTATGCAATTTAACATATGCTTGGCTGATTCAAGGCGATGGTGGCTTTACCTACCTAGTCTCACAGACTCACTCAGTATGGTTACTGTGGTCCATGACAGGTTTTCCGTTGACCCTCTTGTAGTGCTTCTGCTGGAGAGATACCACGAATGGAGCGTCCCCCATCGATTCTCAATTAGGTTGGTTGTATATGTGTAAAGGGGGATGGAGGAATTTCGAGTACTCCACTACCCGAATTGAATGAATATGTAAATAGGAAAGAACGTGGAATAGAAAGAAAATATGGATATGGAACTGTATGTATTGGGTGCTGATTGACTTGGCTGTCACAGCACCCTCCCCCTCTCCGGAGTACAACCTCGGTGGCTGGACAGATATGACTGAGCTATGTCACTGGACTGCCAACACTGGGTGATTCTCGAGTCTGCCGGCAGTTTATTGTAAATAATAAAAGCTGGAACTATTAGTGGACTATGAAAAGCGAATAGACTCAGCTCGGCACATGCTTGTATGTACGTACATGTGCAGATTTGAGCATATATAAATCGAAATATTTAAAAAAAAAAATCGAAATGTGTTCATCTATGAAAAATATGCCTTCTGTTGAATATGTTAGTGGAAAATAATAATTTTACAATTTAAATTATTACACCAAGTCAACTTACAGTTAGATGTAAAGAAAACTGAGAACTATTTGAGCCACCTTCACGTTTATATCCACTACTCAGCTTGGCCAACTCCTAAAATACAATCCTATGTTAAAATTAAGATACTGATTAGGTATAGAGAGATTTTTAGTAAGTAAAATAATTGCCTGTTCAAGATTTTGGAGGTCAGATGGTGGATTTTTTTTAGTTTTGTCTTCTTTCGATACTGGCGAGCCCACAATTGATTCAACACAACTTGGAAAATTCTTTAAAATAAACAATAAAATAATCTTTTGAGTGTAAAAATATATTTAAAATTTGTAAATTTACCGAAGTCACCATTTTTCCTTCAGCGACCATTGTGTCCTCACATTTGATTTCTGCTTCTGAAAAATATTATTTCTTAAATACTTAATAAATATATTTATTTTGTTTTTAATTGTTTTTGTTCTAAAGATTGCTCCTTTTTAAAAATTTTATAGGTTACTTTTTTTGATAAGAAAAGTTACAAAAACTTTATATAAAGGATATGGTTCTGTTTGCAATGATCAGGAGCATTAAATGTTCATCATCTGGTTGAAGAATTATAAACAAATCCCTTGGTGTGAACTGTAGGAGAGACTTGTAAATCCACCACCAATGCGACGTTACAATGAGAAGCTGGTTTTTCATGCCCCTCAATTTTGAGCATGCAAAAAACATGAATTACAACACCACATTCCAACTTCTCATTGGAGTGTCGTGTTGACAGTGGATTTACAAGTCATTGTAATTCTTCAATCTGATTTAATGCTCGAAATCCTGATTGTTGCTAACAACAGTTTTGTGAGTAGGTCATAGATTTTTCAAAAAATGATTGGAATAACTCACCCCATCTCAATTATTTCTAAAAGAGTTACAACCAGTTGACTTTTTTAAGTTGTATAATTTCAAGCAGCCCTTCAGCTTACAAAATCTTTACAATAATTCAAGTGCACATATTATTGGTTATGTCCAATGACTTGCCAATAATTGTCGCACCCAAATTATTGTAAAGATTTGTATGCTGAAGGAGAATTAGGGCTGCTTATTTAAAAAAAAAAATTGTGCTTCTGAAAAATATTATTTCTTAAACACTTAATAAATATATTTATTTTGTTTTTAATTGTTTTTGTTCTAAAGATTGCCCCTTTTTAAATTTTAATAGCCAACCCTTATTACCTGCTACTGATAATACTGATGATGTATCAAGTGCTTCGTCACTTGAGGGCCCTCCACTATGCCCATGGACTGTATTTTGTGGGGAAGCTCCAGACTGGAAGCACAACCATTTTTTTACAATAACTCACTGACGGAATGTGAATCTTGTACTTACAATTGCATGTCCTCCTGCCATTGATATCGAAGCAAGTTTCTGCTGCAGAGTGTGCATGTAGGTATCATACGAGGACTGAGCATGTGGTGTGGCCGGGTGGGACGGTGGCGTCCCTCCCAGCGAAAGCTCACATGGCTGGCAAGTCAGCTGCACTAGCTTTTGGTGCAAATCTGCAATAGTCACTGGGCCACTGAAAGTTTTTATATATACAATATTAATAATTCTTTTCTTATAATTATACGTTATATAGCTTTTACAAGATGGTAATTATGCATGTTGCTATTCAGCAACAATAGCTAAGTTATTCAATAATTCTAGTTCGGTCAGAGAAAGCCCTGATCCTTTGTCAGGCCTCCCTGGTACTTAAGTGATAAAGTACGAGAATACTCTCCACATACTTCGCAAGGGATTCCCTTTTGACTTGAGAAAGTATACGTCTCTCCCTGGTTCTTTTAATTTTGTATGTAATCAAATTATCCTCCATCAGGTGTCTTCTAAAGCGCCAAAAAACCCACTTCTTCTCCACATACACTCGAGTGTAGTCCTCGCTCCGCCACGGTACTGGTCTACAGGTCAACCCATGAGGCCAAAGGTCCATCGATAAGCCTGTGGCGCAGTTGATCTTCTCAATAATGAGTTGAAGATCTCTGTTGACATTCCCTGTGAGGGTAGGAAACATCAGCGGCCAAGATAAAGTGGCCAATTTGCTTGCTTCAAGACCCACCTAGCCAGAACACGGTACATCTCCCTCGCAACTGAACTCCCAGGATGGGAAGTGGTTACTCAAGTGGAGATTCCCACATGGAGTCCACTCTACCATAGTTGCCAGGGATAGTAAGGCAAACAGGTCAATTTTGCTAATCTTCCTGTGCTAAAATCAATAAACGGTGCTGTTGTTTAGGAAGACCATTCCTGTTTCTCCAATTAGGTCTGCCCCTAGAATCGGTGCGCTGTGACCCCTACTAGGTGTTGTGTGCATTGAAATCGCCCAACACCATAATCGGTTGTGGAAGATGCTTGATCAGGGCAGAAACCTCACTGCTGTGTAATAATCCATCTGGCAGAAGGTACATAGAGCACAGTGTGAAGCTTATCAGCATTGCCACTTCGAATGCAATAGCCTGGATGTTTGTATTCAATCTCACCTCATGCACATTTATTTATTATTATTAGTATATATGGAGCCAAGGCGTTGCACCCTTCAATTAGGTGGGACTCATTGAGCAACCCTTCTCTACATACCGGAAGCTGTATGCTGAGATGTGGGAAAAGTTCAATTTATTTCAAGTATTAATTATTTTAAATTATTAGTATTTATTTTTCAAGTTGGTACTGATATCGCCTAGCATTTTCAAGCTCGACAACTTTTTTTAATTTATCAAAGCTGGGTACTTTTATACCAGAACAACATTTACCATTTCAACTTGAATGAAATAATCTTGAATCTATTGCCTAATCATTAATAACCTACATAAAAATCTCTCCTTTGAACTTTTAATTTTAAATGGTCAAAAAAGACACCATCAATTTCAATGATATACAGTGATTTCTTATGTTATTTTCAATTTGCCAAGAAGAGAATTTTGTAAGATTTCAGACATTAGTCCTACTGTAATAAGGTTCCTGTATTTCATATCCAAGAAATATCTTATGTACTGACAATGTTCAATACCAAATTAGAAAATTTGAGAGGCCTCAGGTAAAAAACAAAATTTTCTTTAATTTGTTTTCTTGTTTTACTTGTTTCAGCAAAAGGATTCCTAACCATCTAATTAGAGCTGTACTGAATTCAGGTGTTGTAAAGTTTTTGTGAACAAAGTAACAAATTAAAGCATTAATTTCTTTAAAATGCCAAAAACCATTATTACACATATTAATGATGAATTTAAAATAAGCACTAACCTGTTACTACTATCAAGAGAATTATGATGTGAAAGTTTTGTGTGTGTGTTTATATCTGTGTCCCCAGAGCCCATATCTCCATCACCTCCACCTCCATTTTCCTCAGCTTCTACTAAAATAGAAAGAATTATTATACAAAGCAAAATCAGTTTATGTCTGGTTTTAAACTACACACACCAGAAGTTGGTAGATGGTCAGATTCATGGTGCTCAGCAGATTCTAATATTTCTTTTGGCGCAACAACCTAAAATTATATAATTAAATGTATTTTGTTTAAAGAATTTTCATAAGTAATTACAATAAAAAAATTGTTATAATTTATTAAGACACAAGAAAAGAAAGATTAGTCTTCAGTTTTAGCTTCCTTACTTTTGTCGATGATTCAACTACAGGGCTAACTAAAAACCTAGATATTTTTCTCATCTGGAAAAGAAAAAAAGAAAAAACATGAACAAAACGAACAAAATTGAACTCAAAGAGGTTTGAAAAAACACATAGGTGGAAGACATATTTCACTGATTAAAAATAAAACAGAACAAAGTAAATGTAAAAGCTTTTGGAAAATGAATTTAGATAAAACAAGATTTACACATTTGTACCAAAATAAACAATTTCATCGATACATCGCACAAATTACACTCTTTCATATAAATTATCATTCATGTAACTTAATGATACTGAAATTCTACAAGTGCTAGACCCAAGAATTTGTCATATTTTATTAGCACTGTTTTACAATTCATTTCTTAAATTAAAAATATCTTACCATCTATTTCAACCTATTATTTTTTGGCATATTTATTGATAAATATGTTGTGGTTTTTAGGTGCTTAATAATGTAATGTACATCTATATGTATATGTAATTTACATCAAATTTAATTAATCTTTTTGTTAACTTGTTTATGTTTATACATATCAGGAAAATTCTAACTGTAATGTTTGAAGATGTTATTGTCTTATAAATATGTCAGTTGGCCAAATAAGGGGTGCCAAATATTCATTATTTATCTTTATTACTTGTTCATTTTAAATTACCTACGTTTATTACCAAAACCTTGTACATGCAAAAAATAAGCACGAACTTCAACAAATTTAAAAATAAAATCTGAAGTTTGGAACAAGCACAATCATTTATAATCCATAACCAAGTGAAATTAAAGTCAAATAGAAACAGAATGAAATAAATACTTTATAACAGAACGAATGATGAGAGGATAAAAAAAAAATAGATATTGACAACCCATAGACCATTTTGCGACCCATATAAATTTCAAATTGAAACCCAGAACCAATTAAAGCAGAATTAACAATGATAAAAATTTTCTAAAGCGGATTTTAAAAAAATAGGGAAACATTGCAACCAACATATGTCACAGAAAAGCAATACACAGTGGCAAGGCTAAATTCTGCAATGTTTCAAACATTAAAAGACTAAAGCTCATGAGCAATGATTATACGAAGAAAAAAGTCCATGAAACCAACCTATGACAAGGGAAAAAATTACAGATGGAATAAGCATCAGGACGATTTGAGATTATATTAAGCCGTCTTGCAAAATAAAATAAAATGGTAGTACAAACTGATTAAGATTAAGTACCTTTTGTTTATAATTTCTCGTTAAATTATTTATTTTGTTGACTTCCCATGGTTTATTTAACATTTAAACTTTATCTTTTCATTAAAAAAAAGCTAATAAAATAAATTCACCAGTTTTTATACATTCAGACACAAGACTAAATTTCATTTTGTTTGTAAGAACTTGACAAGAGTATTGGAAATATGAAATTCATGCTGGTACAATATACTAATTTTTTTTTTAAATATTCTTCTGACTACAACAAACTTCACACTTATTAGATGTAGAGTGAGTCCATAAATGTCTAAAACTGTAAAATTGGTATACATCAATCATAAAATTTATTAACAACTGAATCTTTCAACAAAAGATCCAGTGTGCCTAAAAACAAAAAATATTGACCCTACCTAAATGGTCAACTCATGTTTGACACATTAAGCATCATCCTCAAATCAATGTATGAACTTGGCAAAATTATTTGTATATTTTTTGTTTGTTTTTTGTCAGTTTTAAGAAATCAGGCCTGATTAAACAACCTAAAGAATGACAGACTGGATTTATACCTCTATCTGGCTTCATATAGGTTTAGCTATGGAATTTATAAATAATAATGCTTTTCATAAATAAATTTGAAAAACAGTTGTCTTGTTTCAACACTACTCTTTCAGCATCTTATTATAATTAATTAAATTCAACAGAAGAAGACGATATATACAATATATATATTTTTATTTGTTTAATAAAACACGCCCCAACTCCACAAATCCCCAATTTAGTTAGGTTTCATATTTTGTTAAGAAAAAATGAAGTAGCATGTAAATGCTTAGAATTAAGCCAATTACCATTTACTGATATTGTTATTAAAAATCAATATGTTTGGACATTCTGGGTCTAACACAAGATAAAGCAGTTATTGGAAAGATATCAATAAAACTCATTCGCAAAAAAAAATTATATAGTAATAATAAAAGTTAATGAGTTAGTTTAATGTACATACAGGGGTACTGTTGGGGCTTGAACTTGAGACGTTCGTATCCAGCTCTGATGGAGGACTTTCATCTTTCTGCAAAAACCACACACACACCACATATATGGTTTAGTTAAAGTGCCACCAAACCTTATCTTATTTGAATTTTGATTTAATAATAAAATTGAAATAAAATAAAAAATCACCAATTTCATGCTTGAATGTGCTCTAGAGTACTAGAGCGCAGTCACAACAATTCATAAATATCAAAAAGCTTCTTTTCTTTTTTTAATTCTTGTTTTAATATAATATTTACGAATAAGATAGTCTTTTGACACTAATAACTCCTAGAAAAATATGACTGCCACCTCTACATCTTTTTTAAAGTAAGTAGCTAAACAAAATTTACACTAGTACAATGAAGGCAACCTTTGTAACACGGTTATTTTTGTTAAGGACGGTCCAATCTAAAAGGCTGGAATGACATGTAAACTTTATATGAGTGTAAGTCTGATTTTGAAATTTTAAAACTTCAAACAAAAAATTCTACTAAGGCTTCAACCAAATCTTTATGTTAAAGTACTATTCAACAAGAAGCATGTGTATATAATTAATTATAAATTTTTTAAACACAGAATATAACTATTCAACAGGCTTAAGAATAATGGTAACACAAATAATATCATTAGAAATAAACAGAAACTGACTATATCACATTTAATAGTTATAAAAATATAATTGCTATATAAACAAGTTAATGAAATGAATAATGCCATGCATAAATATGTATAGAAACTTTCTAAAATTAGGATTATTATTGTTTTTCTAAAAAGTCTAACTAAAAAATCATTCCAGACTAAAGATTGGTTTAGTGACCGTTAGATGTTGAAAACTGTAAAATATCAAACAGCGCTGAAGATATATCCATCAATGAGCGACAATTAAAAGGTTGTTAAATCTTCTGATTACTAGTTCGTTATAAATGATATAGCTATACGAATAAAATTAGTTCATGCTCGACAAACAGAAATCATGCTGAACAACATGCCTTTTTTTTGTTAAAGATGAAAACAAAATTCCATTAATGAAATTTTAAAGAAATTCATTGACAAGTCAATTCCTAAAAACAATCCTTATGGACAAAATTGTTTAAAAGCCACCAGCTAAAACAGTTGTATACATTTTAGTTTAATATATAAGAAGTTTTCTTCAGCAGTTACCATAATACAACTCAAAATGTGCTCTTCAAAACGTTCACCAATAGTCATTTAACAATTATACAAGATAAAGTGTTAAAAGCACCTGATGAGTTTAGTCTTCAGGAAAAAAAAATTACATTCAGTAAATTTTATTGACTGCAAAATATTTCATATTCAGTCTTATTGTGACAACATAAATCTTTTTTTGCTAAACTCGCAATAACACAAGGCAAACCAAATTGTGCTTGCCTATTAGATAGTTAAATTTTGCAATGACTTTGGGCCGACTAAAAGATAACTTTTAAAAGAATATTATAATTTAATTAATTAATGATAGTTCATTGAATGTTATAAAGTGTTTCTGAGAGTCTAAAAGATAACTTTTAAAAGAATATTATAATTTAATTAATTAATGATAGTTCATTGAATGTTATAAAGTGATTCTGAGAGTGTTAACTATCACTTCTTTGGTACTCTGAATTTCTTTGCAGAAACATGAAAAGCAATATGCGCGCAGATTTGTTGATTGAATGCCGATAATTAATGGTTGTATATGCATCTGATAATTTTGCAAAAAAAAATACAATATTTCACCAATTATATGACAGACTGTGTGATTAAGATACTTACCTTTTATATTCAAAAGCTACTTTTGAAGTTATTAAATATTAATCTATATATTATTTAATAGTCATAATTGACTGTGCTAATTATTTCAATTAATTATACTTTTTTTTATCTAAAGTCTTGGATCTGGTGAAAACGCTAGTCTCAATAGGGGGATTCGCACCCACGACCTTCGGCTAAATACGCTGATGCTCTATCACTTGAGCTATCGTGACTTCGACTTGGCCATTTCACATGTCGCCAAGAATTGAATTTGAATACAATATTCAAACACAATATTTGAAAATATTGCAAAAAGAGGAAAAATTTGAAAGGTTGTAGGCTGAGATGAGGAGTGGTGTCCGAATGGATCGAAGTCATGATAGTTCAAGTGTCACTGCTAAATGTCATGGGTTCGAATCCCACTTGTCAAACTAGCTTTTTCAACCCAACCATAAAAAGTATAATTAAATGTAATATTTAGAATATCCAATTAATGAAGTTGGGAAACTTCCTGACAATTTTTATGTATGTAGTTTATAGGGATTTTTTTTTATAACAGTGGCTTTTGAGAAATGTGGTTGGGACATTTTCAGCTGTTGTTTCTGTACATATAAAAAAATTTATATTTTACATTTAAAATTTACATATACATTATATAAAATACTGTATATGAACATTTCATTTATTTATTAATTTTATGTTATTGTTGTCCTTGAACTTTTTTTTAATAAAAATTACAATATTTCAACGTTTCATTTTCAAGAAATATTCAACTTTTTTTAAATAATCTCTTATTTTAAAATGTTAATACAATGTCAAGAAATAAAATATATGTTTCTTGAAAATAAAAATGCCATAGGATCACCCAAACTGAAATATTGCAATTTTTAATTAAAAAAGGAAAAAATCTTCTATTACGATTTTCTAAGTATTACATCATCCTGAAGAAAAGGCTAACATTAATGATTAAGTGTGATAAAAGTTATTAATTTGACAATAACACTGATTTTTGTGAGCTGTGAAACTTCTAATAATTAAAAATAATTTTGGAAATGTGAATAATAGCTCAGTTGCCTTAATCCTTTAAGCTGTCATATTACAGATCGCATCAACAGGCAGCAGATTTTGCTCTTCCATTTACAATAAACCAAAATAAATTTGACAAATAATATGAAAATCCATTTTATTGAAGTCAGTTGACAGCCGATTTACCTCTTCTCCAATTCAGTCATAAAAGGATCAACAGATTGTATAAATATACAGTTTTTGTTTTAATACACTCTTCATCTTCTTTCCCGAAACGACCTCTTGTTTTTCAGTTAGACAAACTCTGGAAAGGCAAACGACTAAACGTGAATTCGCCATAAACCAAAATGCTTTCGCTGTATCAACAAACCGAACTAAGCAATTTTGAATGCAATTTACTTTACTCGCATAATTTACTTTAGAATTGAATTTTTTTTTAAATCAGTAATAAGATAGATATTCTAGCAAATCTACGACATTACCTGAAGTAATAGATAACTATTTCCATAAAATACTTACCACCCACAGAGAAATTCAGAAGCGTGTTATTTTATTTTTACACCATTGGTAAACGTTTTGAATAATTCTGAACACAGAATATTTATTCATGTTTGAATTGGCATTACTTTCAATGTTACGAACAACAAAATCTCATCAAATAAAAGAAATTTTGTTTTTGAGCTGTGCAGAGTGAAAAAAAAGTACAAGTAAAATTAGTACAGTGACAATTGCAAGCTCTTTTAATATTTTTTCTTTTCAATCTCAATGCAAATTCCATAGCGTGGAAAGTAAAAAAACACGTGATTTATAAGCTTCAGTAAAAGCTAAATACTTCATTACTTTCTTGACGATTATTATAAACATTAATTTAGGTATATACATTTTTATTTCAATCAGAACTACTTTAAGAAAATGAAGACCAATTGAAAGGAATTTTCATATGTTTAATATTGATTAAATGGGAAAAGTGATAAAATATTGAATAATTTAAATACTGGAATAAAAGGATGTTAGCAAAAGATTTATGTGCTTGAACTACGATTAAAATCATTAGATATCAAAATTTTAAAAGAAATTTCCTAAACTAGGCAATCTTCAATGGAAAATCTAGTGGAAATACTGTAGAAAAACTTGCATATTTATAAACATTAATGATAAATGGCAAAATACTATAGTGAACTGAAAAGCAAATTTCCACTTTTCCCCATATGATAACTGACTGTACAAAATTAACAAGTTATGTCAAGAAAATGAGCAATGCAAGGCGTAAGTTGTGATACTGGTTCTATGTTCAGCTCTCCTGTTTGGCTTATGGCACCAAAATAATAAATAAAGACAAAATGTTAAACTACTCTAAGTCTAAATATATTATTTTAAATTAGGCATCCTCAATTTATCCATAATCGACTAATGCTATGAATACACTAAGACAATTTTTGGATTAGACATTTTCCTATTATGTTCATTACTTTTATATGAAGAATTCTTGTGATTGCCTTTTTAAAAGGTAACACTTCTGTTTTAAACAAAAAAATTTATTGAGCCTTCAAAATACTTGGAATTTTAACTTTAATCAATATTTTGGTGAGAAGACAAACAGAACTATCTACTCTGTTACAATCAAAACTTTATAAATATACCTAATCTTATAAAAAAATTTTTTTATTGAATTATACTACTTCAACTACTTACTAAAACATATACTTATGCTATATAAAATCTACCTATGAAACTGCCCTATAAATAATTACAGTATTAATAAATTAATTTAGATGGTTTCTTTCATCATTGGTAACCATCAGCCAACCAGGTAAATATGCCGCTGACAAAGAAACCACTTTTTCATATATTTTTTCAACCAACTGTGCGCAATCAGATTATCAACAGATACGATTTATCTATGATAATTATTAAACACTAATTATAGGCAGAATATAATGAAGGCAGATATAGAGCGTGTTAAAGCATAGTCTTGCTCATTTCACTTTCAATGTTTTTCCTTTTGTTTATTTTTTTTCACTTCTCGTTCGCTTTTTATGTCACGAATTGCGGACTCACCGATCTGAAGTGCCTGTGCGGAGTGACAAGAGCCCTGTGCCTTGTCAACGACCAATGCCGCACCTACAATATTACCTCTCAAACTTACACCTCTATCTTTGTATTTCAGAGTCCATTATTTTATTGATATTTATTACATAATAAAATTAATATTACATAACTGGTTTCAACTGAAAGTGTTTAAATGTTTTGTGATACATATGAGAAAATAAAGGAAAAGTTACGGGAAAAATAGGTAATAACTTGTAAACACATATTTCCTTCTGCCGGTAAGTTGTAAAATTAACAGCGGAAACTATAATAGAACTAGTAATTGCCGTAATGAAAATATAGCAACTTTAAGGTTTAGACAGTTTTTTCTTTTTTAATTTATTTTATTTATTTATTTATTTATTTTTATTAGCTTGGGTCAATAAATTTAAAAAACTTCTAATTAACCCTTTATCACTCAGGATGTACATAAATTTGAACAAAAATTTAAATTGCAATAAAACATTGTAGAAGATAACGTTATATATATCGTAATTCAAATTAATCAAAAACAAACAAAATTTGACAACAGCAGTGCTTACAATTTTATCTATTTTACATTAACTTGACTTGTATGACCTTACTTTCAAGGCAACACATGGTGGGACTTTTGATTAAAATAATTAAGGTGGAAAGAGTATAACAATTCATTGGATGAAAACAATGAGTAGAACATCATTTTCATCCAATAATACTTTTAACTTTTAACATTAAAGAAAAATTGGTCTGAAAAACTTTTAACTAAATTCTTGTTGCCTGCAATCTAAATGCCATTTATTCTGAGATTATTTATACGCTATCTGAACAATTATATAATGCATTGTTTTAATTATAGTTTTTTTTTTATTATTTCCACTGTTAATAATATCCCTTAGCTAGGCGTTATTATGAAACATTGACATAAATAACAACAGAAGCATTCTCATAAAATGTAAACAACATGGAGAAAAATATAAATGTACTTACCCTAGATGATGGTGGTTTTCTTGCAGGGCTTGGAGGTGGTTCAAGAATTGGGAGTTTTGTCGGATGTTCTTTCAACTGCCGAATAACTTCATTTAACTGCTCCACTAAGAGATCGGCCTGAGAAGAGCCCAGAAGTTTCCTCTGCACCTGTTGGGGGAAAAAATTTAATTTAATTTTTTTTAAATATTTATTTTTCATAAAGGATGTTTTATAAAATATATATTGTAGGTACAATAAGGTGTACCTAAAGCATTTAAGATGAGAATTTCTTAAGAAACAAATTAATAAATTAATGCATTTACTGTCATTTTCAAAAAAAAATTTTTTTTTTTAATGGCCTTATGATCGATATATATTTAGCCAAGGTGATTATTATATGTGTATTCATAATGGGGGGAAGTGATCGTGAAAAAAAGACGTGGGACGGTGGGAATCGAACCAACAACTGCAGCGTCTATGAGCGGAGAGTCTCTCACGTTAACCGCTCGGCTACCGCGGTTCCCCCCCCCAAAAAAAAAAAAAATTATTTGCATTTATTGTTGAAAAAGTATTACTAAAAACCGAATTTTCGTGCATTAAAAAACCTTCAAAATTGTAACGAAAGCCTCGAAATTCAAAAACGCAATAAAAACCTAAAAATGTGAAAAAAAGTGTAATAAAGGTAAAACATTTCCTTTTAACATAAGATTGATTTCATAACAAAATTAATTCTTGTCTTATGATGCAGTTTATTTTATATACATCGATTATGCTGATTTTTAACATGTTTGTTTAACGCAACTTGAGCGTGCCACCTATCCTTCTGGGTGAGCACATGCACAACCTGCGTCCTCCCATTTTTTTTTTTTTTTTTGTAAACTCTCCCTCCACTTCACCCGCTACTTAATCCCATTCAAAATTCCTAGAGCCACTTCAGAAAGGGCAAAAGTGCTACTGGCTAAGGTTGTTTCAATTTTTTCAACTGGAAGTAATTTTTTAAACTATTCTATGAAAACAACAATTTTGCCATTGGTCTTGGAATCCTGGTAGCCCTGTAACTACCACTTTTAAACTTAAGGTACTTCTAACAACATTTTTTACATGGTTCTGCTCTGCTTATGAAATTGATAAAAGTGAAGTGAGAAATATGCAACATATATCAAACATAAAACAATTTGATGATGTAAAGGATTAGCCACTATACTCAATATATTTAGCAGGATCAGGGATGTGGTCCAAGTAATGAAACCAAGCCAAGCTTTCGGTGTTTTATTTCACCTTCCTCGGGCTCTACAACGGATATACAAATATGTCAATTTTTAGTTACTCGCTTTGTAAGTGAGAATCAACAATCAACAACAATGCAGAAGACAGTTCTTTTTCTAGCTTATATACCTTGGAAAGTGCACTATTCCGTATAACATTTTCCTTGGTATAAGAAATTTTCTGCCAAAGTTACTGTACTCTAAATGGGCTAATGCTTTACATTCACAAAGGATATGTGTCGAGTACTCTAGTTCCTCCTGACAGAGCCAGCATGTTTCCGTATCAGCTTTACCCATCATCTTCAGATGATAGTTAAGAAGGCATTGTGTAGAGGCCTATAATTCTCCTCAAATCCTGCCTGCTGAGAGAGAGAGAGGATTTCCTTCGCTTTACAGTTTTTCCCTATACGAATTATATTGCACAATATATACTTTTTAACAGTACAGAGCAGGGCTTCCCAAACTTTTTGGCCAGTAGACCCCTTTCACAGAACAAAATCTAGGAATGACCCCTCGCATTTAAGTATTTAAAATTAGAGTCTTATAGTAACATAGTACATTGAAATTTTATAAATTAGCCAGTCTATTCCTAATTAAGTGATGGCGAGAGATATCACTATGAAATGACATTTTTAACTTTAATTTAAAAAATCCGGAACACAAAATTGAAAACTAAATTTGAACATTATAATTAATGCTTTAATGGGAAAAATGAGGTTGTTTTAGCCTGTACAGTTTGAATATGATGTGTTTAATTTTTTATAGCTGGACACACATTCAGCATCTCAACAGTTTCAGTTTTACTTAAGATGGCTGTATCGATACAAAATCCGGATTCGCATGGGTAAGTTGTGGCAAATGGAAGAACACGTTTTGCTTTTTCAGTGGTTGAAAAAATTTTTTTTTTACAGATGCAGCCAAAAATGGGGGTATCGGACTCGAAAGTAGATTTGAAAGTGGAGTGTAATGTCTATTAAACATTCATATTCACTTGATGATATATAGTTAGCTTTGCCAAAACTGAAAATGGTTCGACCATTCATTCATGGTCTTGCAGCATTGTATCTTGAGCTGTTGGGAAATCAAAGTGCAGTTCGCAAGCTCCAGTTGTTTCCTTTTAAAAAATCATTTAACACAGGAAAACATCTCTTCTCATCAGATTCAACCCAAAATTGGATTTTTTTTTTAAAGTCGAGAACTGCCATTAGCATCGAAAGTTGTGATACTCTTCCCATGCAAAGATAGACTCATCGCATTCATTTTAAAGAAACTATCTGATAAATACAGTATACATTGCTATTTCTCATCACTTTGGCCGATTTGACATTGAGGACCATAAAAAGAGGTAAGACTACAGAACGTAATTCCTATAATCATTAAAGTGCTTTCCCATAAGACAGCCACCTGAAGGCTTCCCATAGTGTCATGTAGTACAGTGAAAAGTCTTGACTTCAATATAATTAATAATTTGAACAAATTCATCCAAAACTTTCTTAAAAGAGGCTGATATTTGTTTCACGGTTTCATAGCTAAAGCAAGTCAATACATGACTGGTGCTGCAAAATAAAAAACTTTCATTTTCACTACTCATTAATTTTTGATTTTATTTATTCATTCTACGTTTATGTTTGTAATTATTAATTGTTCTTTCACCGCAGACCCCCTAGTTAGGTGAGGATTATCGAAGTTTGCTCAATTATTGAACAAAAATTTGAGCAAGTTTAATTTTATTGTGCCATATTTTTTCTCTGCACAGTGCAGAGTTAATATTGCACAATGTTTTTTAATTTATGGCTTGCATTCAAAGGAACGGGGTGTTGTGGATGAGGAGTCAAACCATTTTATAACGCATTTTTAATACTATTATCAATTAAAAAGCCAAGGGCTCTGCTAGGATTCAAACGCAGAACCACTAGCGTGGCAAATATGAGTCTGACACCCTAACCACTCAGCCATCGCAGTCTCCAATTTTGCTTTATATCAGTTTACTTAAAACTGTTACACATTAAAATTAAGTATTTACACATTGTTTTTAAGGATAAAAATGCATAAATCATCAAAAAAAATTGAAAACATGCAATTTTGAGTAATAAAATGTAAAGCGTGCAAAATAAAGTAGGATCAAAAGAATATCATTTCCATTATTTAAATTTCTGTCTTAGTTTCATTGCAGTTGAAGTTAGCAAAAAATGTGCAATTGCATGAGAATATGTTCTTTACATATTATGCATGATAGAGTTTGGTAAACTTAATACAGACCAAAACCATCAAAGTGATATATTAATATATTTAATAAATTTAATAATTATTAAAATCATTTAATAAAGACAATGAAGAAGATAATAAAAAAAGGGAATTGTGCAAACATTATATGTTGTGATAGAAAAGTCTATGTCTCAGGGATCAATGAGTGGCTCAGGCGGTTAAAGCGTCAGATACCAAAGACCATGGGTTACAATCCTATACATGACTTTTTATCTCAAATTTTTTGTACAAAAAATTAATAATTACAGAATGGAACTGAAAGCAGTAAATAAGCAATATGTGCATTCAAAATTTCCACCATAACCAGGCACTACGATTAAAATTGATTTTATTTTGTAGGTCAAGATTAACATTGAGTCATCTGTTCTAAGAGTGGTTAAAATATATTCTTTAAACAATCACTTTCAATCACCCTTCTGCCATTTTATTATCATTCTCGTATACTTACGAGGTCATTGGAGATATCAATAGGAACAACATCTTCCATAGAAAACTTGAACGTAATCGTCTTCTGCTTTCCAGTTTCAAGCTGGCACTCAACATTTCCTTCAGAGGCAGATAGTACACTCAGTTTTGGCCCATTCGCTCTGCTGCGTCGTTTTACAGGACCTTTTTTCACACCAGCTCCACCACTTTGATCCCTGTTCATTGGCAAGCACACAAAAACAAAAATTTTCTATCGCTCTGTATAATTTAAAATAATGACAGAAAGTAAGGTGCAATTGATTTTTTTTTTTTTTTTCATCACCAAAACACAATTCAAATTTTTGTTTCCTATTTTAAAGTAATGTACTTTCAGTTATATATTTATAATATATTATATTGAATAATCACCCATCCTGTGTAGAGGCACCATTTGCTTCTTCTGACCCCTGTAAGAACAATTTACATCAGAGCCGTTAGGCTACGCATTATTTTGAAGAACATTATCGTGAACATATCTTTTGTTCTTATCCTTGCAAGTAAATATTTAATGAAATAAACAAAATCATTGCTGCTTTAATTAAAATATTTTATTTGGAAGACTAATTTATGATTAATACACTCTGTCTAACATTTCTTGACAAAAATATTAATCCTCCTCTTTTGTCATTCTTACATTTAATATGGCCTCACTGCCTTGAAGAAAAAAAATTGTAAACTGACATGTAAATAAGTATTGGATGATAATTACAGAAGAAGAAGAAAATAAATTTTAATCTGGGCTTTGGATCCTCTTCTTAAATAAACAAAAAAAAGTTCAAAATTTGGCATAATTCGCGTCAAAATGAATGTACAAATTAAGATTTAAATGTCCCAGCATAAAAATAAATTAAACATACTAAATTAAATAAGAGAGGAAAATCATTAAATATATAATAGTAATTAATAAACTAATAAATATAATTTAATAATTATACCAATAATGACTATTAAGAGATCATGAGATGCATTCTGGTATGATGTAGGCTTAGAAAAACATTTTCTTTATCACACCAACGTTTCAATCTTTATTGAGATCATCTTCAGGGCTCAAAATGTGTGTTTTCTGTGCAGATGTGTCACGGTTGTGTGCTGTGTTGAGATTAACTTATTAACAGTCACTAAATACTACATACATACTAATAATTATTATTATACTTTATTAAAATATTATTATATTTTATCATCTATAAACATTTGATTTTGTAATAAATTTATTTTACATGATCCATGTACAAAAGAACTATATTGATACATATTTTCTATTTATAAAGTTTGATTTACAACACACATATGGTATAATTAAACTTTCATAGAAGAAAAAGAATGGAAATTTGAGAATAGTAGAAAAACTAAAAAAAATATGAATGTGCAGGCATGTGAGTGTGAAATTGAAAATTAATTACTCAATTGACAGGAGTTGCTTTAGAGTTCCCCAGTCAGGGACTAAGTTAAATTGTAACTTTTTTATTTTTTATTGACCAGTTGTTCAATAATTTGTTAAAGACATGAGGAGCAGTAAGATTTTAGGACAGTATTTTAAAAAAATACCCTTTTTTTAGCTGATGTTTCGACCTGAAATACTTAGTTCAAAATTTATGTTTACACCTGTATTGTATTTTTCAATTAATGTTTTGTATCTTACCCATGCCCTGAAGATGACCCAAATAAAGGTCGAAATATCAGGGGGGAAAATGAAAAAGATGTTTTTACTAAAATATTTTATTACTGACCGCTCCTCACAACTAACAAATTATTAAATTGTAATTTGTAAACAAAGAATGCGATGAAAAAGTATCTAAGTATTTTCAAGAAGACCAACTCTTGAAAGGATACACCTCTAGCAGTTAAATTTGAGCAGTAATTTTTTAAATTTTAAGTTGACATTTTTTGGATCCAAGGGTTTAAAAAATTGAACTAGCAGTTTCTTTTTACCAGGTCTTGATACAGTAAATTCTAAAACTATTTTAAACTTATGGCACCAAATTTAAGTCTCCCCATAAACAACTTCAAGTAATATAAATTACAAAGGAACCAAACCATCGAATTCTGATTACAGGATTTAGTTAACATTTTATCGAGTTATCAAAGAAAAATCATCCAAACTTTTGTCACCAATTAAATTGAACAAAAAAAACCTAGTTACATCAAACTGAAAATATTTAAACAAATCGGAGTTAAATAGCATGGGACTGATAAGACTGTCATTGAATAGAAAGCTTTTGTTACGAAAAGTATCTAGAATGGTGACTGTAAGTTCTTTAATCTGTGTGATAAAATTTAGATTGAAAGATAAAACATTTCAGTCGATTATACTTTTCTAGATTAAAAGATCTTAATGTAATTCATGCTGCTTTTTTGATGCAATTAAAATGGCTTTTTTAAATAGGCAATATACATTTGTGTGAATATAAGCATTTATGTTCTATTTGGGGAAAAATCAAGTTTAGGCAGACTTAACTCATGAAGCACCTTGTGAAAATAAAATTGTAAGAAATGTTAGAAAAGAATGTATAGTAAAGTAAAAAAAATATTTCACTGCTGAGTTCACAGAAGCAAAACAATTCACAAATTTGAATAACAAAACCAATAACTTAAAAACTTGTACAGTAAACTTATTATTGTTAAAAACTATTTATGATAAAAATCTAACTTTTGTGGACAATTTCATAATTTTAAACAACTTAATTGATTTGGTTTTATGAATTTAAAAAAAATTATATATATGTATTAACAAAATTTATTTATAACCAATTAGTAACAATACACCATTGTTTTTCACTTTATAAAATGTGTCATTAATGTGAAATGGAACTAATTTCCCACTTCTGTGAACTCAGTATGGATGTTGCATAATTATTAATTTTTCTACCCAAGTACATAATTGTAATTTTGTGATAATGTTCTTCTCTATTTAAAGAATGAATAAATCCAATTAGCTTAAAAAAATGACAAGTTTACGAACCTGTTCCGCTGTTGTGTCCACGGCATCTGCTTTGGGTAGATCCGAGTGTGCTGGGATAGCTTCAGCAGAGTGTCTTCTTAGGTTTGCTTCATGCTCACTGATAGTTTGCGTGGAAGGAGGTAGAACAGTGCTTATACTCCTCTGTCCTTTTGCACCCTTTTGTGTAAAGTTGATTTTAGATTTTATAGTTACTCTTTTTACATTGAAATTAACCAAAAACCAACCTGGCCTGAAATGGCTGCAGCTTTGATTTGTTGGACCTGTTCATTCGGCAATGGTTGAAAACCATGCCTCATATCCATTTGTTGCTGTAAAGTCAAACAATTTATTTAATAATACGCTTTTTTTTTTATTATTTTCTTATTAAAACTTACAGTATGATAAACAGGAGAGTCTTTATTCATGATCTGTTGCTCTTGAATTATTTGCTGAGTGGGAAAATGTTGTGCCAACATTTGTGGCTGCTGCTGTTGTTGCTGAGAAATGGTTTGGTAAGTTTGGCATGACTGTTGCTGTTGCAACGGAAAAGATGGTAAAGTCTCCTGGCTCTGAGGTGTAGTGGATTCGGATGTATTCTGAATAGGAAAATGTTCCGATGGCTGTTGTTGACTAGAACTCATACTTGTGTAGGAGATTGTTGTCGGTTCAGATGCGACCATAGGGGAGACTCCCCCACTTTCCATCCTGGGCATTTCTAAAAGGGGTGTAATCTGGTCCTTTAAAGTTTGATCGACTTGCTGTGGCATTAATAACATGTTAGGTGGCTGCACTGTGTTAGTAAGTGGTGAAGGATCTAAATTGGGTGCTTGCACGGTGGAAATACGATGCATGTCTTGATATTGGTGTTGTATTCCTAACTGCTGTATATCATACAGCTGTGGAGGTTGCACAGAAGACATCCTCTGTTGCATCTCTGCTTGAATATGTTGCTGCTGTTGGGAAGGTATTTGAGACTGTTGGATTTGAGAAACCAACTGAGATGTTTGTGAATCATACTGAGGATGCTGAACAGATGAAATCATTTGCTGCATCTGGTTGTTGTCTAACTGGATCTGCTGGTTATTTTCAAATGTCTGGTTTTGAATTTGAGGTTGTTGTATTTGCTGTACTTGAACATTGCTTATTTGATGCATGTGTTCTGGTGTAATCTGTGTCGGTTGAATGGGAGGCATTTGAGACTGTTGGACAGATGGCATTCCTTGCATTTGTTCAGGAGGTAATGGAGTACTTCGAACTGTCGATGCTCTATGCATTGGGTCCTGTTGAATTTGTTGCTGCATTTGAATGTCTGACTGTATATGAGAAGTCAGCTGAATTTGGTCCTGCATCTGCATGTGTTGAACATGTTCGTGGTTCATCTGAGCCTGAATATTTGTAGGAGGCTGTACTGTTGACATACTCCTTACTTGCTCTGGTTGAATTTGTGGAGGATGGACAGTTGACATACTTCGAACATGTTCTTGTGGAATTTGTGGTTGTTGCTGCATTGCTGGTAGACTCCTAACTTGAGACTCTTGTGGCATCTGAGGTGTGCTCGCTATAGTACGAACTTGTTCTACTGGCACCTGAGATGATTGAATTGTAGACATGCTGCGTACTTGTTCTTGTTGTATACGTGATTGCTGTACTGTTGGCATGCTGTGTATTTGTTCTTGTTGCAAATGAGGAGGCTGCACAGTTGACATACTTCGAACCTGGTCCTGTGTGATTTGTGGAGGTTGTACAGTAGACAAATTTCTCACATGTTCCTGTGTTAACTGCTGCGGGGGCTGCACAGTTGACATGCTTCTCATTTGTTCTTGTTGTATATGAGGTGGTTGAACAGTAGACATGCTACGAATTTGTTCTGTAGTAATTTGAGGAGGATGAACAGTTGAGAGGCTCCGTACTTGTTCATGAATAATCTGAGGAGCTTGCACAGTTGACATACTACGCACCTGTTCTTGTGATAACTGTTGTTGGTGATGTGGTTGTTGAACAGAAGTCATACACTGCATTTGGTCTTGCGCCATGTGCTGCTGAATTTGTTCCATTTGGGGAGGTTGTACTGTTGACATACGTTGGGGTTGTTCATGTGGCACTTGAACTGAAGACATAATATGTACACGATCAGCTTGAATCTGTTGTTGATTCACTGACTGAATTTGTTGTTGCATCTGCGATTGCTGTAGCTGAGCATCGTATTGTGACATTTGAGGCTGTTGAATTTGTTGGGTCTGCTGTTTATTATCATATTGAGGAATCTGAGGTTGTTGCATCTGTTGCGTATCAAAAAGTTGCATTTGAGGAAGATTCATTGTATGTGTTTCATACTGCTGCATCTGAGGAGGCTGTACTACTGACATCCTCTGTTGCATTCCATCTTGGTGAAGCTGTTGGGGTTGCTCGTAATGTTGTATTTGAGGTTGCTGAACTGTAGACACCCTATGCTGCATACAATCAGGAACCTGCTGTTGACACTGTGATGACTGAACTACAGGCACCCTCTGATAATTGTCTCCTTGAGGCGTAGAATAACCTTGTTGAAGTTGAGATACTTGAGGTGCTTGTACAGTTGATATTCTCTGTTGCATTGAGTCATTTTGCATTGTCTGTGGCAATTGTTGAACTTGAGGAGGCTGAACAGAAGATACACGGTGAGCATCTTGTGACATCTGTTGTAAATCATACTGTTGAGGCGGTTGTATTGTTGATATTCGGTGCTGCATGTCATTCTGTACATTTGATTCATATTGAATTTGAGATGACTGGATCTGTTGAACTTGGGGTGCCTGCACAGTTGACATCCTGTGGACATTTTCATTTTGTTGCACTTGAGGCATTTCATATTGTTGATTAAAATGATGCATTTGGGGAGGTTGTACAGTGGACATCCTTTGATGGATATCTTGATCATACTGTTGCATTTGAGGAGGCTGGACAGTAGAAATTCTCTGTTGTAAATTGTCAGTATTCAACTGCTGCACTTGTGGTGGATGCACTGTTGAAATTCTTTGTTGTTGGATATCTTGTTGAACTTGAGTCATCTGCGATATCGGTTGTGTCAACTGTGGAGGCTGAACAGTTGATATACGCTGCATGCTTTCCTGTTGCATCTGTTGATTGTCATACTGTTGTAAAGGTGTTTGTACCTGTTGAATTTGAGAAATTTCATAATGCTGCGGCTGCTGGATTGTTTGGTGCTGTGAAGTCATTATGTGCATAGGGTCATTGCCCATTTGTATGTCATACTGAGGAGGCTGAACAGTAGATACCCTCTGCACATTTTCTGTCATTACCTGTGGAGTTTGAACTGTTGACACCCTCTGGATGTTTTCCTGTTGAGTGGACACTTGCACCTGAGAAGGTTGAATCATGTGTTCAGGTGGAACCTGGGACAGGACCGGCTGCTGAACAGTAGAAATCCTCTGCTGCATATTATCCTGTGTCACCTGGGACTGCTGATCGTACTGTAATTGCATCGCAGGCGGTTGACTAGTGGAAATCCTGTGAACATCTTGATCCAAAGAGAAGTTGGCCTCCGTGGGCAACTGCCCTAAAAGGGGAGTGACCCCAGCAGATCTTGACATATCATATTGTCTTTCATCAATAATAAATTGATTTAAGTTTGGTGTTTGGAGAAAATTTTCTTGCTGAGAGGGTGACATCATCATCCCTTCTTGAACGACTCTGTCTGCATGTATCATTATTGGCTCTGAAATGCTGTATGTTCCTTCAGCCATAACTCCATGCACCTAAAATTAAGCAATAAATCATCAATTTCAGTTGTACACAGCATATAAAAATTAAATGAACACTTACATCAATAACACCAGCCTCATCATCATAAGCTGTAAAATATATTTATCAAAATAACATACAAAATTATTGATACACATTTATTTTTTATTATAAATATTACAAATGTATAAAATATACCAACCACATTCAATTTGGTGTTTTCTATCTTCTCTCGCTTTCTTTAAAGATGTTATTTGGGCTATAAGCATTTTTTCTACTGTGCGAGCATCATCATCATTAATAATACCACCTTTGGCCTGAAACATAAAGATAAATTTAAATTGTATTTTTATTTAATTATATTTACCAACTGTTCAAATGAACGAACCATTTCTTTAGCAACTTCCTCTGCATTATCCATTTCTACATCAAAATCAAACTGAATTGCTTCATTCTCTTTATACTTATTACTCCTTTTCTTTGGATCTAAAACCCTTAGTCTAAATTCAACTTTAGAACTATCTCCAGCTATAGCTTCTTCCCTATACATTTTAAAGTAGTAAAAGTTATTGATATAAAGAATAAATCATCAGCTAGTTTATTACCTCGAAACAAGATCGAGCTTTAAACCAATGTCATCAGCAAAGAAGACATGGTTCAGAAGTTCCTTGATTCCAGGACGTTCCTCCCTTTTCAGTCGTATACACTGTTCTATTATCTCTCTAACTTCTGGATTTTCAACCTTATCAAAACTCTGTGGCTTAATGCCCTAAATGCAAAATGAAAAATGATTTTCACACCATTTGATCTTATGAAAAAAAAAATGGACTTACACTTATCACTTTTTTATAAATTTGAGCAGGACCAGAGCATTCAGAATAAGGATATTCGGAAGTTGCCATTTCTAACATGCACATGCCAAAAGCATAAACATCAACATTCTCATCATAGTGTTCTTCATACATTTCAGGTGCCATAAATTCCGGTGTTCCTGTAACAAAAACAAAAAATTGAATCGTTTCACAAAAAATTGCACGATAATGTAATAATTATAAGAAAAATGCTTACCAATCACAGACTTAGCAAATGATCTATTTTTTAACGTCGCAAGACCCAAGTCCCCAATTTTGACACTCCCCGATGTCCCCGTTATGAAAATATTGTCACACTTCAAATCCCTGTGAATTATAGGAGGTGAACGGCTGTGAAGGAAAAGTAATCCTTTGAGGATCTGGCGACACCAAGATTTCAGTACTTTTGGGTTAATCTTTTTGAAACGCCGAAGATACCTAAATAAATTATATAAGACAAAATCATCATTAGTACAAACTTAGTTCTTCAGTATTGAATTTATCACATTCTCATCATCTCTCAGCACACTATTTAAATATTTTTCATGTGAAGCAGCTGGAAATAAACATGAATTATTTTCTTTCTCCATATTGTGAGCAATAAGAAAAATGTAATAAAATAAATAATGGAAAATTAATTGTCAATCTATTATATAATAAAATTAAATTCCATGATTATTCAGCTTGCTTCGCATCAAGTTAATGAATAATCCTTACGTTTTAAGTGTCCCAGAAGTCATTAGTTCTGTGACAAGAACAATATATTTCCGTTTTGTTAATGTCACTTCCCAATAGTCATAAAACCTGACGATGTTCGGATGCTGTAAACCCTTCAACATTTCAGCCTCTTCTCTAAACCTCTGCCGTTCACTTTTATTCAATTTTTTTTCCTGAAATTATTTTTACAAGCGGTATTAACTGCAAGTAATTGTTAATATAATTCTTGTATAAATTTTATGTATGAACATTAATTCAAGAGTATACAAATAATAAATTTATCTACTAACTTGCAACTCGCACCATGCTACAGCTACTCCCGTTTGTGTGTCTAAACCTTTATATACAGTTTTAAAACTACCCCTCCCAATCTCATCCTCAAATTTAAGGAACCTTTACAGAAATAAATATAAAGTCAGTTATTTAATTAATTTGGAAATATAAATAATAACTCACCTTCCATCTGGAGAAACTCCTATAGCTTTCTCCTCATCCTCTTCCTGTGCCTTCTCTTTATGGGTTGACATTTTTTCACTGCCAACATCAACTTCGGGGTCAGCACCCTCAGCTTGCTTCTCAGAAAGCTCAGGGTTGACAGAAAGCATTGCTGTTCCCCCGGCTCCTCCGCCATCATTTTCAGACTGTACTTCTTCATTGTCGTCCTTCTTTCTGACCCTCCGGTTTTTTCCCTTACCCTCTTTCTTGTCCGATAATTCCTCTTCCACCGGCTGCGATGAATCGTTGGGCGGTGGGGAGGACTTCTTGTCCCCTCCTATCTCCACTGGGGATTCCCCACGCCTCCCTCTACCTGTCACTTTGGGAAGCGACACCTGTAATTATTTTACGACCAAATTTAATTTCAAGTTAATTAGTAATTGTTTTTGTTTTTTCATTAGTCTTAAAATACCTTTGAAGAAGTCTGTCCAAGGCTAGACCCCGTTTTTAAAGCGGTTGTTCTAGGTCTAGGTGACTTTAAAGGCTTCTGTATACAAATTGGTTCTCTAGGAGAAGAAAACACACTAAAGAAAAAAAAAATTAAACACAAATAAAACCACTTAAAAATCAAATATATAAATTATTACCTATTACAGATAATATCTCTAGGAAATTTGGTTCTGTTATAATTGGTTCTGTTACTTATTGATGGTAATGTCAAGCGACAGCCAACTGCCGATGTGAAACCACCTCGGCTTTCATCACAGTCGCTAAACAAACCAGTTGTCCCGCTGTTATTCCCTGTTTTGTCTACACTTAAATTATTGTTACATGTCCTTCTGTAAGTTCGGTGACTACTGCTCATTGCATCGCCAGCCACAAATTCGAAGTACAACCGCTGTGTTAAATTCAGTCAAAGATTAACACACTGTCTACTTCAAAATGAAAGCACTGTTTGTTTTTTTATTGATAAATTTGATCCTGTTTATCTATACAAAAACTACCGACTAATTTTTGAAAATTAGTTGCAAACGTTATTCTACCTAGCCTAAATAATCAGTTCAGATTTTCTCTAGAGTAAAGAGTAAAGTGTAGTAGTAGAAGCATTTTGATGAGAGAGATACTCTGCTTCTGAATCCTGTAACAGATTTATAAGTTAGTTAATCTATGTAGTACAAATATAATTTATGGTTTAATTTTAATTTTTTTTTCTAATAGTATTGTAATTTATTTACAATCCTATTGTACAAGTAATAGCCATGATTTAACTTTTCAATGACAAAAATTAACCTATTGACCTTCACAAACTGTGACATAATTAAGTTATTCAGGCAGTAATAGCGAAGTTAATCAATACTATTACAAGTACAAAAGGCATGTAATTCAGCTTATTATATCAAAATTACAAATTAATTGTAAATAGATAAAAAATTTAATTTAGTATCCTTTATACCTTTAGTATTTTGCAAGTAGCCCACATAATCTTGGCCCCAAAAGTTTATGTACAAAAAATTACACTGTCACGATATCTCTTTTAAAAAACACACATGCTATCACTTAAGATAACATTTCTATTTTAATCAAAATGTGCATTCATCAATAATGAGATCAAAATTATAAGTAACAATGTAAATTATGTGTAACAATAGCACTCTTTAAAAATCCCAAAAATACCTAAAACTCTTTCAATTCAAAGAAACAATATTTCATGGCTTCAGATAAATTATTCTTTCTTAATTCTAACATATTTTCTAAATGCTTACCATTTACTTGATATTTAAGTACAAATTACATATAAAATAAATCGATCAGTTTAATTGTAATGTACAATTCAAACAAGCACAAATAATATTACTGAGTTCAAACCTGTCTCAATGAGAAGGAAAGCAAAGAATAGACAGAACCTCAGACAATCAAACAGCCAATAAGTTTAAAGTAGATTTAATAAATACAGATAAATGAATAACATTTCTAAGAACGCTAGATCAGATTAGATCATTTTCCTCAAATAATTAATCACAAAATCTGTTTCCTTGCCATTTCAACCAATTCATTCTAATCAGCCTATGAATTTTTTTTATATTTATGCTTTCATGAAATCATTATTGGCTTTTAGTTGGTGTAAAATTTGAGGGTAAATTAATTTCAATTTATACACATGAATATGTATCTAATCTACAAACCCTAGGGTAAAAAATTGTATAAGTATTTGTCAGTTAACAATAAAACAATGGTTTTCACTTTATTTCATGCTAATAAGTACATTCATGCTCAAAAATATATGCACTTTCAGCATGAAATTTTATTTGGTAAATATATGAGTAAAAACATTTTTAACTTTAAGATTTAATTGGATCTGTTCAACTTTATGCTCAAGATCCCAGTTGATAATAAAAGTAGTTGTTATAAATACACATTCCGAAAATCTGATAAATCTTTAGTTAAGTCCCCTTAGTTCTATTAGTAAGTTTTCCACTTTATCTATTTGTTTACTGTTTTTTTTTGTTTTTTTATAATTTGGTATTTCATCATCAACTAATGGCATTTATTATGCAATATGCTTTTTGTTTTGCTTTTTTTTAAATTATAGCCTCTTCATATCAGAAAAAAATTGTGTATGAAATATTCAAAGACTCCACTCTTATAAATAGAATGCATACACAGTATGTAAACATATTCAGTCAAAATCCAAGTCTCATCGCTCTGACAAAACACATTTCCATTCAAAAGAATACATCATCGTTGGAACTATTTGCCTTTCTAATCAAGATTTTAAAGCAAACGCACGAGTTGCACTTCTATTTTTTGGCAACATTGAATTTCACTAATTAAGAATCAACACCAGACAATCTACAAAGTATCCTTAAACTGTGTAACATCAGATAAAATTGAAATCCTGATCAAAATACATAAAAAAACTTTAATAAATGTGTACTTCTTAGAGACCTGTTTTTTCACAATTTATTGAAGTGAGGAGTGGTCAAGAAGTAGTTTAGAAAAACACCTTTATATTTCAACCTTTATTCGCGTCTTCTGCAGGGCATAAAGTGTGGTACTATTCTTGTGGTGTCATATTGGTTTTGTGTGAGTGTTGTCCACTCCAGAAAATAAGGCCTTTATAATATGCTTTTTAATTTTTAAAAAATGAAAATAAAGGCACAGATAAAACTTACTTAGCAAATTACAACTATAAACATATAAAGTGAAATTATAAATAAAAAACTTATTTATTGACAATAATAATAATAATACAGTTAATTACATTTATAAGCAATATTATAATAATGTGGATATAAATGTACTCAATAAAAAATAAACAATACGGCATGGATACTCTGTCTGCACTTGTTGACAAAGAAATAAGTATATTAAAATAATAGTGAAGGTACGAAATTTCCTCAGTTGAAAAATATATAATGCCAGATAGAGAAAATTGATGAGGCGAGGATACGAAGAATAAAACATTCACTTTTTTTCATAAAACAATTACTTTTTAAAATATTTTTATTTACTTTTAAATAGAAAAATAGAAAAAAATATGACTATAATTTATTTATGACTTTTTCTGGTCATTATTGATATACTGTATAAATTAAAAATATTTACTGTGCCAGGCTGATAAATATAACCAAGCCATCTCTATTATAGTTGGTAAATTCACAGTTGTAGATTTAAAAAAATTAAATTAAATTTTTTTAAAATTGTTCACTGAAAATGTGAGGGAGGGAATATAAAGTAATAGATGGTCAGACATCAAATGTTAAGTACTAATAGAATTCACAAACGTCAGAATTTGTCATAAAAGTTCATTTATCTGAGTAATAGATTTTTATCTACAACATGCTCTCAAATAATCAACTACAACTTCAAAGATTACAACTAAGCTTGCACAAATTTCACTCTTATTTTATGCACAAAAATACAAGAATGAATGCTAGGTTGTTGTTTTTTTGTTTTTTTTTTTTTATGAACAACTAGCCACAAACACAACAAACCAATGTGAATCAGATAAATTGCGAGATACGTCATTCTGAAAAACTGCTATTATTGCATCTCATGAATTTAATCCATTTCAATCCTATTTATGAACATTGATAACTCCTGACTGAGCAGTCACTGTAAACATGCTCTTCCTTAACAACTGTGAGATTTTTCTGTGCAGTCTGTAGGGTGATGAACCTGTAATTAGGTCACTACGTATCATTTTCGTCAGTTTACCCTCGCTGTGATGGTCTGTCAGATGTGTTTTGGTCATCTTCAGTGTGGGATATTTGTGTTGTTTAATTGCCCGAGACTGAAGATGGGAAAATGCCAAAAAAGTGTCAGATAAACAACACAGCAAAAGTAGGCAGCTCAAAATGATCTTTCTAATTAGCATAACTAATCAGAAATACACGATTCAAATTAAAAGATCAAGTTAAATATATTTATAAATTTCATTCATATTTTAATGTGCGTACATTTCACCATGAAATAATGAACGGCGGTTGATATTTTTTGTTTATTCGTACTTACAAAGAACACCAAAATAATGTTAGAAATATAGAAATGTTATTAGAAAAATTCCAAGGTCCATCGAATTGACAAAGTAGACAATCATTCTACCGTCCATATTAGAAATCTTTTATAGTTCCTATTAAGTGTAATTTTTATTATGGTTTAAATTACATAGTTAAAAGGAAATAATTTTTTCAGTGAGAAAGGCTTACAATGATGAAAGAAAACATGATTTCTACAAACTATCGTCACTTATATTCCTAGAGAACTGATTAAAGGCACTTGCAGCATATTGTACATTACATTCGACGACTTCGGACCTCCTAGAGAAAGGCTTACATTGAGAACTGATGGAATTTGTAAATTAGGTTATCAGACACAATAATATAATTATAATAACAATAATGTGTTATATTGTTGTAATAATGATGTGTTTATTATTATATATCCCAACTAAGAAAACACAGTTTGAAATCAGTTCAACCGAAACCTCAAAGATAACACTCTAACTTACAAATTTCATATCTATTTTGCCTACACGAAATTTCAATCGGTGAGAATGAGCAATATAATACAGACAAAATCGAAGGTCAAACATGGTGAGAATACTATGCAGTTGTTATCCATCTGTCAGATTTTATCAACATTAAATATATATACCTGATGTTTTTAGACTGAGAAAATAACATTTGCTGTATATAACGGGGTAAAGTAAATAACTTTTGGTCGTAGATGCAAATCAGACCGATATGAGACGACAGGATTCACAATGCCCAAAAGTTGTCAACAATTAATTAAGCACATTTGCTCTTACTAGCCAGGCTACCTAATCAAAAATTCAAAATAAACGAACAGTTTCACTTCTATTTTAAGATACAATAAATTTCACTGGTTTCTCTTCTACTAGCGAAAATAGTTTATACCGGATAAAATAAAAGTCCTATCATCCTGAGAAAACAAGACAGCCATTTCTGTCTGATAGATCATATAAATATTAGACTAATTTATTAGCAGACTTGTGCAAACTGTCAATTACTGTTTATACATAGTTACAAGTATATAATTTTTCCGTTAACAAATTGTGAGATTGTTCAATAAGATATCACATAGAACCTTGAACTATGAGGTTGTACTTAATATACCCTCAGCACGCCGGTGTTTTTGAAAAAGCACATTTATAAGTATATCGGGGTACGAATACAGGGTCTCTGGATCTTTACATTACGTTACATTATAAGCACTAGTTCAACACCTAAACCTTTGCATTCACCGATCCATACAGTATGTAAACACCTAATAAGAGAAAATTTAAAGTTGATCATCCTGACAAAACTCACTTCCATCTGGATGATTTTATCATTAATACGTTTGTGTGAAACAGTTTTTGAGTAGAATCATCCTTTTTATGAAACTATTTTCAGCCCACACAAATAAAATCAAAATGCATTTCGTTTTCACTATTTTTGGCTATATGAAAATTTCACCATACAAAGATGGTTAACCGATCAACACTAGACCATTTTTTTCACTCACTTCTACACTTTCCACACACATAAATAAAAGCAAAAACAATAAACACCAGAAACAATTTAAGTCCAATCTTTAGTCACGATAAATTCATAGATTTTATCAAAATAAATTCTATTTACCATATCATGCAGATCAATAAAAATCAAATAACATCTCCATTTTACTGAGTAAATTGTTTTTATAAAAGAATAATTCTTTTATTGAAAGAGAGAAAACATTGAGAAGGGTAATGATCAATCACAATCAGCCTGACATTTTCAAACAGCAAACATATATAAAGCTATTCATTCAGAAATTGTAACTTCCTGACTGTATGTTTATGCAATATCTTCATAAATAATCAATTCAAAAATTTCACTATGTAATTACTGACAAAACAACACGAACTAGATAAATATATTTCAACCGTCCTGAGATGGATTTTATTCTTTTCATAGCTGCTTTACAGCGAGTCGGTGAACTCATGAACCAGCATTGGTCCACACAATGAGTTCATCTTCATTTGTGGGTTCTTTTGAACTACCCAATGTCGGTTCAGCATGAGTTCACTGACGTGCAGACCAACTCGTAGCATCAACTCTTTAAAGCAATTACTATCTCAAATGTTTCACCAGTGTCAGAACTATGAATGTTCATATAATCTCATAGTTGAAATACCCTCATAAAAATTGTAACTGTTAAATTAATAACAAAAGAACCTGACAGACAAATTTCAACACCTACCATCTTGAGATATACAATATCGATTTTATTCATGCCGTAACTGTTTTAATCCGATCAACCTGAGGATTTCATATTGAATCATCATTCGGTCACCTATTGGGCTCTTTATCACTCACGCGTTTGAGTAGTTCAACAAATCCTTGCGTGAACCCAAAGCTGGTTCAGCATGAGTACATAGACTTGCAAACCAAGACCCAGTATCAATTCTATAAAGCAATTTCTATCTCAAATTGTTTACCAGTGCCAGAACTATTTACTGTACCACGTTTTCAGCTTGGGTAGTAAATTATTAATAATTATCATAAATAATAAGTTCAAAAATTTCAACGTTTGATTAATGACAATTGCTTCTCACGATTTCCGAAAAATCATAATTAATGACAAAACAACACCAAACATATAAACTGCATTCACCATCTTGAGAAATCCAAACCTGGTGAAGTTACAAAGCAATTCATATTAAACCGGCAATGGGCCACATATTGGGTCCGTCTTCAGCGGTTTGTTGAACTACCCGATGCTGGTTCAGCAAGAGTTCACCAACTCCAACGCAAACACTCAGCATCAACTTTATAAAGCAATTTCCATCTCAAATGTTTTACGGATGTTAGAACTATTTACTGCACCACCTTATGCAAATCTGATCAACCTGGTGAAGCTATATAAAGCAATTTATATCCAACCGTCATTGGGTCAATTACTAGGCTCATCACTGACAGGTTTGAGTTGTTCAACAAACCTGTGAGTGAATACTGACTCAATAAGTGACTCAACATTGGTTCAGCATGAGTTTGAAAACTCCTCGCATCCTACAAAGTAATTTCTATATCAAATGTTTTACCAGTGTTAGAACTATTTACTCTAAGTATTGCTTGGCAATGGAGGGAGATATAACTCATCAGTCAGATGTCTCAAATTAATGGAATTCACAAAGGTCAAAATTTTCCATTATGGCTAATGTCTGATTAGTAAACTTAAATTATTAAAGAAAGAAGGCGACTGATACAAGGAATAAATTTGCGTTTAAATGTATAATTGACACTTTCCAAATAACCTTGTGAAGTACGGACAAGTAAATTAGCTGTTTTTTTTTTGTTTTGTTTTTTTAAAATTATATAAGTTATTTTATTGGGTTTGTAGTTCTCCCCTGTTGTATGGTACGTAAATTAACAGCAGTGAATGAATCTGTAGAATTGGTTGGAGTTGTGGTTATTTATAAATTCTTTATAAGGTCGCGCCACAAAAGGGGAAAATTGGTTTGAAAAACTGGGATATAAAGTGGAAAACTGATTGTTAAAAAAATATTGGCAATTGGTTTTTATTAATAAAAATTAAATGGAATGGCCGAAGAGCGGTGGCTGGGGAAAACCTGCTGGAAAACGCCATCGGACCGCGAGCGAAAAATTATCGGAAAACCCTCCCGGAAAAACGGAAAAGCCGTTTCCACCGGTCAAAAAAGACGGCGATGTTCAAGGGGAATAAGTAAAATAAATAATTTTAAATAAAATAGAGAAAGAAAAAACTCCCACCCTAAGGAGGTACTCACCTTATGGAAGTGGCGAAGGGGCCGATCCGGAGCGGAGACGGCAGCCTCGTCGAAATCAGCCGGAGGCCCGACGAGAAAGAAACTCGGCTCGAAATCGCCTCTAAAAGAGGAAAAATGATCCGAGTCGGAGTTAAAATTATATAGTTTAACGCCCGTCAAACCTGAAATGAGACAACAGAGGAGACGTCAAGGTCTGCGCTCTAAATCGTCGACAACAACCTTCGGCCGTTTTATTGCGCTTTTCTCATTCGACACGGGCGCGATTAAATACACATTCGGTCCGTTCTATTGTGCGTTTATTTGCCCGTTCCTCTGATCCCCTTGCCAAGGGGGCTTTTCACAAACTTTTTTTCACTTTTTTCAAAATCTCGATTTGACATTTTCGCCTTCCAGATCCAGCCCCTCCACAGCCGAAAAGGAACGGATAATATGCTCGATTTACACCCAGATGCGATAAATTACAAAAAAAGAAAAGCAAAAAAAGAAATAGCGGACAAGTCAATTGTTACCGTTTCACAATAATATTTACAGTATGAAACAAATGAAGATCTGAATAATATCAGTCAAATAACATATCGAAACCTTAAACACATTAAAAACAAAACAGAACAACTCGTTAAAAAAATAATAAATCCTCCAGTTTATAAATTATTTATTTATTTTTACTCGATGAGAATAATATTAATAAAATTGAGGGTAATTCAAAGCCGAACTCCCAACCTCTCAATCTGAAATGGTTCGTTAAGGCGCGACCATTTGATTTCAAACAATCAGGTTTATCCAGAAATTGAAAGAATAATACATAAAAATCTTAGTAGAACATTAAACTAAACATATACAGACATATAATACTTCATAATAACAATAGAATGCTTTATTTAACAATAATTGCGAAATTATATACACTGAGAGTGTTTTTTTTTACAATAAATACTTGCAATCGTTATCATTTTTATTTTTTTCTTCCTTATTGGATATTTTTAAAGATAAATATAACACATAACTAAATTAAAAAATTCAGAGGAGTGATAGGACTATTAACCAATCACTGACATTGAGAAAACATCTACAGAACATGGGTGTATACAAAAATGATCCCATCTGCAGATGATTACGGAGGAAGAAACAGCCACCCATATCATCTTCGAATGCAAAGGAACGGCTCAATGGAGATTTAACCTAACACATAAAAAAAATCTTGGGAATGAAATTGCAGCGACCTGATACATCTAAGAAGAAGGATTGAGCCTATTGCACTGAACTAGGGAACTAGTACAATAAGCCAGAAGGCTGCAGTGCCTGGGGAGCAAGAACCCTACTTTCTAGTACCCTCATGACCATTACCAAATAATGAATAAAACTGAGTAAAACAATTTTACTAAAAAATATATGGAAACAATGAAAAAAATATTTAATTCAGTATAGAGTATTTCTTCCTCTTGCATTGATCACCACTTGCATTCGACGTGGCATCGATTTTATTAAGTTTTGAATGTAGCCATTGTCAATTCTTGTAAATTCTCTGGATTCACTGGGCGACTTTTTACCCCCTTTGACAACTTCCCAAAGGTGTTTGATAGGGTTTAGGTCGAGACTAAATGCTGACTACTCCAAACTTTGAATTGAAGTCAGTTCAAAGTAGTCACCAATGGCCTTGCATTGTCATGCGTGAAAATAAAACAGTTGTTAATTAGTTATAAGGAATAAATTCTGTTAACATATCTTCAATGGAACGCGCAGCTGTTAGGGAACCCTTGATGAAGATCAAGTGCAAACACTAGAAATGCCTGCCCAAATCATAACACCAATAATTATACTCAGAGGTTTTTTTTATAGTAAATACATGCAGTCGGTATAATTTTTATTTTTTCTTGCTTGCTGGATATTTTAAAAGAAAAATTCAGAGGAGTGATAGGACAGTCACTGGCATCTGAGGAAAGGACAATGATCCCATCTGCAGATTATTACGGAGGAAGAAACATGCATTCAAATGCAAAGCGACGGCTCAATGTAGATGTAAGATGAGAGTCGACTCTTGCTCAGATCAATTGATGTGATTTCTTGCAAAACAACTGAGCTGTTTAGGTGCCATGTCAGAAGTTCAGGACTGGTAGCAGTCCTTCTCACACATAATCCAGCTTCTGAAAGTTTCGCCTTACAGTGCATAAACTGACATTAATATTTCTAACTTTTTGAAGCCATTGCTTGATCCCAACAGCTATAGAATTTCGATTATAGAGAACATTCGAAACAGTAAAACTATCATCTCTCTGAGAATGAAGCAAATTCCATAGTTTGGATATTTGGATAAGGAATGTGGGAAAAAAGTTTATATATATTGAGGACATTTATTTGATGTAATTTTTAAGATGTTATGTTAAGATGTATGTTAATATAGGAAAAAATATGATCTCTTGGTTTAAAACAACATCAGTACTAAATGCAGGAATGATAAGCAATTTGAAGGAGGTGAGCAGATTGAGAATATAAGGAAAGTGAAAAAGAATGCTACAGTAAGACAGTAATGGAATTATGATGGATTTAATATGGATAATTCTAGTTTCTGTGGAGTGGAAAAGCTAAGTCATCTAAGAGAATAAAAGCTTGAGTAAAGCTTGAAGTTAAATATAATGCCAAGATTTTTAACTTCCCAACAAAAATTAATAGGAGAGCCATTGATATGAGGAGGAGATAGGCAATCTGTATTAATGGATTTATTGTATATTAAAAGGACTAGGATTTATTAGTGTTTAAAAGATGGTCAAGTTTTTTAAAAATATCGAACAAAACAATCACTTTTTTTATATAACATATATTTCAGGACATCCACGTCCCCTCATCACAACAACTTTCCCAAGCTGGAAAGGAAGAAACAATTAAGAGAGAGAGAGAGAGAGAGAGAGAGAGAGAGAGAGAGAGAGAGTGAGAGAGAAATTTAATTATTTATTAAAAAAAGAGATTAATATGTGCAAAAGAGAATTTAATAATTGAGAATTATTATTTATAAAAATATTGATACTAGAAATAAGAAAAACCTAAAATAAATACAAATTTTATTATTTTAAGTTTATAAATTTATGATTTGTCTATAACAATAGTCACACAAAAAAATAATGGGCTATTCAGTGAAAATAACTTCCACACTTTAATACAAATGTAAAAAAGGACACTTTAGTTAAAAAATAATTGACAGCTATAAACAGCTGTAGATAAAATAAAGTACAGTATTATCTTATTTATAAAGCTATAATTAATTGGGCTTTCGTTTTTAATGAACTCTGTTAAAGGAAAAGCAAATGCGACCATATCCGGTAAGCCCTCTTCAGAACAGGAGAATCGCCTGACCAGTAAACCAACTGCTTTCTGACGGCAAACAACGATTCCACCCGTGTCCATGCAAGGGATGAAATCTCCCTTCTTTTGTATGGAACAGGATCCACTTGTCGGAGGAATGTTTAATGCGCAAAAGGAATTTTTCATTGAGCACAGCAGGTTTTTGCAGTCGTTTCCTTGAATGATGTCAACCGATGTCTCTAATAAAGCTAGGCCAATCTGGATTCTATCCCAGGAGATGGCAGTACATTCAGAAGCCTCATTCATGCTCTTGATTTCATTTTGTGACAATGGTGAACTGAATAAAGGAGCTACATCTACCAGATTAGTCGATATGTGAAAAGGCTCTTCGAGATCCACCAACCCAAAATCATAGTCAAATCTCGCGGTGCACCTCGGATGTGTTCGCCAAGAACGTATGGATTTCGTTTGAGAAGAGTTTTCAGGATTCGAGAAAGAGATTGTACCGCCTGTCACTTTGATCAAATGCCATCGCTTGAGTTGGAATTTCTTCTGTGAGTTATCCCAGAACATAATGCAATGGCAAGTACACAACACCTTGTCTTCTGCCACGATCATCCCGGCGCATAAGATAGGCATAGGGTCAAAAACCTTTATCTTATGAATACCGACGAAAAAGGGATACTTGAGCTGAGTGGAGCTGGACTCTCCGTTTTTTCCTCTCTTTAAATTAGTTGGATATATGGGTGTCGGCCAGACAAAAGAAAAAATTAAACCTAGACCAACAAGGCGAGATAATTTCATAACAAATATCATATGATAAAAAATTACATTTTAAATACTTAAAATTGTATTTATTTCTAGATTTATTTTTTAAATAATTTTGTCAATAATAATTTTGACAATAGGAAAAAAACAAATGTTAGATAAAAGCTTTGCTCGTTTGGGACTAGCCAAATTTGGCAATAGTTCTCATGTTACTTCTACCATTTTTCTATTTACCGACTATGATATGTGAACATTAAAACAAAGTTAAAAATTTAATTTCTACTTTTTTCAATTTTATTTATTTATTTACACCTGCACTTGTGCTTAGCTAAATTTTATAATATATTAAAACCCAAAACAAAATGAACAAAAAAACAAAAAAAATACGTGAATAACAAAAAAGAGGACGTATTTATTAGTAGTCACGCCTATATATTATTTATCTTATATAACATATAACGTCTTGGTTGAGATGAAAATGCTAGTGTCACAGGCAGGATTCGAACCCACGACCTTCAGCTCAACTAGTACCAAGCTCTAATAGCTCATGGGATTAGAGCTGCGGCGTATGAGTCCCTTGGCTAACCCGCTAATTTAAAAAAAACCTTAAACTTTATATCTTATAATAATTGGGACCAACATTAAAAAACATTTTCAATAATTATAATTTTTATCTAATGTCTTGGTTGAGATGAAAAACCTAGTGTGCTACTATGACCTTCGACTCATATGCTGCAGCTCTAATCACATGAGCTATTAGAGCTTGGTACTGGTTGAACTGCAGGTCGTGGGTTCGAATCCCGCCCGTGACACTAGCATTTTCATCTCAACCAAGACCTTAGATAAAAAGTATAATTATTGAAAATGTTTTTTAATGTTGGTCCCAATTATTATAAGATATAAAGTTTAAGGTTTTTTTTAAATTACCGGGTTAGCCAAGGGTTAAATGCTACATAACAGAATCTAACTGCGATATAATGAATATGTTTGGTAATATCGCACCAAAGAGCTTTAACATCGGAAATGTTAAATTTTTGAAATTACAATGTTATTGTTGCAGTGTACTTTAGTATTTTAGTTTTAGTTTATTTCATTAGCAACTCACTAATAATTCGTGAAAATGTTTTATTTACTATTTATTTAGAAATCGTGAGATGCGGTCTGGTGTGATGTAGGTTTCAGAAAAACATTTTCTTTATCGTGCCAACGTTTCGAGCTTTATTGAGATCATCTTCAGGGCTCAAAGTGTTTGTCTTCTGTGTAATTGTGTCATTCTTGCGTGTCGTGTCGAGAGTTTTATTTACTCAACGATACAAAAACCGTTTTTTCTTCTTGCCCTCAACTTAGCAAGTCTCAGAGCCACGTGCTTTTTTATCATTGCCTCACGCTACCAGATTCTGCTCCACTCTTTCAACGCCTGGTGGACCAATTTTTTTGCTTGTTTTTGTTCTTTCTTTTCATCCAAAATGCAACCACCAAAAGCTTATTATGTGAAAAGATCGTCATTTCAGGTAGCAGTTTACTGGAGATACCAAATGTAGTTAATTACAGAGGCAGTAGCTGCATTGACGCAGTGATTAAATTTTTTTCTGGAATGTATTTGAGTCGTATTGAAATATATATTTATCACCTCTAATGACCTAATGCCGCTCGACCTTAGGCATATTTGTACTGATAAACCTCATAAAACTTGAGTTGTTGAAGAAATGGCAAAACCTCTATTGTTTATTCGACTTTTTTAACGGCGCCTGTGACAATATTGATAGGAATTTTTGAAACTATGTAGCGTAGAGATTTCCGCCAAATTAGGCCATATCTTGTAAAGATTGTATGGTGATTCGGCTGTGCATAAGCATATAGAATATACATCAGAATGGTTTTCAGATGAGCTCGATCGTTAAACAAAGAATCTTTTGAGTCCTATTCGTTTTTCGTTGCTCATAGACGATATGCTTATAGATATAGGTACTACGGTGTATTCCGATGTGTTATTCAGTACTGTGCAAGGTGGAACTTAACAGTCTACCTTAATAATTCAAAACTTGTGGTTTTTAGAAGGAGTGGTAGAGCTCTCAAGATAAATGGTTCTTTTGGTTTCTCTGTTGTTTCCCAATAACACCAACTTCAGGCGGAAATTCTGTGTGACAAAATTTGCCCTAACAGGCTTTGGCCAAATATCTCAATATGTGTATTCCATAATTTATTATTATTCTGATTCACAATGAATAAATTAACAACTCCTTATAAAATCCTATGTTTTAGCAATCCATACATGTCTAGCAGTCGTGAATGACCTATTAATTTGTTCAATTCATTATATGTTTTATCTAAGGTTTTGGTTAAGATGAAAAAGTTATCCTCCCGCTCGTGAAGCTTTTTCTTCTCAACCAAAACCTTAGATAATGGAACTATTTTTAAGGTATCTATATAACATCTTCTCAGAAAGGAGGTCGCGAGGCCATTTCCTCTTAAAGTCGCCTTACGGGATTGTAGGGATGGGTTCTGTGGGACAAAAGCTCGGAGAGACTATTGGGGTGATGGGAGAGATTATCGTGGAAGTTAGTAAATTTTTGAGGGATTATGTTTTGCATAAATGGGATTTTAAGGTCGTTCTGAAGGGTAGTTTATACGAAGCATTTATAATTGGCCTGAGGACTTTAGGCTGAAAGGATTGGAGACTTTGAAAGACTTAACCGTGCCCCACAGTTCTACCGTATCTTTCAACGAATTGAGGTTTTTAGTTGAGAAAAAAAGTCAGTGTCATGAGCGGGATTCGAACCCACGTTCTTCGGCTACATACGCCGCAGCTCTACCACTTGAGCTATCCTGACCTCTATCCACTCGGACATCAACCTCCCATCTCCCCATCTCAACCCCACTTTTTTTTTAATTTTCCCTCCTTTTTGCCATTTCTAAACTAAAAACCTTAATCAATTGAAAGATATTAATTGGTCAAGTGGACCACGAAAACTTACCAACTTAATAACCTCGAAAACTTACTTAAACCAATTTAATAAGTTAAAATTAAGTATACTTTCACTAAAGCTCTCCGTGGCCATTTCATTTGTCGCCGAGAATCAAATAGATTACACGACATTTGAAAAAGGTTGGGTTAAGATGGGAAGTTAGTGTCCTAGTGGATCGAGGTCACGATAGCTCAAGTGGTAGAGCAGCAGCGTATCTAGGCGAAGATCGTGGGTTCGAATCCCGCTCGTGACACTGACTTTTTTATCTTAACTAAAAACCTTAATTCATTGAAAGATATTCATTGGTCAAGCGGACCACGATAACTAGTAAGTTCTATCGTTTGTAATAGCGTTTTATAAATTTGTTTTTCGTCGAAAGCTTGGATTGTCGTCCTCTAAGGTTGTAGACCTAACCGAAGCGCCTGTTTAGGTGTTGTAGTTTCAGTCGTATGTGCTGATCCCACCTTAAATATGATGGAATCCAAGAATATCGAAAGCAGTCGGATTTTGGGATAGGAACGTTGTTGTAATACGTGAGAGGAGATTTGTTTCGTAGTGACATGAACGCACTTGCTTTCATTTATCTTCATTTTTCCATTGTCTACAGTCTACACATATCTGCTATACATGTGGTATTTAACCACAGGATCAGGGTTAGAGGATAGTATAGTGTCATCGGTAAACAACGCAAGAATGGTTTAGTGGGAACAACTGCAGTATAAACGAGAGGATTGGTTCGAGCACTCTGCCCTTCGGTACTCCCGCGGCCAGAGAGTTCGGAGTAATCTGATCCTGTCGGACCCGAAAGAACCACTCTGTTAGATAAGAGCGGATGATTAAGCGAGAGTATTTGGAAGGACACGCTTTAATTTGTACAGGAGCCCCTCATGCCACACAATTATACCACAATAAAAAAGGATCCTATTCAATATTCTTTGCGCTCAAGAGAAGGATATGTGGTCCATAACGCGTACACTTGCTGGACGGACCTTTGGTCAAAATATCTCAATAAGTGTACTCCATAATTCATATATTATTTATATAATTCTCCTAATTCTCCAAATGAAGGGATAAAATCCTTACTATTTTTTAAGTTAGCTTAAACAGTATATAATAAAACCAGACAAAATTTCATTAAAAAACAAGCAAAATCAGAGATTTTAATGGGCCATTAAACATAAGTAAAAGTTAAAAGTTGACATGTAAATTTTGTAACTATCATAGAAAACCATATTGATAGTTTTAGTCGGCAAATAAAATTAAATGGAGAAATTTGAATATGTACTCCAAAAAGCCGGTGTGCTGTGTACCAGTTAGGTCAAAATCTCTCGCTTATCCTTCCGTAGCATCTTGATGTGAGACACAGGCCAACTGCGCTAGGAATTCTATTATGGTTCTCGTTGGTCTCCCGGACATGCCTTTTCTCAGGTACGGATACATATATCCGGCAGACAAGTTGACTCCGTAGGTGTCCAAATGTATCCAGTCAACCCCGGGGACGAATTCGTTGAGGAATCCAGCACAGGCGCAGGGGAGTCCGTATATTTGTTTATCAACGACATCCGAAATATCTGACGTCGTCACCTATCAGAAAAAAAATTAAATTTTATCGGAGAAATGTTTTGTTCCTCGGATTGATTTAGTTTAAATTAAAGTTTGGGTTGTAAAAGTTTATGAATATAGCTGTGCAGTACAAGCACGGGGACCGTGGTTGCCGAGTGATTAAGGCTTCGGCTAGTCGATCCCGCGGCCGTGGGTTCGATTCCCATGGTCGCGTCTGGTCTTTTTTCTGACGCCTAAGGGGACCGGTGGCCGCAATGAAAATTGAAACGGCACTCATCAATGGAATATCAGGGACAGGATCGGATCTCGGCGACCCTGAATTTGGTCCCGAACCCCTTCGAAAATGAGTTTCTTCGTTGCAAGAACACCGGCATACTGGGTACTCAATTCACACAGGGAAGCTCCCAAAAAATGGAGCCAAGAAGGAGTACAGTAAACTGTATAGCTGCAGTGTTCAAGGGCACTCCTCCAGTTCCTGGGATCCACCGCAATAAAAATATTTTAAAAAAATACAAACACACCTTTGAAGTGTAGTGCTGCCACAGAGGGAGTCTCCAAACCCTGTCACCCGTGTGCATAGCGGCAACCCTCATGTTTTCGAATAGTCGGTCATTGTTGCTGAAACAGCCTGTAGCAGCAGCTCCCAAAAGGTCTGTCATTTCTTTCGATAAGGTCCCGACGTCGAGGACAAACCTGGGGTTGTAGACTGACGCGTAGGAAAGTGCATCGGCGAGAGCCAGCCTCCCGTCGAAATCAGTATAATCGACCATTATAGTTTTACCGTTTTGCGCTCTTATCAAGTCTCCTGGCTTCATGGCGCAAGAACCCGGAAGATTTTCGTAGAGGGGCACGAGGCCTCGAATGTTAATGGGAAGCTGGAGGGCAGAAGCAGCCCTGAGGACTGCGACTACGACGGCCGCACCCGACATCTCACCCCTCATATTCTTCATTTCTGGGCACGACTTTAAGCAGAGGCCACCGCTGTCGAAAGTGACCCCTTTTCCGACTAATACAACTGGTTGCACGTCTGGGTCGCATCCATAATAACTAGTCTCTAAAAATATTGGAGGCTCGCAAGATCCTCTCGCTGCCATCAAAAACGCTTCCATTCTCATGATTTTTGACCAATTTCGTACCTGCAATTGAATGTTAATGTTAAAACATATAAAAATTAAATTCACTGATAGAAAATTGAATATCAATCATTGTACACTATCCTAAACTTTGTAAATACTATTCTTAACATTTTTAGAAACATTCAAAGGTAGATTACACCAAAATAGTGCGCTCTCTAATACGTTGGTACTCATTGATGACTGGTTGCTAAAAACTCAATTTAGTTGAAAATACCTTAACTTCTACACTGACTCCAGCTTTGCATAACACTTCGACAGCAGCTTGCGCGAACGTTATAGGTGTGAGCATATTGGCCGGTGTTTCTGCCATTTGTCTAGCGAGATTCTGAGCCGCAGCCTTCTGCAAACCAATCTGCCAACCGGTGTAGTCGCAGTCGTCGTACAGTTCCAGTCTCGGGATAATTTTTTGATCCAACGGGTTTTTTAACTCTTGGTACATCCATACTCCCATCGCGGCTCCTTTAACCGAACCAGTTTAAAAATGCCAGCGATTTAAGAAAACCGACTCACCTTCTGCTGAAGATTCGGCGTGAGAGAATCCCTCGACAGAAATCGTCCTCATGTGGAGATGCTGAAGGGCTTGGACCCCATGAGCTGCCCCGGTACGTATAGCCTCCTTCCATTCGTCTATTTCTTCGTCTTCGTTGTAGCTGACACATTCGTCTCCTAGACCGACGACTGCCACGGCCGCATATTTAGGATCTAAGCCATAGAATATCCTCACCTCGCCTGCTTTCGGAACTGGCCCAGACACTTTCAACAATTCGGACAATCTACGATGTTTTTGTTATAGATAATTTTAAGTTTAAGTTCAGGTAACTTCAGTTCAGCACCAGTCGGGCTTATACCGGCACTGGGGCTGAATGGTGGAGAGAAAGGTCCTATGAGCAAACCATTGAATTTTTCCGTTAAGTAAAAACTGTTATTTTCAGATATTCATTAAAGCCGTTTAGGTAGGAACTAACAAATCGTATTTTGGCTGTGGTTAAGTATGCGAATGAACACATGTTATGCTACACTAATCGGCTTGATCCCTTTACTCGGTTTGTACATCATAAGCCTTAAGACGCACGGACTGCTTTTCCATAGCTATTACGACCTCAGAGAAGCCTTCATTTTTAATTGAAGAATAAAAATAATATTATAAAGTACATATATAATGAAGCAAACTGCTAATAGCGCAATTACAAAAACCGTCGCGTTTTACAAAAAATAATCGTTACCAACCATTAGAAGGAACACGACTGGAATAAAAGACAATTTTGTCCAATAGTAGCAGCTGCTACAAATGAGGCTAAATACCAAGAAGGACCTCCCAAAACTTGCAAAAGCTGTTTGTACTCCAGTTTGATTTTTAAAAATAAAAGTGGTTTTTTTTTTAAATTAAATGTAAATAAATTACCGATTCCCCAACCTCTCGGGACTTCCCTCCACCATTTTTGTAAAGTTTTTAAATTAATTAAACACCACCTATGATCCACTCCTTTGTCATAATTAGTCAGAGATTTTGTGAATGTCTTCTGCTCCCCGTGAACATCTGCGTCCTCGTTGTACAATCCTAAAACCAAGCCCATCATCTCCGTCATATCTCCGGCACAGTTGAGCGATCTTTTGTGAATTTTGAAAAATAATTCGCAATTATCGAGTAGCCGATGCATTGCACAATTAGCCATATCTGATTTTAAAATTTTATGGGGAATTTTCCTATTACTAAAAATTTTGATAAGCCAAACTTAATGTATTTTTTGTTTATTTTGCCTTTATGTTAGCCAAAAAGTCATATGATTTTTAGGAGAAACTTTTTAGGTTCTGATGGAATTTGTTGATATCATGTGTTGACAATTCTAGTCATTCGAGTTGGCTTAAAATTGAGAATTAAAATAATGAACTTGCCACGATATTTTACCCAAATCTTGGTTCATGATTTTTCAATGCATAATATACATGCTAATTTAAAACCATGTTTTCAGGTACCATTTGAAACTTTACAATCCAAAGAGTAAATTGATAGTGGTTCAATATGCAGTATAATTGGCTAGACATAATTCAAATAATGTGTTAATGCAGAAAGAAAACGAATAGTAAGCTAATGAAGAGTTAAAACCCTTGTGATGTTGTATAAATGAAAATAAAGATATTTATTATTATTATTATTTATTACTTCCTATAAGTTGAATTATTCTAATAGTGTTTTTCTACATTTTACTTTTAATCTTTAGAGTAGTCGAACCATCTCATCGGCCCTAGAAAAAAGGAGTATTGCCTGGGCGCGATCTTAGACATAGCACAGTCTTTCGACAGGGTCTGGCATCCAGGCATACTTTTTAAACTTAAGCGCTTCCTACCCTTTCATTATTACCTTTTATTGAAATTTACCTAATTGATCGCTGTTTCAGAGTGAGGTGCGGTAATGAATGCTCAGAAGTCAAACACACAGGCCGGTGTACCGCAAGGTAGTATCCTTGGTCCTGTCCTATACATCATTTATACAACACATCCTGACATTATTATCACCACCTACGCGGACGACACCGCAATCCTATTTTCTAACTCGAATCCTGTCCAAGCTACCTCCAACATCCAGAAACACCTTGAGCTTATCGAAGACTGGTGTAAAAAATGGAGGACAAGACTGAACGAAGAAAAATGCACTCAGTGTACTTTTACGCTGAAAAAGCTGTCTTGCCCTGCTTCAACAACAAACATCAGCAACAAAGAGATACCAGTTTCCACTCAAGTCAAATACCTGGGGGCTATATCTCGACAGCAGACTGACGTGGAATCCCCACACAAGACTAAAAAACAGCAACTTAATACAAGATTTGGACTACTACGAAGACTTTTAAGACGGAAATCGACTTTAACAATTAAGACAAGGCTAACACTGTACAAGACTTTACTAAGACCAATATGGACATACGGAGTGGGACTGTGGGGCACTGCCAAGCCTTCCAATATCCAGCGCATCCAGTCTTTCCGATCGAAAGTCCTTAGACAAATTGTCCAAGCACCTTATTATGTCACTAACCTCACTATCCACAAAGACCTCAACATTCCTTTTGTCAACGAACTAATCCGGTCCAGATTCCAAACCTTCCATACCAACCTTTCGAACCATCCTAACTATACTGCTCGAGCCCTATGCACTCATTCCCATCCTGACAAACCACCACGTCGCCTCAACCGACGTTGGCCTCGGGACCTCCTTGACCCTTAATCATACACACTGAGTGGCAGCAATGGCTGGCTCCTCAAAGCATGTGTTCTACCGGTGTAGTGCTGGCATTAGTGCTAGTGTTGTGCTGTGTGATATATTAATCATGTGTACATATTTGTACAGTCGATTTTTCATCTTAAAAATTGTTTTACTGTCCAAAAATTCACCAAATTATTACTATATTACAAGAAACTTGCATAGCCCCTTCATATTTGTTTGCTTAAAACAATTTTTTTTACAACAGAATTTATTTTTTATATTACAAGTAAAATTGAAGATATGTTCAAAATTTCAAATAAAACAAAATTTGGCACGAGGGGAAGGATCATCCAATGGAGTACGTGGGGTCTACCCAACAGGTCGCGTGTCCACTGCCGCTTTATACTGACGGCAGCAAAGATGGCGTGTAGGCTACGCATTTGTTGCCTTCGGAGAGAACATGCAGATTATTGAACAGGTATTCCGGTTGAGTGGCCAGTGCTTTAACAACCAGGCTGAGCAACTGGCTATAGTGAAAGCTCTAGAGTGGGTAGATAGTCTAAAAATTTACAAAAAATAAGAATAGTACTCTAGTAGTAGTAGTACTGACAGTAGAATCACCATTGACTCGCTGCTGAACACCAAAATCTGCCCCCAATAGAAGACAAGAAGTAACCTAAAGCGGATTAACTAAAAACGTGCGTACCCACTGCTAGCAGACCGATCAACATCATTCCAAGAGATTTATATTTTCCATAATGTGGTTCTTAATTTTTTTCTTAGCTTTGATATTCTTTACACAACTTGTCTTATTGGATTTATAGACAACATGAAAAGCATTAGAGCTAAATTCATGATATTTAAATATTCTTCAAAACGTTTTTATCAGTCAGTCGAAATGAGCCGAAGGGTGCCTTGCGTTTTTCTCGTCAAGATGATTGAAAGTGGCGGAACTGGCCTTCATGCAGACGGGCTGTACTCCAAAAAATTTCACACTCGGGTGAACCACAAATTGTTTACTCGTGTTGCACAAAATATAGTCCGTCAAGGAGCAGGCCACTTCATTTTGATGAAGAACTAAACATTTCGTTGTTCTCGAAAATCCGCACTCCTCCAATGACCGCAAGGGGTTTTTTCATGGCATACAATTTTAGACCACATCTGTCATCTTGTCCGAGTGTTCGGGACACTAGCTTTGAGGCTCATGTTCCTTTCAGAAACGTTTGATTTGGTATACAGAAGAAAATATTCTCCCATACATCTTGTGGACTGATGAATCCAAGTTCACTACAAATTCTCAATCGGTGGGCACAGGAAAAATCCCGAATCGAGTATCCATGTTTGTTGTTCTGTCTTAGATATAAAATGATGAAGAGACTATTTGACAATAGATCTAGATTGACATTACGTAACAAAAACCTATACACTACACAATCGCTCCAATTTGGATTTGAACTTTGCCAAGCGTTCCAATCTTAAAACCCTCCAATCCAAAATGTATACATACCCGATAGTTGCTCCTTTCTACGTTACCAATCATACTATCCTCTACGATCTCAACATATCCTATGTCCTCTGGTCCTCTCCGGCTAAAATTCACTCTAAACTATCCTATCAGAAACCCATTAATTCGCACACTTTCTAGCTCAACCCTAAAACCATGTGTAACTGAAATGTACATAATGCTTTGTTAGCATCCCTTTTAGTTTATCGACGAGTCCTTTATGCCATATCTTGTCAAAAACCTATTTGACATCAAGGAAAATAGAAAAGTTTTTCTTCGATTGACTTTTCTATTATGTCTTACCTCGGTTAATTTGGGTTATTGTTGAATGCCTTGTTCGAAATCAAAATTAATGATTAGGGATGATTTTCTATTTTCTTCAATGGGTTTTATTCGTTTTAGTAATAAATTTTCGCAAAGCTGTTAATGATTTGACAATGTTCGGCGGTTGCCCAGGTTTTTGTATCATGATTTCTGCGATTTTCCAGATGCTAGAAAAATATTTTAGTCTGATTGCAGCATTAAATATGTGTTTGTTTACTATGCCTCTTTTTTTGCAATGTTTTTACATTTCTCCAGTCATATGCTGGAGTCTTTTTGAAAGGTGAATTTTTAATTTAGTGTGCTATTTCTTTAGGTGTAACTAGCTTTATATTTTCTTCTTGTGTAGTGGTGTTCCATCAAGTAAGCTGTCACTGATATTTTCATTTTGTTTGAAAATTTTCCCGCGTTTATGATACCTTATTTTAAATGCACTTTTTTACTTCCTTTTTTAAAATATTTCTCACTTCTATTTAATGTATGTCATACTTCACAAGAATTCTTCATTTTTTCACTAACAAATCTTTTTTTCTCTCTTCTTTCTGCACAAAATCCGTGAGTTCGATTACAACTAACCGGCAGTAGAGTGTTGAGTGTAGATTGTAGAGTGTCAGCGTATCATTTTCCCGCGTTTGCGATACCGTATTTTAAATGAAAACATGCACTTTTTACTTCACTCTTAAAATCTTTTACGCTTATATATAAAAGTTTGTCCATACTCACAAGAATTCTTCGCCAATAAAACTCTTTTTAAAGTTATGTTTCTCTTCTTTCTGCACAAAATAAGTCACGAATCCATGAGTTTGATAACAGCCAGCAGGCGGTGCCTGTAGAGCGTTGAGTGTAGACTGTAGAGTAGAGCGTCAGAGGATCATTTTCCCGCGTTTGTGATACCCGTATCACTATTGAAAACAGAAAACATTAACAGACGATTCATTAGTGCAGACTGCAGGCTGAAATTTGGATCTTAATTTACATAAATTTCTTTTATGATGACAATTGGACATTTCGAACCCGCCTACTTTCTTAGATGTCATTCAAAAAACAAAGACAGCGCAGATGTTCAGACTCAGGTTCGTTAAATAAAACTATCCACAACCTCTTTTACGATGTAAATATCTATGAAATACATAATATTAAAAATAAAATAAAGAAATTATCGCTTATACTCAAACAAGAGCCGCCTTTAAACAAAACTGAGATAATTTTAGATGTGGTTCAGGGATGTGGTTTATTCTGCCTGGTTTAATGTGGTTTTAACAAGAATTAACTACTGATCGATAAATATATCTTTACTAAAATTAAAATACGCCTAATGCTTTTTTTCGTATTTTAAAATAGTGCATATATTTATTTATCTTAATGGTGCAAACTGGCTTTAAGCACCTTTACATATACATATCTTAAAAATAAATTTACTTTTGTAAACCTATTAAAATAATAATAATATAATAATAATAATCCTACCATAGTTTAGTCGTGGTTTGCAGATATGGCGCTCCGATAAATATATTTCCTGTTTAATCGGTGTCTTGAAAAGGACGCAAGGATCTTTTAAGACAGCACCTAGCACAAAGGCCATATCGATCATCCCTGTGCAAACTGTTGTTAACAAAACATATTGTTTCACAAGAAAGGAGACAACTCGCTTCCGCCTACGATGTGGCATTCAATACCGTAGATTTTCAGAGCCTTTAAACAGGTTTCTTCCCACTTGGCTCCTACAGGGCTGAGTTGGCATACTGCCCAACCAGCATCGTGGTCAAAGCTTCTCACATTGGCAGTTCTATCGAAACCCCAAGTGAAGGCGCATCTCTAGTAGGTACTTCTGACTGGCAGGTCGACCTCGGTTGTTTTATTTAAGTTGCATACTACCACCACCTAGGGAGTAAACTCTCAAGACTACCCTCCAGGAGTCTCATCACATACCACTACAAATCCATACCCAATATCAAGGTATAGGCCTGGAACCTGCTCTTCCCTTTACTAACATGCTGCCGTCCACGAAGTGTGACTGATCGCACACCCAACAGTTAAAGATATGGTACAGGGGGATGAGTAAAAAGATTAGCAATAATAATAAAACCTAGGGATAAAAGAAGTTGCCACAAGGCCTTCTTCACCGCAACCTGAGTAGATCTATTGTGCTCCTCTAATTTTATAAATCACTAGCAAGCTTCAGTTATTAATCAACCTCCATAGTCTGGTAGTCTCCTCTTCTTCCTGGCAGTATCTGCACAGTGCTTCTTCTGTCTGTAGTAATATCTGGCCCATGTGTCTTTTTGTGCGGCAGTGCCCTGTCAGGAGTCCTACCAGAATCCTTGTTCATTGCAGTTACCCTCCAGTAATTATTTTATAAGTCTTGCAGAAGGCCCTTCTATTTCTTTGCGTGATTTATGCTTGAGGGTATTATTCCATCAGAAACTTTTTTGTGACAAGATGCTAGACCACAGTAGGGTTCAGGGCCTGGAGAATTCATATATTGGTTTCTTTTTTGTCCAATATGTCCACTTTCTCATTGTCTCGATGTCCTGAATTTCCAGGGACCCATGCCAGAGTCAGATCATTGGTGTCACTGACTTCTGCCAGGGCATCCGTACAATTCCATTCATTTTCAGATGGGAAAACAGTAGCGTATTTACCTAAGTTTAAAATCTGTTCTTTCTTCCCAACTCCAACTATTGTTATGCCAGTAGGACATAATAAAATATACAAAACAATGGAAATAATATATTCTTTAATTTTAATTATTTATAATTAAATGATGAAACCACATTAAGCAAGAAAAACAGAAAGAGAAAGAAGATAAAAGGAATGAGGAAGAGTGGTACCACCGCAAGGCTTTAACAATCTTGAAGGGTGCTTATGTACTGATCTATTGTTCCATCTATAATTTTCAATTTCCCTACATTTAATTATTTACTAATTTCCGTAGAAGATGTTCTGCTTTGTGATTAAATATGTTTAGTTAAAATGAAGTTAAAGTGTCTCTAAGTGATCCATCCATAACCATCACTCTGATGGTGGCCATTTAAATAGTTTGACGCTAACGATATTTATTTATGATTAAAAAAATTGTAGGTGTGGCACTGTTCGTTTGAGCCTTCAGTTGACTCCATCTCTTCTCGAGTCGCAACCTGTGGCGGCAACAGTGTCTGTGTGATCGACTGCAATTCTGGATCTGTTCTATCAAAATTCTATACCAAGACAGAGTAATAGAATTATTATTTCAAGTACTTCACTGTTTTAACTTTTTATTTTTTGTTATAGAAATATACTATTTGCGCTAGCATGGGGCACAATCTGCATCAACAGGAGGCCTTCGAATGTGATAATGTGTGGAGGAGCTAAGGCAACAATTTACACACTTGACCCAACATCAAACAAATGCCTGCTTGTACACTCATTTGTACAAAATAGAAATAAAATATCTTTGAATTCACTCGTGTTTCACCCAAGGGAAAAAAGTATTTTTTTCTGTAAGTCAATAAAAGATGAAAGCGTAGAATTTTTAATTTAAACTGACTGAAGAATCCAAAAAAATAAAAACATTCAATTTTGATATTATTTTAATGAAAATGCTCGTTTGTAACAAACAAAAAAAATTAAGTTTTTAGCAATTAAAGGTTAATTTTACATAGTGATAACTGACTGAGAAATTAAGTACGTGCTTTCAGCTCATTACTATGGACAAGTTTTCTGTAAGAGCACTATCTGTCAGTATTTACAAAACCAAGGAAATCATACTTAAATTTTATGCAATAAGTTTACAAACTTAAAAGTTCATATTCTAAAAAATGATTATTCGGAAATCTTGAGATGTGGTCTGGTGTGATATACAGAAAAACATTTTCTTTATCGTGCCAACGTTTCAATCTTTACTGAGATCAACTTCAGGGCCTGGGATTTACAAATATTGTTTAACTTTAACAAATACATGTAGGATGTGGAAAAAAGTGAATTTATACAATGCAAAAAAATATTTTTTATATTCAATCAAAGTATTTCTACTCACTCAAAGTGTTTGTTTTCTGCGTAATTGTGCTATTCTTGTATGTCGTGTTGAGAGTGCCAGTCACACCAGACTGCATCTCACGATTTCCGAATAATCATAGACTAATGGTCACTAATCACCACACATTCTAAATAATCTTGTATTTTGTCTGTTTAAGGGTACAATTTAAAAATAATAATAATAAACTCATAGGATTTTTAATGGTTCGGTCCATTGATCCATTCTGTCCATGGTTCTGTCAATTTACAGTGGGATTAATATTTTTCAGATACAGGGTTTATGGAAAAAGTTGTGAAAGATTGATATAACATGAAAAGTAAAACATCTCAAACACAATGATTTTACTGATTTATACAAGCTCAACTCTGCACACACATGTACAAAGTTGAGCATATCACTCACAGTAAACTGAAAACTCCAGCTTTTTTGTAATTTACAATAAATTGCCAACAGCCCCTAGTGCAATCGGTTCTTAAAACCAAACCGAATAGAATTGGGAATCAGACATTGGACAAGAGGGACTTTCAAGTTGTCATAACCTCTTAACTAATGATGTTTGTTCGCAGGACACCCTTTATAATCCTGTTTTTATCAAATCTGATCAAAGAGGGTCCTGCTATAAATTATTATAAAAATTTATTTTTATAGGTGCATTGAGTGATGGTGAAATTAAATGCTGTGAAGTGCTTGAAGATGAAAATAGACAATTTTTTCTAACGGTATATAACGAGTTGTCAACCAGTAGTGAAATTTTTGACCTCTCTTTTTGTATAGAAACACAGTCTCTCTTTGCTTCATTTGATCAGGGTCTCCACCTTTTTCATTTTAAAGATGGGATTTCTTTTAAATGCAAGAACAGGTTTGTTTGAGTGTCTTTAAAATTAAATTGATCCTCCCTATTCATAGATTTTTTTTCCAGGCCTGAGCACAAAATTCTCAATTTGCCCAAAAACCCCAACAGTGTTCACTCTCAAACTGACACTAAACTTGTTGATTCCGTTGAATCATTAAATGATGGTTTTTTTGCATGCAAATGTGCCCTTCATGGTAAAATTTACATTTGCGATACAAAACCGATTATAAAAACTAATTCAAACATAGTGGACATCACTCCTGTTAAAATTTTAAACTGGAGCCTTACAGATAATTACTTCATGTACATGGGTGTTAGTCCTGGTAAATGTTTCAATCATTTGTATTATCTACCATATAACATAATAAACAGTACATCTAATTCAATATTCAAAATTTCCAGATAAAACAATCCTAGGCTGTGGCGACGACAAGGGTGCTCTGTGGCTGTATGATTTATGCAACGAAACATCTATTAAAGATGCTGATATTATTATTCCCTGGCCTAGCCTCATAGACCACTATAACGATAAGAAAAGAAAACTTGCTCTTCAAACGTACGATATTGTAGTTGACAAAATTGCAATTTCATTTGATAAAAAATATATTGTTGCTGTCACAAACAATAATTTTGTATGTATTTGGAAAAATACAGAACTATAGCATTTATAATAAACGTTTTTATCTCAATCAAGACCTTACATAAAAAGACTAATTAATTGAAAGAAGTAACGGTCAGTTGACCACTAAAACATAAATGGATTAATATTTAATAAGTAAAAGAAGTATCACTTCACTAACAGCTCCCCGTGGCCACTTCATAAATCACTGAGAATCAAATCCTGATTACACGACATTTGAAAATGGCAAAAATAGGGAAAATTTGAACAGTTGTAGGTTGAGATGGAGAGTTGGGGTCCGAGAGGATCGAAGTCATGATAGCGCAAGTGGTAGAGCAGTGGCATATTTAACCGAAGGTCATGGGTTCGAATCCCACTCATGATACTGACTTTTTCATCTCAACCAAGACCTTATATAAAAAGAATAATTAATTGAAAGAAGTAACTTGGTTAATTGACCACTAAAACATAAATGGATTAATATTTATAATAAAAGTAAAACTTAAAAATTCCCTCTAGAATTCTCCTTAAAATACATGAATGTACAACATACAATTGCATACTTTATAAGAGAGGCCTAATTTTGTCTGATTTTATTCATGTTTGGTATAGTTTGTGAATTATACAACCTACTTTTTTATATAAAAGATAATTTTCTCAATTTCAGTACAAAAGCACATCAAAGTGAACATTGTATCATAATTGTTTTCTCACTGTGCTGTAACAAATTTACAAAATTTAGCATTGAGTGAATGAATTAATGCTACTAAAATGAAAATATTGTATGTAATTTCATGAACTATTTGATAAAGTAAAAATTTTATGGTTTTATTAACAATGTTTTTTTTTTTTTTTTGGACTTACAAATAGTTTACATTGCATACATAATCTGCCAATAATGAAATTATAATAAATAATATTAATAAAAATTTGAGATAAAGGAATGTACATACTAAAATAATATAGAAGTGAAAATTTATTTTTGGGGACTGCGGTAGCCAAGTGAAGTGCTTGAAAGATTCTCATCTTGTAGACCTCGTGGATTCAATTCATCGCCTCTGGCCTTTTTTTCACGTTACCCTCCCCCCAATACACATACACATAATAATCGTCTCCTTGGTTAATCCATCATAAGGCCATTAAAAAAAATATATTTTTGAAGTTTTTGATAAAACAATAGTACAGGAATCTTCTATAAATCACAGCCATACCTTGAAAGTTTTACGTTTTTTACTTGATTTTTATTTATTTATTTCATTTTATTTTTGTATTTATTTTATTTATTTATTTATTTTTTTTAGGTTGGGGGTTGAATAAGGATTTTAAAAATCCTTTCCTCCTTAGGAGTGACTTATACAGATCTATAGGAATCCCCTATAAATTGTAGATATACCTTGAAAATTTTACCTTTTTTACTTTATTTTTATTTTAATTAATTTATTTTTTTGTTTTACCTTACCAAAGTGGAAGTACCATAATGGGGTAATGCTACACATTCACTAAACCGATGTCTCTGGTTCCTCCTGAAGAGTCAGCATTTTCCGTTGCCCATCTTCTTTAGGTGATAGTTAAGAGGGCAGTGGCCAGCATACAGAACCATTTGAGAGCCTTCTAAATCTCTTAGCCTCTTTCGTTTTTCTTTCTTTACCCATTTTTCCACTTTTGACTTTAGCATACTCTCTGATGCCCCTAGTTGTTCTGATCCCATGGGTGAGAGGGCTGCTCCTTCTTTTGGCTATTTGGTCAGCCAATCCATTTCCTTCTGTGCATTCATGTCCAGGGCCTACTTTAAGGTAATGTTTTGTTTTCTTAGAGCCGTTAGGCAATTTAGGCGCTCCCAGACAAGTTTGGAGTTGAAAGCATATGCGTAGTGTCTTCACAGTTGCCTGGCTGTTTTACAGTATGTAGATCTGTGCACCTTTCATAATTTTCTTTATTAATTCCTGTACACAGAGTTGTATTCCTATAGTACAGTTCTGGTATTCGGACCATGGGAGTGTTATTACAAAGAACTGTCATAAAAAAGAAACCATTTGTTAACATTTGTATAAACTGTACATATGATGGTTACTTAGAATATAGAATTCTAGACATTTGTGTTTGCATCCCTTTTTTTATTGATTTATAGCACACTTCTTAGATCCTGACTCATCTATAAATTTTATTACTTTTGACAGTTGTTTAGGTCTCATAACATCCTTTAAATCTACAGGCGGACAGTATAAGTTTCACGTTGTATCAACATTTTGATGTTTCCTTAATATTATTTTTCCTGAAATTACAGTTTTTCCAACATCATCAATTGCTATATTAATTCCATCCGCAAGCTTAGCAATGTCTAGTTATAAAACATTGTCCTGCTGTTATGAAAATTTGTTGAAACTGTCACCGTAAGCAGGATGATTCAATTCAAAAATGATATGTACATAAGTAATAAACTCTTCCAGCCAACTCACTACATAATATTACAATTTCTGTCGATTAAATCATATGTAATAATTAAACAAATAAATATTTATTATAATGTATTTGTTAAAATGGTTAAACAAACTGGGAAAAGGAAAGCTTATTCAGCTGGATTACACCTTTTATCAACTTTGAATACATTTTGATTATTTTGTTTTTATTGGTACATTTTATTAATATGGCACTGAAATTAATTCAAAACATTTAATATGAGCTACAAACACATGATTCAATTGATATCCTTTTAAAAATAAGTCACCCACTACTGTGGAACTTTACACCAAAATTTGCACATACAAAATTTAAATGTTGTGACATTTTTTATTTAAAATATTTAAAAAAAATTTAAAAATATAAAGGGAAATCAACAAATCTAGCAACATGGCAATTCAATTTCTCAGGCCCAGAAATTTTGTTAGATTATTCCAGCAAAGACGTTCGCTTAACTGCTTAGGAGACTCAACAGAGTTAACAGGGGTTGTGCTAGGTGTAAGTATATCTGTATTTCAATTTTTAAAGTTTTATGATTTTTTTTAAGTCTCGTTTTAAACGTATGTACACATATATCAATAATGTTTTCTTAAATATACAAGTTGTATTTTAGATTGTATAAGGATTAATATTTAAAGAATAGACGTACAAGTCTTTTTAACCTTCAGAATTGGTCATCAGTTCAGATTTATATGAAATAAAAATTGTCAAATATGGCATATAACATGTACTAAAAAAAACCCTCAAATATGCTAAATTATATGCTGCTTTTGGTTTTTGTTTCTCTTTCCACAATTTGAGACAAACAAAAACAACTATTTGACTTCACTCCACATCATCAAATACTTCAAAGATGTACCAACTGCATCAAAAAACCTTTAAATAAGCCATATAATTTGCACTAAAAATATTTAAATATGCAAGAATGTCAGAGACATCACCCGACTATTGCTTAACTTTTTTGTTTCATATAGATTTTTTTTGGTCTAGTTCAACCTATTCATTTTGAAAGGAAGTAGAACAAAAAAAAATTCATTCATTGCACAAAAAATCATATAATTTAAAATATTTTACAGTATTAAGGTTAAGTTCATGAGCTGACTTAAAATTGGCAGTTATATACCTTTCAATGTCAGTTTCTGTAAAACTCAGTGTATATCGCCCAAAAAATACTTGTATCTCGAAAAAAAATTTACAATGTCAACAGAGGTGATGGGGGCATACATGTAGGAACTTAAAATAATTGGATCAGCAATTTTCTGTACAACTTAATTGATTCCATTTAAAATTTCATTAATCTACCCAAATTCAATCATCTTTTTTTTTTGTCAAGAATGTTTGTTAATTTGTTTTGTAATGTATTATTAGGGATTTTCCCTTTGCTTTGAAAGGAAAACTCCAGCCTTCTAGTTCCCACTTTTGAATTTGTTTTTAGGTTTTCTAAGCAGGAAATACGAATGAGGACTTACTATTTTAGTGTTTAAAATGAGGCCGCTATTTCTTTCCACAACCCAACTACTTCAGAAAAATTAATTTTTTTGGAGAGGCAAAATCTACACACAAAATTTTTGTAAATGGGAGCTTCAAATAAGATGCAGATTATTTCTAGAGAATTTTTGTCTTTCTTTCTGTAAAATTAACTGAAATCCAAATAAAATTTTAGGTTTTTCTCCTTTTCACGTTCTTAGTTGTTTAGTTTATTTTTATTTATCTACATAATCAAAAATGCTTCAAATTTTTGATATTCTTCAAAGATGCTGAATAAAATTTGAACCTGTACCATGGAGATATGATTCATATCTGATCACCATGACTGTAACGGTTCACAATAAGAATATGGATTTGCAGATCCGAGCTCAACTCATAAATATTAAAAATGCTTCAGAAATCAGTTTTAAAGGAGATTCACTGGGATATAAAATTATGAATCATTAATAAACTTTTTTAAATATGTAATAAGTTAAATGCACCATCACTTGAGATTATTTCTTCCTTTAGACTTATCGTGAAAAAGAGGATATGCTGGGACAACAAAGGACATATACCCCTACGACTAGGAGGTTCGATGACGCATTAGAAGGAAGACTTACTGAACTGATTCAAATATCCGGTGGTTTGCCTCACATGGGTGAAGTGAGGATATTTTATGGCCTGAATAACAAATTTGCCGCAACAGCAGTCACAGGGCTAGGACCAGAGTGCAATGGATATAATGAAATGGAAGAGGTCGATGAAGGTAAAGAGAGCATTCGAATGGCAGCCGGCTTTGGTGTGCAGGCGCTGCAAGCTCAAAGAATGAGAACACTATTCGTTGATTCTATGACCCATGCAGAATCAGCAGCAGAAGGTAAAACAATAAGTTATTTTTTAATATAAATAGAAAGGGTTATTATTTTAATACTGGATCAGGTGCTGCAATGGGTATCTGGCTCTATCAGGAACTGAAAAACAGTGGTGAACAAAAACTCATTCCAAGGGTCGAACTGTTCGACGATTGTGATTATACTGGTTGGCAGATTGGGCTCCAAAAAGCTGCTGCACAAAACTTAGCTAGGCAGCTTGCAGAAACCCCTGGAAATTTGTTAACACCAATCGCTTTCGCTCTGGCGGCAGTGGAAGTTCTATGCAGAGCAGGAGTCAGCGTTGAAGTCAAGGTTATTTTATAATCGATTTATACCATATGAAGTACAATTAGCAATAAGATCAAAAATCAAATTTGCGATCAGACTAGTTCAAATTACAGCTTTGACAAAGTAAAATCCTACATAGAAACTTATCTATATTTGTTAGTCCCATTTTAGTGAGTATATACTATTTTTATATTGTTTAGGTGAGGAATTGGTCAAAAATAATGAAGATGGAAGCCTTCCTAATGTCTGCAAGGGGATCATGTGAACCTCCAATATTTCTTGAGACAAGTTACTACGGGTGTGAACCAGATGTAGCCCCGGTAGTATTAGTCGGGAAAGGCATCACTTTCGACAGTGGTGGCCTCTGTTTAAAAACGTGCCCTGATATGAAGCACATGAGAGGAGAAATGTCAGGAGCTGCAGTTGTAGTGGCCGTCTGTCGAGCAGCTGCTGCGCTTCAGCTGCCTATAAATATAAGAGGTCTTATACCCTTGTATGAAAATCTACCGGGTAATTGTGCCTTGAAACCTGGAGATATCATAAGATCGATGAACGGGAAGACAATCGTAGTAGAGCATACAGATTTTGACGGAAGACTTGCACTAGCCGATGCTCTCAGCTACTCAGGGAATTATAATCCCAGATTTATACTTGATGTTGGTTCATTGAGCAATGAAGTCGTTCAACTGCTTGGGACAGGTGCAACTGCAGTGTTCTCAAACAATGACCAGCTGTTTGAAAACATGAGAATAGCAGGAATACACACAGGAGATCGAATATGGCGTTTGCCCTTGTGGGACCACTACACCGAGAAAGTTACAGCAATCCCATTTGGAGATGTTTTTGACAAGTACAGAATGACAGGCAACACCCCAGCAACAGCAGCTTTTCTGAACCAGTTTACTCCAAGAGTCGATTGGATCCACTTGGACACATACGGTGTGACAAGAACAAGTGGTGAAAGTTGGTCGTATTTGAGAGAAGGCATGAGCGGAAGGCCAACGAGAACACTCATAGAATTCTTGGCTCAGTTGGCATGCGAGGTCAGTGAGCATTCTTTAGGGAATCAAGAACCAGTTAAAGGAACAGCATGTGTGGGTATAGAATAACGCCCCACCACATGAGTTTCAATGTTTGTCCCTTGTTTGCAATTGACACTGCCTTATCTGTCTCTACAATACACATATAAAATTTAAAAGAATGGGTTTTTATTAATAATTAAGAATATTATGTTAAATGTAGTACATGGAAAACATACTTTTTAAGGATTAATCATAATTTATGCACCATCCAATATAAACCAATGAACAAATTATAATTTAGAACGTTTACATTTTGATTTCACCTCCATGACTAAGTTCAATGTTGTCTGTGATTATCACAGAAAAACAACTGTTTGTTAATATTGAAAATTCAACAGTAAAATTTTTTTGAAAATTTCTGTTATAATTTAGTCTTAGTGTTGACCCGTTACGACTGCTTCCAATTGTATAATTTAAAACAAAATGACTTGTGCATTTAATTTGAATTAAATGCAATTGTTGTAAGTCCATATTCAAAGGAAAAAAATATTTTAAATTATACTGCTCCACAAAAAAAGTGATATAAAACTGAAATGTTATTTTTTAATTTGACATATTTTTTGTTTTATTACTTTAAAAATGATTTAATGTCTAATTTTTTTGTTATTATTGACATTATTAATGATTTAATAATTTGTTTTTGTCACCGATTGTGAGGCAAAGCCACTTAATGGGAATTATATATACAATAATTTGATTTAAAATCTCCACAATGTAAATCGTCAAATGCCCATTATCATCGAGCAAGTTCCCTATGACATTGGACTCATTTAAGCTGGAAAAAAGCGTTATGCTGCAATTGTTTTTGATTTGCCAAATACAATGGTTGTTAAGCATTCAGCAGTTCCAGCAGACTGCAATGATCGGAGACGAGGATAAGGATGCCTAAGAGCCAGAGGACCAGCTGATTGCACACTCTGAGACATCGCTTTTCCACTGCTTATGAAACATTTCGCAGACTTTAAACTGTACCTAACCCTAATCCTTAAGCAACTGTGCGGAACATGTCCATTAGCGCTGACATAAATGATCTACACCTAAAAGGTCAGCAACGAGTCCAGGCTTACCAGAGACCATCACCACTTGAGTTTGAAAGGTTCACTGACAACGGACAGAAACTGTAATGAAGGAATGTTATGTTTTCAGACAAGTCCCAGTTTTCTCTCTATACACCAGTTGGGCATCTTCAAGTTTATTGAGTAACTGTAGAGCTCTGCATTGCCGGAAGAGGTTCGGTTATGGTGTGGAGTAGCATTTATTTTGAGGCAAAAATAGATTTACGCATTTTTAATAGGTCGTAATGAAGAAATCTTGAGGAATATGTGGTGTCATTTGCTTCTGTTAATGGTGAGCAATTTTTGTTTATGCAATATATTGCAAAACCAACTGTCACTGTGTTATGCAGTATCTGCGCAATGTCAATATTTGCACTCTAAGGTCAGCCCATATCCATGATTTGAACCCCACTGAGTTTTGTGACGAGCTCAGATGTTGGGTAAAACGAAGAAATAACCCTCCCACAACCTTAGCTGGACTGAAAGTTACGTTGAGATTTGGGATTAATTTTCGCAAGAATTGGTTAAAGGCTTAATTATGAGCATGCTGAGAAGATTAGTGTGTAATAAGAGCAAGGGGTGTTAAATACACCCTATTAAAAAAAAGAGAGAATTTTTATTTCCACACGAACCAAATTTTTTAATAAATACCATTTACAAAAAATATCGGTGTTATATTACTAAAAGAGCAAGTATGTGAAAAAATAATGAAGTTTCCAAGTGCGCCACTTTTTTTGTGGAGCAGTGTAGTTACAATGTAAGTCAAAAAGGAGAAAGAAATATAACAAAACTATATCAAAAATAAATTATTTTTTAAATGAAAAAAAAATTTTTTTTGGATACACAGGCTGACTTTTAATTATTTTATTTAGCCTACATATTTCAAGTCTTGGACATATCATCTGGCCCTTCTAAAAACTGAGCATAAACGTCTCGCCAACATTCTCCCTTTGAGTTGTACATGAATTTGTAGTAGCTTCCATCAGCGCATATCACTGAAATATAAATGCACATGAAAACATTTAATTAAATCAAAGCCTTGAAAACTTTTCTTACCTATTATGGAATTATTTTCAGCACCAAAAGCACATATACATCGGGGGCCGTCAGGCACTTGAAATTTACAAAAACTCCACCTTGAGCTGAAGTATTTCGGAAGGAAAGTGGCTGATGCTAAACTACAATTACAAAAAAAAAATCAAACCTTTGTAAAAAATAATCTAATGGTAAATATTCAGTGAAAGATTTAAACCTTAAGAAAAGTGTTATTGCCCATAACAGAAAAATAGTAAAGGGAAAATCCACTCACAAAAAATGGTGTGGTGTAGTTTTCACACATCAGAAATGCTTCCAAACTATTGTAAGCCATATTTAAATAAATTATTACCTAGATTGTTTATTTAATTTTTGATCTTCAACTGAAAATATGTGCACTGTGCCATGATCGCTTGCTATACACAACCAGGTCGAATCTTGGTTGAAATTCATACTGTAATAAAAATCATTATTTATTAAAGAATTATCAAAGCACAAGTTAGTAAAAACAATAACAAAAAAAAGACCTACCAATAAATTTCTGCTGTGTGGGCTCCTCGACGAAGTTCCATTAATTTTTCTCCACTCGAGGTATCAAAAATCCTTATAAGCGTTCCCTGTAAGTTTTAATTTATTTGATTAATTTCATCTACGTTAAATTGATTCTCCAAAGCACATACCATACTAATATCATTGTTCAAAATGTGTGTTAATATCTAAATATTAAATAAATATAAAGATATGCTGTTTTTCCTACCAAATAGGATTCTAAGCTCTGATTACATTATCATGTTTTATTTTATTTTATTTTTTTTTAATTTTAAAAGTTTAAGAGTTCGAAATGAATTAATGAAATGAGTACAGGAAAGACGCTGTCAAACCAGATATTCGGAGTATTATGAGAATTATGCCGACTCCTGTTCTGGAGATTTTATTAAACCTTCTACCTCTACACATTTTCCTCCAGGGTGAAGTCAGATCGGTGCAGAATTATGCAAAGAAGGCTCCTAATCCTATAAGCCTCCTTCATGATACAAAACAATTAAAACTAAGATAGGAACTTCAAAAATAATGGGTATCTGTAGATGCCATTATTGAAATATTTTTATAAAAGAAAAGCATGCGAGAAAAGACTACCAGTCTCTATTTGGTGAACGGATGGCTCAAAAACCAAATGGTAATCAGGAATAAGTAAAAATACCACTTTCCCTTGGAAAACTTACCATGGTTTGTAAGGTAGAATCTGTGGCAATACACAAGAAATAAAAAGGCTGGGAATAGAAGGCAAGAAATATATTGCTACCTATTCTGACAATCAAACTTGCTTAAGGCATTAGCTTCAGTAGAACCCTTCTATAAATAAAAACATTGCTAATTGGTTCATGTTAAAAACTCATACCTGATGGAACATCCCTGGACAGCAACAGACAAAAGACTTTGTTAAAAAAAAGTCTAGCCTAAACTTACAATTCTGCTGAACAGGTTCCTTCCAGTTTTCTAATTGGACATTACCAACTCAATAGGTATAATTTTAAAATATTGGGAGTTGCAGAAAACAGACAGTGTCTGCCAAGAAGAAGAGAAAACATACATATTATATGCTACAATGAATACCTGACAAAGAAAAGGTTTGTACTCATGGGAAAAGTAATGCAAATTACAGAAAATATAACTGAAGAGACACTTGAGACTGTAGAGGCTAATAAAAAATAAAAAAAATATGGACACAGTGCAGACTTCATACAGACTTACCTGCTTACCTGATTTAACTATATTTAACTATATTATTAGTTTCTCATGTTTAACCTTATAACAAAACAGAGGTGATATAACAAGATAACAATTCGAGTTGCTCTTACCACCAAAGTTATGATTCACTAATTATGTAATGTACAAATTAAATATAAGCTATAAATAGTTCGCTTTTGAATAAGCAAATATATAAAATTTCAACAATATGCTTTATTATTTATTTAAAATAATAATTTTAAATAGGACAGTAGTTGCTTCAAAGGAGTCCGGTCGTTAAATATAATTCAATTCATTCAGAAAAAGGCTCATCCACACAATGACAATCACTTAGTGGATGTTGATGGGATGACTGAGTTTTCCCACAGCAGTAGATTTCTGCGACCTTTCAATTGCCCCCATCATCAACACCAGTGTGTAGCTAAACTTAAATGATCCTAAATAGCCTAGGGTCTGGATGATTATCACTATGATGGGCCATTGTGAAGAGGGGCCATTAACCATATTTATTAATATAAATATTTTTAAATGGTTGATATTTTATGACAAATATTTTTATTAATTGCACACATGCTTTTGCTTGTAGTAGTGAGTTCTACTAAAAATTAGTTTAAAATCAATATTAAATACATTCCTTATGATGACATGAATTTAAAACAACAAATCATATGTAACTTTTAAAAAATTATTTTTCTTTTTAAATTACTGAGCGGTGCATGCAATGATATCAAGTGAACATTTATATGTACTTTATTAGATGCGGTTGCTAGCCTTGTCCCTTGAAGGTTCAAAGCTATGCAAGCAAGGCCAGTTTCGTGGGCTGCAACTTCTAGGTGTCTCCGTTCGGTATCGGCCAAGTCTACAAGGTGCACCTCCCCAGTCCTCCTCCCAGGATAGGCCAATACAGAGTTTGTACTATTCGGGCACAACACACACAGGCCTGAGAAAATAAATTTTTCATGTTCAAAATCTGTTAGTTCGATAGACGCTTTCTACTTATACCTTTTTCATTTGCGTTTGTTTCAAAAACATGCAGCTGCTGAGGTGCTTGTGTAAACGTAAACACTTTGATAACCCCTTCTAAAACTACAACTATTCTATCCCTTCTCAGTCTGACACCTTTAACTGGGGCAGAAAATTCTAAAGAAATTGCTTCCTGCTTTCTCATATCATCCCAAATCATAACTGGATGTAAAAAATACTACATTGAAACAATCTGCCTACAGAAAGCAAGGGATGATAATTTGTTTTGTGTTCACCTTTGTTCCTTTTATATTTAGGATTGTTCCCACCACCAACAAGGGCTAAGTAGTTACATCTAAATAACATTTCGACATGGGCAAGTCCTCCCTCACTAAAATCTTGTCTTTCCTTCTCCTTTAGGGGGTCACAGTTGTACACCCGGAATCCATCATCCATACCACAGGCAAAGCAACCTTTAAAAAATCATTGTGATATGATAATTAATATTATTGTATAGTAGTTTCCAAATTTTTACTTGACATTACTCCAGTTGAACTTTCTGAGAGAAAAAATGTGAATGAAATGTTTCTCTTATATACTAAAAAAAAGTCAAAAAACCAACCAGTCATACTTTGTTTTTATTTCAACCAATATGTATTTTTATTATTACATTAATTACTACACACTTATTTTAATGTAAACCAAATTAAACAAGATCAGACATTCATGAGTTTCATTATGATGGTTCAAAAGAAAACTTGCCAAAACACTGAAAAATTATTTAGTGAATTAAAATTTACTAACAAATTTATTACCTGGTTTTACTTTTAATAACGCATATACCTCCTCTGACCTCACAGAGGGACTTAATTATCCTAGGCACCTTGTAAATAAGATTGGATTTTGTCTTGTGAAACAGAATTTGATTCTTTAACAAGAACAATTTGCAGCTATTCAACACTTGTTGGAGGAGGCAAACGATGTCTAACTCGTCTCCTTATCAAGCCCCACAGGTGTAGTATGAGATTTATGACAGGAGAACATGCTGGCCAATTCATTGTAACTTTAAAAAGGCTGTGACGCATGTAACATGCAGCAAAGCGTTCTCTATATCTTCCACAGACACAATCCTCGTCATTTGATTGCAACAAACCAAACCGGACTCATCTGTGAAGGGAACAGCCCCCTGTTTAAGTGTCCAAGCGAGATGCTGATTTGTGAATAGTTGCATTTCTATTCAATGCCTGTCCAGTAATAGACAATCTGTAATAGATGTCTAAGGACTAGGCTATTCTCATGATGCTTTCTGATGACTGTTTGAGAGCTCACCCTTACATTATGTAAGGAATCGACTATCAAGGAAATTAAATGACGATTCCATATTGCAGTAAAGCAATAAATGATCGTCTCTAGCCATCATACTTAGCTGAAATACATATTTAATTGAGACTTCCATGGCCTTAATTTTCTGTAGACCATCATACATTACTGCACACCCAAGACTTATGCTGTATCCGCGTTGGCCAAAGCATCTGCCCAGGCAAGACTCGCCTCAAAACCATGCTTTTAAGAAAAAAAAATTAATGTTTTATTCAAATTTATTGTTTCATTCAACAATTTAACAAACCCCTCACTCGAAAAGTTGGCTCTGGAAAGGATGAAAATGAACTAATTTTTGTTATTTTTAATCTAAAGAGTGTAAAAAGGATTAGTAACTCTATATAGTTATTGATGTTGAGTTTACGTTTTAAGTCAACTAATAATTCCGATTAACGATAGCTCAACTATAGCGGCGTATCAAGCCGAAGGTCGTGGGTTCGAACCCCGCTCGTGATGCTGACTTTTCTATCTCGACTAAAAACGTTAATTAATTGAATCAACTAATAATCTTTATATCAAGAAAATTTTTTTGGGGGGTCATGTCCCTGATCCCTCTCCATAGCTCACTAGCTAAATGGAACTCCTGGAACGGGGGACCAGGTACGTTGCCCAAAATTAATTAATTAAACTATATGGCATAACAATAAAAGTTATGTTTAGTTGAAAAAAAAAAATTAATAATAAACAACGTTCTAGATTTAAAATATTTTTACCACCAAATCAAAGTAAAATTAATAAAAATATGTTAAAAAAATAACATTTGACTAATCTTTATGCCTACTTATTATGAAAAATAAACAAATCCCGGCACCTTTTACAACATGATGTACTGAAACTGTATGAAGATTTTTTTTACTAACTGTATCAATTTAAATGTTGAATTTAACTAATTCTATACAAAAGATTAATTAACCAATTAGACAGAGGGCTCATTTGTTCGGCAAATTTCTTAATTGTATCAAGAAATGATTTATAATGTGGTGATTAGTGACCGTTAATCGATAATTATTTTATTTGATAATGCCGATGATATTGAACATTTTGTGCTCCAAATCCAGCTCGCTGCGAAAAACCAGTTTGTGAGTCAACTATCGAGCACTATATTTTTTACAACGCTTGGAAATATTATAGTTTTGGTATATTTCATGGAAAAGGTCAAAACAACTAATAAAAAAATAATAAACTGTATGCAGACTTTTTTCCTAAGTATATACCAATGATGTTGAGTATTGAATGCTCAAAATCTGGATCACTGGGAAAAACCAGTTTGTGAGTCAAACCATCTTGTTCAACTATCAAGCACTATATTTTTTACAACGCTTGATGTTATAGTTTTGGTATATCAAAGAAAAGGTCAAAATAACTTATAAAAAATAACAAAAACTATATGCAGATTTTTTTCACTAAATGTACACCAATGATGTTGAGCATTGAATGCACAAAATCTGGATCACTTGGAAAAACCAGTTTGTGATTCGAACCATCATACTGAACTATTGAGCAGTATATTTATCAATTCATTTGAAAATGTTAGTTTTTTAACTAGTCATTAGTATATTTCAAGGAAAATGTCCAAAACAACTGATAAAAGCTAACAAATAAGAAATAGATAGAATCAATGATAAAGGCTGAAACAAATCACCTTGGTCTTGGTTGAAAGCGGCGAATAAAAGTCCATTTCCATATGGATTGACACCTTCGAGATTCATTTTCCAATCAGGGATTTACTCTAATTTTACGGGCAACATCGAAATTTCCCGAGATGTCTCGTCTAGTGTCATCAATAGATGAATTTCCGTTTTATTTACAAGAGAAATGTAACTGCGTGATAACTGAGTGACTAGACGTTTTCGTACTGAGTCACTTGCGGCCTTTTTTCAAATGTACTCTCGTTCATTTTAAACGATAATAATTACTCTTTTAATTAATCGCTGTGAAAAACCAGTTGATAAAGATCAATAGGACACTCAAATTTACTTCTATCAAATTTCTAGCCGTCAAGTTATACACGCCAACAACAACTAACAAGATGTTTAACGTACACCACCACAACAACAGCTGGCAGAGTGCAGACTGAACAGTGTACCACTACTCAGATCACCTCTGACGATTTTTCTTGAAAATGGTTAATTTATTTCAATTTACGAACAAAATATAAATATAAAAAGAATAATAAACAGATATACATCAGAAGTGAACTAATTGACACGTTTGGATATTAGAAATTAATTGCGACAATTTAAAACAATAATCAGTACAAATTAGTTGATCAGCTTATGGGTTTAAAAGTTAATTTGAGCTCTAAAAATAATAAAATATGTTAATGATATAACAAGGATTATAAACATAAACAGACTAATTACTGATTTATATAAACTCAAATCTGCATGTGTACATATGTGTCCCAGAGATAGTGCAAAAAATTGTTATAGTAGTAGTAGTAGTACACCCTGTTTGCAACTACTCCCAATTAGTTAAAGTTTGGTTTTTAAGAAACTGTATAATTATGTATGCTCTTATGTTTAATCATAGAGGTTGTTAAACTTCAGGAAAAATTCATTATTTGATAAGCTTCCAAACAGTACAAGAATATCCATAACCCCTCCTGACTTTAGTGCACTTACTGCATATCACTTGTTGAAAAACTTACTTGAGATCAACGATCATGGCTCAGGTGTTATATATAATAAAACTGTTTAGTTTTCATGTTTTATAATTTTATCCACAATAAATTATTGAAGGTTTTACAAAAGCAGTAGACACTGCAAATTGTTTTTTAAAATGATGACCACGCTGTCTGATGCATAACTTTGTAGTATGTTTCAAATTCGAACGTTTATTAAGGTTCTTAATTGAAAATTATTTCAGTTGCAAACAGTATAAGTTTAATGCCACCACCAAAACTGTGGCAGCCCTGATGAGTTTTTCTCAAGTAAGGCATTTCTATTGAAAAATTAGCAAAAAATCATAACTTGTAGGGACTATATGTTGGAAGTAGTTGAAAATAGGGTGTATTATCACCCAATTTTTTTTTTTTTTGTACTATCTCTGTGCGACCCCGTATGCAGGCGTGTATAGAGTTGAGCCTATCACTTCTCATAATCCACCAGCTCCATCTTTTGTATAATTTTCAATAAATTACTGGCAGGTGTCAAGAATCCCCGGGGGTTGTAGTACAGGGTCAGACCTTGGACTTATCCGTCTAGCCGCAGAGGTTAGGCTCCAGGAGCCTATACTAGATCATTTCACCCCTCAACTCCAAAACCATTCTCATTCACTTTAAATTCCTTCTTTCTTATAAACATATTCAACTCAGAGTAGTAGAGTATCGATATTTCTCCATCACTCTTTACACATTAATTATAACAAACCTAATTGAGGGTCGATGAGGTACTCAATATTCCACTATCAGGTGGCATTCCTACATGCTCTCTATATGGAGCCAAGGAATTGCATCCATCAATTAGGTAAGACACATCTAGCAACCTTTCTCTACACGCCGTACAGTGTCTGTGTGCCATACTTCACATGGCATATTCTTAACTGGGTTAACATACAGCTTGTATTGTGTTAATTGTATTCTAATGGCTTTAGTAACGTTTATTCTTAATTTTGACATTATACGTATCAACATGATGGTGATCAATGAATTCAATAATTTTTAGAGTGATATATTTGATTTTAAAAATACTGTATTATCAAAATTTTTCATCCTCTGTTTTCTGTGACACACAGCTTCACCTTTAGTAACATTTCTTTTAAATCCCTTTTTAAATGTGGTCCTGCAAATTGATATTTGTGCTTGTGAATGATTACAACTTATAAGATCATGTAAATATATATTTAGTATAAAATATGTACTGTTTAAAAGAAAATGTGAAAAGTGAAATGAAAAATTGTGAAATGTATGTGCAAGTTGATGAACCATGTTGAAAATGACAAAATTGCTGAAATGCATATTGATGAACCAAAGCAGCAACTTTAAGCAGACTTGTCTGATAGAAATTGATAATGTTATAACTTGAACTAAGCTCAGGCTGAGCTGGCATTGGGTCACTTGTTGGGTCCATTTCACTTGCAGGTTAGTTAAAATACTAAAACATATTTTCGCAGTGAATCCTCACAGATTTACAATGCCAATTCGCAATGCAACCCAATGCCAGCTCAGCATGAGATCACTGACTTGCAGACCATCACTACATCAACTCTAAATTGTTCATATTTTTTGCACACATATTTAAACACAACCATATCCTTACCTTTATTTAACTGTCACTTGGTCAGATTTTATAAAACACAATTTAGGTGACTTTGGTCAGCACATGAGGTTTGGTTAACTTGACACAATTATCGCTAAACCAAAAACAAAGAATAAAAAAAAGATCATTGTATAAAATAAAATTTCTAATTTTCTCCCGTACCCTGCCATTCTTCTTTCTCTTCTCAAGACACTTCTTCATTATCTTTAATCTTGATTCAGCAGAAATATAAGTGTGGCATGGTTTGTGAACTGTAGTTAAACAAAATTAAAACATCAAAATTTTAAGTACTAAGTTTTTTTTAAATTATCTAGTTTTTACTTATATTTTTGTACAACTACTTTATTTAATGCAACAGCCCAAACTGCACTACTTTATAATTCGGAGATGTAGGATCTATATACTATAACCAGCTTGAGTCAGCAAAGATTCTCAAGGAGTCGCCTAGAAAAGCAGATGTCCATATGACCAGGATCATCAATGCAGCCTTCAGACTTAATTGTACCAAAAACTTGGAAGATCGCTGAGGTCATCATGACACTGAGGTTGCAACATAAGTTCACATCATACTGGCTTTCTTTACTACCAGTGTTTTCCAAATTATGTTATGATTTTACTGTATCAACAGGTCCTCAAGCCTATGTGGACATAGAGCATCTATGAGGCTGTGCCAGCATTACGAATCATCAAATCATACAGATTTCAGAATACAGTTATGCTTATGATATGCATAGTCAATGCACCCTGGTACATCAGAAATAAAGACCTCTACCATGACCTCACATAAAGCAACTAGCTCTATAAAGCAACTTTAGCCCACCAAGGCTTAAAGGACATAGAAGAAGCAGTCCACCTGTAGACACCTAGTCAGACGACTCAAATACAACCAAGCCACGCCCACAATTTATTGCTGGTGCAGTGATGTAGTGAAACAGCAATTTAAGAACTTTCGAAGATAACTTACTAGCTATTATATTTCGTGGTCTACTGACCAATACTTCTTTCAATTAATTAATCATTTCATGTAAGGTTTTGGTTGAAATAAAAACCTGTTAGCTATGTTAATAGCTAGATTGTGGTATTAATAAAGACTCTTCACCTCTGAGGATTGGAGGGACAAAATAAGGGCAGGGGGTGGCTGCAACGGTTAGAACAATGATGTGGCCACTTGCAGGTTCAATTTTAGGACTATGAAATAGTACTTAGTCCCCCCCCCCAAAAAAAAAAACACAAACCCCCTCATAATCTACTATTTTGAACCCTTGTACAAAAAGAAAATGTAAATAAGTATTTCAAAAATATTGCAGCATTTGTCCACCAAATGTTTAAAAATAAAGGGAAGGGCCTTTATCAAATTATTATAAATCAACATACTTTTATTTATTCCTTAATATATATACATTATTTATAATTGCAGGCTTTTGACATACATAAATTACCTTTTTCCTTCTTTCAATTCTAAAATCTTACAAAACTAGATTTAACATTATCTATTATTCAATATCATTTCATTTAGGTTAAAAGTTCAACAATTTCTAATTTTAAAAATTGCATTAAAGTTTTTTTCTTAACAAATACCTAATTTATTTACAGTGATTTTCCTAAAGAAACAAATAAATGTAATATTGAATATTTAAAAATTTTAAAAATAAACTGATAAATAATAAATTTATCTTTTATGCAAAAGTTACGGGGATTTACTTAGCAAGCTCCTTCATCCTGTTAAGGGCACTACCAGCTTGAAACCATTCAATTTGCTGTCCATTTAGTGAGTGATTAAGCATCAATTCATCAGTAGAACCATCCGCATGTTTAAGAATACATTTCACTTGCTGTAAAAAATTAAGAATTATAACCATCAGCAAATCATTCAGATAGATAAAACTTGTTACATTTAAACAGTTATTATTTATAAAGATAATTAAATTTTTGTTTAAAATGATACAGTGTTTTCTATTCTATCAAGTAAATTAAGGCTTTGTTTAAATGCTTAAGTGACTTGTAATAGGTAGACAAGTTGTCAGCAATATACGTGGCTCGTAGAGAAATTTCAATGTAGACATGGGTTCACAAGGATGGTGCAGGACTATCACAACCAGGTAGAGTTTAAGAGGATAAAATATATCATCAGGATTGAAAATATTTCCTTAAACGGAATGGCCTCTTGGATAGACTGATAGAAATATAATTGAATAAAATAATGTTACATTTTCCAAGTTTTGTTGAGTAAGAATGTAGCTGCACATGAATTGTCTATACACGTAAGAGGTAAAAAAGTATAACAAAAAAAAAATAAATAAATAAAAAAATATATATACAAAGTCTCAAAAAAATGGTAGTAGTAGTAGTTGTTTGGGTACGCCGATACATCGGCCTGGAGGGCAATGGACATGCGGATGCCCTCCAGACTTTATTATTGTGGATAAAAAAAACAAGCAATAAAGAAAAGGTGTAAGTAGACACAGTCGTCCAAGTCGTTCTTGCACATAGATCGTACTAAGCCGACTCTGAATTAGCCATACATGGTGGACACATGGAAGTTTTGGGGTCAGAGCCTATATGTGTCATACTCAGTGAAGAAAAAGGATGCTCAATGCGTCCCACCTAACTGAAGGTGTCATCTTGAAGCCATACAGAAAGCAAGTAAGAATGCTACCCGATATGAAAATTGTACTTGAGTACGGCAGTGATTCTTTTGGTCTTCTGTATTTTTTTTTTTTTTTTTTTTTTGACTAGTAAAAGTTTGGTAGATAGACATATTTGTATTAACTATTTCATAAGAATATAAGCATGAATGTGTAAAGAAAAAAAAATACAACTGTGTAATTAAAAATTTACCTTCCCAGGAGAAAGATCATTGAGGTTAACAAGTGAGACTTTATCTTCAGGCTTAACTTTGTCATAGTCAGCAGGGTTGGAGAAGGTGAGTGGAAGGAGACCCTGCTTTTTCAAGTTTGTTTCGTGGATTCGCGCAAACGACTTCACAATGATAGCCCTACCGCCAAGATGTCTTGGCTCAAGAGCGGCATGTTCTCGTGAGCTGCCCTCACCATAATTCTCATCACCAAAAGCAACCCATTTGACACCTTTAGCCTTGTAAGCGCGAGCAACATCTGGCACAGTACCCCACTCTCCTGTCAGCCTGTTCTTCACCTTATTCATCTCTCCATTCTCAGCATTTGTTGCTCTAAAAAATTGCCAGGTTTCACCACGGTCTTGGTTTTTAATCAATAATGTACTCACGTAAGGAAAAGATTGTTGGAAATGTTGTCAAGATGGCCTCTGTATTTCAACCACGGTCCAGCTGCAGAGATATGATCAGTTGTACACTTTCCTTTTACCTGAAAATAATATATATTTAATTGTATTTGCGTAGTTTGAATGAATCAATTTTTTTAACCTTAATGAGTATAGTCATATTTTCTAAATCCTGCCCATCCCATTTGTCAAATGGTTCAAGGAGTTGAAGACGATTACTTTTTGGATCAACACTGACAGTGACAGTACTGCCATCGGATGGAGGTGCTTGATAAGTGTCAACACCAGGGTCGAAACCTTTGGCAGGAAGTTCTGGTCCAAACGGGTCGGACAGTTTGAATTCCTTGCCTTAATTTAAAATATAATTAATCCATTAATCTAAAAAATATATAAAAAATAAAAATATGAAAATCACGTTACCATCTTTTCCTGTCAGAGTTTCAGTCATTGGATCGAAGTCCAAAGTTCCTTTGAGTGAAAGTGCTGTGACAAGTTCAGGAGATGTGACAAATGCATGGGTTGCCGGATTGGCATCATTACGACCAGTGAAATTCCTGTTGTAAGAGTTGACAATGGTATTCTTTTCACCCTTCTTGACATCCTTCCTGTCCCATTGACCTATGCACGGCCCACAGGCATTTGCAAGTACAGTACCACCAAAATCGCGAAAAACTTGTGCCTGAAATTAAGAATTAAACTGAGAAATGACCAGTCCAGATTATATATGAAAGTACCTACAATGCCATCCCTCTCAATAGTAGCCCTGACTTGCTCTGAACCAGGAGTCACGTTGAATGGTATTTTTGATTTGATGCCATGTGCCAATGCTTCTTTGGCGATAGAAGCACACCTAGCCATATCTTCATAACTTGAGTTTGTGCATGAGCCAATCAAACCTAACAATTTCAAAATAAAGTAAGCAATAAATATTATTTCTACTAAAAACAAAATATGTATTGTTACATACCTACTCTAATATCCAAAGGCCAGCCTGCTTTTTTAGCATTTTCACCTAATTTTGAAATGGGATGGGCCAAATCAGGAGTGAATGGACCATTTACATGTGGTTGCAATGTAGAAAGATCAAGTTCAATTAACTACCATAAAGAAAACTTTTTATAAACATATTTCACAATAGACCTAATTTTGATAATATTTTCGAACTTACTTGATCATAAGGAGCATCATCATCAGGTGTAAGTAAGCTTGTGTGTTTCTTAGCTTGATCGGCAATTTCTTTTCTCCCAGTGGCTTCTAAGTAGCTGACCATCCTATCGTTGAATGGGAAAAGAGAAGTAGTTGCTCCAATTTCAGCACCCATGTTGCAAATTGTACCCATTCCTAAGGCAGATATACCAATATTCTTATTAAAAACTTGAATGTAACCAATAATCAAAAATTATTTTGAATTTAATGCAGGGAAAAGCAAAACATGAATTTTTATTGAGATTTGTTGAAAAACTTCTCTTATCTCAGGTCAATAAACCAATAAGATAATATCTAAAGAAGTTTATTACTGTCTAATCTGATTTTTTTTTAAATTGCAGAATAAATTTATCAATTGGTCAAGCAGACCACGAAAACTAGTGAAAGTAGAAATTAAATTTTTTGTACCTGTACAAGAAATATTATCAACTCCAGGTCCATGGTACTCAATGATAGCACCAGTGCCACCTTTGACGGTGAGAATACCCGCCACTTTAAGGATAACATCTTTAGGCGAGGTCCATCCTTTCAAACAACCAGTGAGTTTTACACCAATAACTTTTGGACATTTCAGTTCCCAAGGAATGTCAGCCATTACATCCACAGCATCAGCACCACCAACACCAATGCAAAGGCCACCCAGCCCACCGCCATTGGGCGTGTGAGAATCAGTTCCAATCATGAGGAGTCCAGGAAAACAGTAATTTTCTAGGAGTATCTAAAAACAAAAATGACAATGAACATAATAGCATAAATGCAACTGGTTATTTGTGTTGTTACCTGATGGATGATGCCTGAACCAGGATGCCAGAAGCCAACTCCATATTTGGCACCGGCAGTCTTGAGGAATGTATAAACTTCCTCATTTTGGTCTTTGGCCCTTTTTAAGTCCTCCTCTCCTCCCACTTGCGCCTCAATCAAATGATCACAATGGATTGTTGAAGGTACAGCAACTTTAGGAAGTCCAGAAGAAATGAACTGCAACATTGCCATTTGGGCCGTGGCATCTTGCATAGCCACCCTATCGGGCCTAAGTCGCAAGTAAGATTCACCTATATAACATACATTCACTTTACAATTCTGAATGGTTGCACAAAAGGAACAACCTCTTATTATTATTAAATACAATTTAATTTTTTTTTTTTTGCAAATTTAAAGATAGTTAATCTAGTGATACATTATCTATTGGGTTAAATTAAAAAAATAAAATATTTCAAGTTAAAAAAAACCTCTCTTAATCTCCTGATTTTTCGGATCATCGAGATGAGAGTACAAAACCTTTTCTGATAGGGTTAAAGGTCGATTCAACCTAAAAAGAATAATAAACGTTATATTATGTGAAAAAAAAATTAACAGATTGTAATATGCGTGTAAACCTTTTTCGTACAACATCCAGTTTTTGTTCCAGTTTGTTATAAGGAAGCTCTGCTACATCGAACTTGCTCATTGCAGCAGTGTTGACTACGAGCGTTTGGTGTATGCATCTTGTCTGAATGCCTACAACTAACGGGCCCTAGAAAGAAATCAAATGCAAATGATAATAGGCAACGGATCTTTCGTCATTAATAATAATAATAATAATAATCATACAATTAATTAAGGTTTTAAGTTGAGATAAAACCGTAATAATTGGTCAAGCGGACCACGAAAAATAGTGAAAATAATAACAATAATAAAGAAATTATTTGTGCATGCAAGAGTGTTTTTGTATATTTCTCAAAACAGAAATTTTGGTTAGTTATAAATTATGCAAAAATTCAATTTAGATAAAATGTGAATACATAGAAATCAAATAATCCCAAGCAATTATTTGTGTATGTAAATTGTATGTTATATTTAATATGTTATATTTAACTGAAATAAATATTGCCTATCACTAAAAAAACTATTTTTCATGAATAATTTATATTGTTTGTTGACACTCTATTTACTATAAACAGTGATATTAAAACTGAGGAGATTATGACCCCAGATTTTCATTTATACGCTTCCCAATTTCAATTAGGTGGACGAAGTAATTTTTTTCAAGGAGTTTTCTTATATAAGGCATTTTACATAACTCACATGATAAACACATATGAATGACAGAATTTTTATTAATTTCAACATAAAAGGTTGTTCTAACACTGTTAAAACAGAATCACACATTTCGTAATATTATCTCTACTTCTACATTTATTTCTGATACTAATAAGTCAAAATATACTATCAAATTGTTTCTGGCATATGGTTTTTACTATGCTCTAAAATATTTGCCTTGAATAATTTTGTTGTTATTAAATAATCAATATTATTACGAAAAAGGGCCAGGGGTAATGTGGGAATCGAACCCATGACCATCACACTAACCACTACTGCGGCAGTTCTCCCATCTATACTTTGCACTACCAGTGAATTGGCTTTTCTCACATAAACAATTATAACAAATTGTGCGTGATGCAGCAATCTGATTAGCTTATATAATTTCTTTTTAAACAGTAATAACACAAAACAAGTAAAACGATCTCGTTTCTTCTTGAGAATTTGTCACGTTTTTGAGCCACCACACATTGGTTATTAGACAATTTCCAAACAAAACTGCCATTAATTTCATCCCAGATTCCGAAGGCAATTGTGTGAAATGATTAAGCCAACAATCTAAGGGATTTCTACATTTATATTTAGGTCAACCCGGTCCTGGCTTTTTAGCATGAAGTCCTGTTTTTCTGAAGCGCCAAAGTAATTTTAATAACAGTCTCCCGGTGACATCGCGCTGGCTGTACCTTTCCTCAAATAATGTTATGACCCTGACACTGACATATTCATTCAAATGCCTGTCTGGAACCATTGAAAAAAATTTAAGAATAACATCCAATGAAATAAACAAAGGAAAAAGATTAACTGAACGTGATCTTTAGGCATAGCAGAATGGAATCAGGGCAAAAGTAAATAAAGCATTATTTACTGTTTATTTTGACTACAATAGCTCTTAATAAGCTGTAGCTAATGTAGAAAGATAATTGATTTAATTTTAAATAAATAAATTGAGTAGTGCAATAAATTATCCATAAGTGTATATTTAATGGTTTTATGTTGGTGGGATCGGGCCTATTATCGGGTCTACCTTCACTTGTGGGTTTGTTTAGACTACTCATGCGTGTTTCAGCATAGAGCTATCTTCAGCGAGGAACTGTTGAATGTGTCCTAATGCTGGTTCATCATGAGTTCACTTACTCGCCGACCAACAACCGTTATCAACTTCATGTTTGTGTTTGTTCTTTTTAAAGGGTCACACGTTTTCTCATTAGTTTAGAGGTTGAGATCCACCCAAAAACATACTTTTCCAAATAGTCACTGGTTCATTTTAATTCTGAATTTGTGAAGTGTGTGTTTACTACACTTTCAGATTTCATATAGTAACGATAACTCAAGTGGTTAGAACAGCGACGTATTGAGCCGAAGGTCATGGGTTCGAATCCCACTCGTGACACTAACTTTTTCATCTCAACCAAGATTTTAGATAAAATGTATAATTATTTGCACCCTTGTTATATTTTAGAAGAGATTAGGGATCCCCTCCCAGCGCACTCACCTCTGTCTACTGGCATCTCTGGCATATCTAAACAAGGTATCGTTTGTAAAAAAATTTAATGTAGATAAAGTTATCATTTTTACTATATTATCTGACAATCATTCCGAACAAATGATAATCTGTTATTGTTTGATTGGGAATGCCCAATGATTTACAAAAACTCACTTGTTTTGTCACTTGGAAGAAAAAGGTGACAAGGTAAAGTTAAAATTATATTTTGGCTAATTTTGTTAGTACTAGTACATATTTCTCATCGCTGGAACTTGTTGAAAAACGTGTCAATTATAACCTTGGCTTGTTATCAAAATGAGAAAATAAACCCCTTTTATGTAATTGGACAGGAATAGCATAATTATATAGGTCGGATTTATAAATTATATTGTCTTCAATTTATATCAATCATTAATAAGGTGATAAAATTGCCGGCTGGTTAAACACCCAAATAGCTCAAATATCAGATTTAATATTTCAAAATTGTAAGCCGTGTATAAAAAATAATTGTTAAGGTCAATCGTGTGGTATTTTTGACCAAGTGGAATTAAAAAGTAAGAAAAAAAGAGGAACAAATAGAGCTAAAAAAAGAAGCGGGGATCCTTAATCTTTAAGGGCAATTTTATATAGAGGGATGAATTGTTAAAAAATATATAATAAATAAATAAAATTATTTAAAAAATATGGAATTTTACGTACTTTTCTTTGAATCAGCTTGAGACAGCTGGCCATTTCGTACTGCGGACTTTACACGATTCAATTTTCAGGGAAAACCGGCCCAAAAGAACTGGCAGACTGAACGAGGTACGAACTGGATCCTGATCAACCAGATCTTGCCCACTTGCACTGCGAACTGGTGGAATAAACCGCTACCTGGTACCGGCAAATACAAATAAAACTAAATCTCCCACTGGATTTTCAAACGGAATTAAATAATTTAGTCATATGCTTTTTTACCCTAGATTTATTACAAAATTGAACTGGCTGAAAAAAAGCTAATGACTGGAATGTAGTTGAAGAAACAGAAAATATCATTACTGTGATCTTTGTTCAATTGTAAAAACTACAAATCAGTTTCAACATTAAAAACACTCATATCTTGCATTGATTCAATTTTATTAAAACATACAAAACTTTTTACTTTATACATATAATTATTTGGATATCGTGTGTGCAGTCTGGTTCAGAAAAATGTATTCTTTATCGTACCAACGTTTCGATCTTTAATGAGAACATCTTCAGGGCCTGGGGTTTATAAACATTGTTTAAATTATACAAATACATGTATGATGTGAAAAAAATGAATTTATGCAATGATAGAAATTTTAGACTAAATCAAAGTATCTGTACTCACTCAGTGTTTGTTTTCTGTGTAGATGTGTCACAAAACACAGTAATGACACATCTACACAAAAAACATACTTTGAGTGAATAAAAATACTTTGAGTCTAAAATTTCTATCATTGTATAAATTCATTACTAACATACTTTAAATGAATACATGTATGATGTGAAAAAATGAAATTATGCAATGATAGAAATTTTAGACTAAATCAAAGTATCTGCACTCACTCAAAGTGTTTGTTTTCTGTGTAGATGTGCCACGAAACACAGTAATGACACATCTACACAAAAAACATAATTTGAGTGAATAAAATACTTTGAGTCTAAAATTTCCATCATTGTATAAATTCATTTTTTTTGTATCATACATGTATTTGTATAATTTAAACAATGTTTATAAATCCCAGGTTTTGAAGATCAAATAAAGATAAAGAAAATGTTTTTCTGAAGTCACACCAGACCCCATCACATGATCTCCAAAAAATCATTAATTAACAGTCACTAAACACCACACATTTATACATATAGTCCAGAATAGAACAGAATTTTATTTACAAATATAAACATTATATACAATGGTAAAGGTGGAGTTTCTGTCTAGCAACACTTACCTCCAGCTAGTTACAATATAACAAAATTTTTATTATTTTACCTATCAAGGGAAAAATATTATTAAATTAAAAATATATTATTACATATAGTCCATTACAATAATAGACATTATTTATTATTTCATGTCCATATGATATGACACATGTTAATTTCTTATTGAGGTCATTTGTATGGTTCCTTTTAATCTAATTCTAAAATCCCTAACCATCCCTAAAATCTAAGCATACAATTTTAATTATATTAATAACATATTCAAATTACAATTAAAAAATCCTTATAAAGTAAATGTTATACCTATATTATATAAAATATCATAAATAAGTAATTAAGAGAGATGAATAAGAGAGAGAGTGACTGGCAGAAAAAGGGTGTGAGATTGAGAATGAGAAAAAGAGCGATATAAAAAAAAACAGAGAGAGATTGAGAGAGGGAGAAAGAAAGAGAGAGGGAGCTGTCCTTTGTATGTTTATTTGTATTTATTTATTTTTTTTATATATTTTTTTTAATTTTATTTTTTTAACGAAAGACCGCAACAGCAGAGGTTATATCCACCCTCGAGGTGCTGGTGTTTTTGAAAAAAAGTCCATTTGTAAGTATGTCAGGTTGGAAAGCAGGGCAGCTGGATTCGAATCCGGGACCGTTGCCTTACAGGGATGAGCGCCGTGTCAACACCTAAACCATTGTGGCCATATCTGTTGTATATTTATTGTTTTTGTATATTATACATATCATAATAATGTTAGTTTAACATGATTGCAGGCTACATATACAGATTTAGTAATAACAAATAATTAACATGCTTATAAATAAATCAACCAGCAACAAACTATACTTTATATAAAGAGAGAAGGTGTGACAATAAGAATTGAGAAAGACAGGGATAGAGGGCTGGATGGAAAAAGAGAGAGAGTGGGTGAGTGTCAGAGAGAAGATGTGACAGTAAGAAGTTAGAAAGAGAGAGGTAGAAACGAAAAGAGAGAATGAGTGACTGGCAGAGAGAGGGTTTTTTTAAATTAAATAAAGTACCTTCTTCCAAACATGATTGTGAGCTACAAATACATGAATAGATTTAGCAATAACAAATAATTGACATGCTTATAAATAAGTCAACCAGCAACAAATGTATAAAGAGAGAGGGTGTGACAGTAAGAATTGAGAAGGACAGGGATAGAGGAATAGAGAGAATAGGAAAGAGAGGGGGTGAGTAGCAGAGAATGTGTGACAGTAAGAAGCTAGAAAGAGAAGAATAGAAAAAAAAGAGAGAGCTGTTCTTTGTATGTTCATTGTTGTACATTGTACATTAATATCGTAATACCATTAGTTTAACATGATTAATCCAGTGGCATTTCTGAAAACCAGAGCTTTACATATAATTAAAAAGGAAAGTTTGCAGTATTGTATTAACTATCTGGCTGTTAGTAAAAATATGCAAATTTTTTAATTTTGGACAAATGGCCCCAAAATGATACATGTCCTCCTTCCTCTGTATCAACTGTATTAATGATACTTATTGATGTTTTATGACATTTTGAAGCAATTTAAAACGTGTTAATGTAACATATTTTTTATATTTTGTGGTAAATTCATATTTTACAATGTACATGTTTTACATATTTTCTTCATTTTACACATTTTTCTCAGAAATTTCACTTTATTACAGAATTTTTACCATTGATTTAACATTTAACATTATAATTGGTGATTTGAATAAAAGTAAGGTATTAATATAAAAAAGTTTAAAAAAAACCAGTTTTTAATTTTTACTTTAAAAACAGCCAATCTAAGTTTCTAGAAATTCAGCTACAAACACTGTTAAAAGTAAAAAGCAGTAAAATAAATATTAAAAAAAAGAAGTACCAAAGCTGTGCAAAAATCCTTAAAGAAACCTATCCAAATTTGTGTGTCTTCCTCCTCAGCTTGATGTTAAGAGATAGTATACGTAATCAGAGGCAGCGGAATATTACTGTGAGAATTTCTACAAAATAAAGGATGTATCAAAACTTGATGTGGTTTCTCTTACATCAATGTAAAAGGAAAAAATCTAAAGGAAAAAAATACACTCACCCATAATTTTGCATTCTTTCAGTTTTTAATATCATGTGTATTGCACATGCTACAAAAAATGAAACCCAAAACTGTCTTTATTGAGATTAGTTGAATCAACTATAAAAAAAATAGAAGCAGCTGGAGAAGAATTCTGTAATAAAATAAAAAAATGTGGAAGATGGGCTGTTTAAAAATCCTGAATTATTTATCTTTAATCTTATTGTAATATTGAGTACTACATTCAATTTAAGCTTCTATACATAGTTCATTTGACATTAACATCCATTAAGATCTGAAAATCCGTCAGTAAAGTTGCAAAGATGACAAAAACCAGACTGTTCTCACCTGAAGTCAAATATCTAATCAGTTGTCAAGAAACAAGTTTCAATTTCGAGGATTTATTTTATTCATTGTATAATTTTTCAAATCAGTGGAGTACTTTTTTTCCTTTTTTGGAAAGGGAGAGCAGTTTATGTAAACCAGTAAAGTCAAAACATTTCAAATATTTATTAACCAAACAGCAATGTGACATATACATTCCAATGTTAATCTTAAATACAATTTTGTATTAATCCTTTTCATATATAAACAATTAGTAAGGCACTAAACAGTTCAAGCATACACTAAATCACTTCAACAATTTAATTAAATACTTAAAAAACCACGATTAACTAGAGCCACTAATTGCATATAATACTTATCTTTGCATTCTATGGGGATTTAATTTTGCATACTGATGAGGTAGAAATGTAACATTAAAAGTTTTTGTAGGAAAAATAAATTTAATTTATTCTTGTTGATATTTTTCTCATACATTTTTCATTTAAATTATAAAATCAACAAAATTTTACAAAATTTATAGAAATAGTTGTACCAATAGAGAGGACTGGAATTTAAAAAATTACCCTTTTTTCGCTCTAAAAAGGTGAGGACAGACAAAAATGATATTTCATAATCGCATATGCATGTTTGAGCAGAATACATACATTTGGTAACTCAATGAATAAATATTAATAAAAAAAAAAGCTTAGCATAGGGTCCTTTACAATTATAGCACCAGAACATCACTCAAGAAACTGTCATTACTTAATTAATAAATATAAAGGAGGAAACTTCACTTCAATACAAAATTAATTAACATGTTTTGTTATTAAAAACATGATTGGAGCATTTGTCAGGGTGACGGCCAGAGAATGTACAACTCAGCAGTTCATGATTTGCAGACATTTTTCATTTTCGCAATTTCCATATCCTAAATGTTTTGCCTGATGAAGGACTAAGTCCAAAACGGTGCCAAAAATTAAAAAAGTCACGAATTGATGAGTTGTTCATTCTCTGGCTGCCACACTGACAAATTCTACAATCATGTATCTGACATCCAGCCGACAAGAAACACCAACTATAGTTACTAAAAACATTGGCAAAATCTATCAGTCTCCTGGCAAAGCACCTTTGACAATAATTTAAAAATAAGTGTTAAAGGTATCGACAATTTAAACCTTCATAAATATAAAGTCATTAGCGAGCCAGTCATGATGTGTGACCTCAGAGTGGACGATATAACCCTGAGAGAACATAAAATCTGATATAGCGTCCTTACCACCAGGAACATGGATAAATTCGACAGAAAGTGTCTGAAAAGTTAAAAGTGATTATTTTATTCTGATGGGCTAAAAAAATTAATTTAATTTTAAATTACTTTTTGTTTATAATAAAGTGAATACATATCGTTCATACATGAGTTGAAAAAAAAGAGTAAATATTAAGAACAATATATCTAAGTTTATATTTTGTAAAGAGAATAAGTAACTCTGCATCCATCCATCTTTGTATAAAATTTACCATTATGACTTGTCATAGCAGCCACAATAATTATTATTAATATGATTATTTCAGTGTTTGGCAGTATGGGGACAGACATCAATTTCGTCTGTCCAGCTGTGAAAGTTAATCTCCGAGGGCTTTGAACAAGGTCATTTCAGCCCCCAACTCATCCAATATTTAAACCAAGACCGGCTACACACTCACTCATTCTTAAATACATTATTTCATCCAACCATACCTATCATCCAACCCACCACTCTCAAATTTTATTATTTGGAGATCGTGATATGTGGTCTTGCGTGAAGTAGGTTTAGAAAAACATTTTCTTTATTGTGCCAATGTTTCGATCTTTATTTAGATCATCTTCAGGGCCTGGGTTTTACATTGTTTCGATTATAATGTTTGGAAATCCCAGGCCCTGAAGATGATCTAAATAAAGTTCACTAAACAGCTACTGGCCTGGGGATTCTGCCCAGGTTGCAAGTGGGTAAAGTAACTAGGGTGTATATTATTGGTGTCAGTGAGAGAATTTTGTGTGCTATGCATGTTTTACTTAGAAAAAAGAAAAAAACTATAATAGCCTTCAAAAACTAAAACTATTCGCAATATCTACAATTAAAGATCCCACACCAGTAACAAATAAGTTTAACGTAATTTAAATATTCTAAAATCATTTTATTTTTTCATCAATTAATAATCTAAATTAAAGCTCATTAAATACTACACACTTTTATGTTCTGTTACAACCTAATCTAAAATAAAAATACTTATTTTAAAAAAATCAAATTTAATTCATTTTGATAAAGAAAAGTAAAATAAAAAAAATAATAAATATATTTTCGTTTTGACTTATTTTAAAGTAAAATTACACTTTTATCAAAACTGTTAAATCAAGTTTTTTTTTAAATAAAAATATGTCTTTAGTTGCAACCTTTTTTAAAATTAACATATTTTTATTTTGAGGTCAAAATTTAACTGACTCACTTCATTTGTGTGCACACCTATTATTTTATTTTACAAAACAGCTCCTCACCCAATGGAGGACAGAAAGGGAATTGCCCTTTTCTAGTCCCTACTCCTTTGGTCATAGCAACATGCGTGTCGAAGGGCAGGCAGTACATTTAAATCCAAACATGACATATGTATTGGGACAATTATAATTTTATTTAACTGTATTTTGATCTAACCTGAATGTCAAGTGCCTGGAAAGGAATAGTTTTGAGAACGGCAAGCTCTGCACCTTCAACATCAAGGCTGAAGTAATCAATTCGGGTCCTGTTGAGAGCTAAAAGGTACGAATACAAGGGAAAACATTGAACATCGACAGTACTTGTGCTCTCTTTTTTGTCATTATTAACCCCTGTTCCTACAATTTTGCCCATATTTTTGTTTTGTTCGAATTGAACCTGGAAGTCCAAACATTATAAATCAATAAAACAAATTGATTTTTTATGTATAAAAAATGAAAAAGGAAGTGAAAACGTTTACTGACAATTTCTGGGTATGGATTAATGCTCACACAGCAGGGTGAGAGCCAAGCTCTTCTGTTTTTCCGTAACATTTCAGCAAAATTAAGCGGATCGGGTTCAATCAAAAGGCCTGTCCAATTTAGGTATCGTTCGAAATAAAGAGTATTAGATCTTGTTTCTCCATCAAGAGCTCCAACTTCGATGAAAAACCCATTTGTCTAAAATAATCATCAAAATTGTTTGTGATATCATTTGGACATTTCAATAAAAAAACCAACTTTGTTGTCCAGTATGCTCTTGACTTTATCGCTCTGGCCCATTGATGGATCTTTGACATTTGCATGACTCAGGCTGTAAGGATGGTTAGCTGGGTCTACTGGTGGTATTAAAAAGTGTTTTGTGATCTTATTTAATAGCTGCGGGTTGTCCATGGCGACCGCTGGCCCATTCAATGAATCTACAAGAATAAAAAATAAGACTAATTTTCCAGAAATAAATAATGTGTCAATCAATTACCTGGTGTATAATTGTACCATCTTGCTAAAACTTCATCTGCAACAGAATTGAAAATATAAAAATAAATAAATGTAATATATAAATATAATACATTTCTTTATTTAATGCAAATAATTCATATCTTTTTATAAAAATGTAATATGTAAATAATTGTGAAAATAATGTGAATAATACAAAAATGCAGCTTTAATTAATAATACATGATCATAATTCATAACCACAAAAACCAACAATAAATGCATTTTTACACTATCTTTAACAAATAATTAAATATGCTATTGTTGAGCGATTTTTAAGGAAAACCTCATAAATTCACAATCGAACTATGTACATTTCTTTTTAGTGTATAACACAATAAATTTAATCTAACAAAATAATTTTTAAAAAATATATTTTTTTAAATATATGTATTGAAGTTTTTAAACGAACTAAATTAATATATATTATATGCATATACACAGGGTGAGTTTAACTTCTGTTCCCCTATTTTTTTGGGATGTTTTTCCAACACATTAAACTTCATTTTTTGTCTGCTTTCCCAAGAACACTATTTCTAACTATATAGGATAGCGGGATACAAACAGCATACTATTTCAAACAGCAAGATATTGATCAATTAATCTTTTTATGTAAGGTTTTGGTTGATGTGAAAAAGCTAGTGTCAGGAGCGGGATTCGAACCCAACCTTCGGCTTGAACCAGGGTTCAAATCCTGCCCGTGACGCTAGCTTTTTCATTTCAGCCAAAACCTTATGCAAAAAGATTAATTAATTGAAAGAAGTAATTTGGTCAATAGATTACTAAATATAATGGATACTCATCAATGTACATTGTTTGAACTTTTTTTTTTGCACTGAGTGCAACATTGCAAACATATTTAATTTGGAGCAACTTTTTAAAGGAATAAATTATTTAATTAATTAATTTAATTTATTGTTACATACAACTTTTGGCCAGTTTTGGTCAGGCACCAACAAATTCTTTCTCGGTACTGTCGTACTCTTGAAAGGATATCTGGAGAAATTTCATGGCAGGTAGCTATTATTCTGTATTAGTCTGTTCATTCTTGTATGTCCTGAGGTAGGAACCCAATTGCCATTTCTGTTTCTTTTATTATATTAGGTTCTGTAGTTTATATGTTATGTTTCGGTCCTTTTTGTAAGTTTTGTTTCGGTGATGTTGAATTTTGTTTGTGTAAATTTAAGAATATATTGTCCTTCTCATTCTCTCTCCTTGTCATTATCTAGGCCCTGAATCCTATTGTAGCCAAGGATCTTGCCATAAAAAAAAGATTCATCCAAAAATGGATCCTTAATGTGTGCAAAACCTGGTGGAATACGCAGGCATGAGAATGCAAAGAGTTCATAGAAGAGCCATCCACAATATTTACAAAGGAATGGAAAATAACCATAACCGAACCAGAATCGAGGCTCTGCCATACAAGAAGTCACATGGAATGAATAGGAGACCTGACTGAAGAAACATGTGAAGATATTACCAGGAATAAGGCAGAGACCGCAGAACACATTTTATGTTTTTGTGAGGGTCTGTGCACATGCAGATTCTTGCAACTAGGAGAGGAAAAGCGGCAAGCAAGATTCTCCACTAAGGAGCGACTGGCAAGGCTATGGAGGTATATTAACATTCTGAAGCTAGCTAGTGAGTAGTAAAATTAGAAGAGCACAATAGATCTACTCAGGTCGAGGTGCAGAAGATCTTGTGGCCACCTCTTTTATCCCTGCCCCTATCCCTATGTGTATGATACATATTTGTTTTTACAAGTGTTTTTGGCTTTATAATGGCAGTCATTGTGGTGAATGGCTTTTAGTTTAAGTTTAGCATAAGCCTGGGTTAAAATTGTTAATAAGGCATTGTTTGTTAAACGAAATGTTAGCAACAGTCCATTATATTTAGTGGTCTGATTGATCAAATTACTTTGTTCAATTAATTAATCTTTTTATGTAAGGTCTTGGTTGAAATGAAAAAGGTAGTGTCTCTTGGAAGCAGGATTCAAACTCACAACCTTGGGCTTTTGGACCTTGGGTTCGAATCCCGCTCGTGACACTAACTTTTTCATTTCAACCAAGACCTTACATAAAAAGATTAATTAATTGAAAGTTAGCAATAGTGTTGTATAGTAGTTTTATACACATATCTTCTAAGTAACAGCCTGACTGGCTGCTTTAAAAGTCGATGTTGGGTGTTGGTCTGACAGTACATTCAGCATGAGTTAACAGATTTGCAGGCCAATGCCCAACATCAAAACTATAAGCTAAAACTACTTTTAGTACACAAATGTTTTGTTTCGAAAAGTTACTTAATTTTTACAGTGTAAGGTTTTAAAACTATACAGTACCAAGTAGTGATTTAACAGCAATAAATGACATTTTAAATTGCATTGCAAGCCTGAAAAGGCAAATTTCTTTTCGTTAAGACACCGCCCATTTTTTTTTTTTTTTTTTTCAGGAAAAGAAATAAGCAAGTAATAATTACTTGAATCTATATTGGAAAAGTCCGATCTGGAATAATAGTAGTACAGAAGTTCGATGGTGATAAATGCGGTCGCGATGTATAGAAATATTTTCGTCCTCTTCTTGCATCTGAACATTTTGGGTGAGAATCAGAGTGAAGTGTGTACATGAGCAACGGCGGGAACCTGGTCGGACTTAATCGAACACTTTAAAGTAGAAAATACATAGTGCAAACTTAGTTTGCCAGTGCCGATAACACGGATGAATACGAAGTTAAGAAGGAACAAAGTGCCGATAACAGTATAACACACTCTGCTACCTTCGTTCGAGAGGCGACCCGGCCTCTGACTCTGTGGCACCTGAACGGGCAAGGCCGAAGGCAGTTTCGTTACCTGCACCGTTAGTAGTTTTGGACGGATAATTTACTCTTCCCAAGTATCTATTTACTTAAAAAAAGTATTCCACTGTATCTTTAACATTAATGTTTCTTTTTGATATATCTCTAAATTTTTGTTCTATAAAGAAAAATGGTCCTTCTGATATAGGTTAGGATTAGCTTAGGTGTAGGGTAGGGGGAAGTCGGGTTCAGGTTAGAGTTAGGTTAGGATCGGTTAGAGTCTTAAAATGTCTCTACAAATGTGATGCGTTTAAACATGAATTTAGTTCATCAGATGGTGTCGAACATAGAATAACAGGTATCTGTTGAAAATCACATGCCAATTATAACCAAATGGCCATTCGCTTCCACATAAATCTTGCAATGTTCGATCCAATGCTTCCAATGATTTTTTTTATGCGCCGTTGTGCATTCATCCAGTATAATTATCTTACATTGCGGGAGTACTTCACTTATTTCTGGTGATTTTGAAATGTTGCAAGCTGGCGTTTCACGGTTTTGTATATTCAATGGCAATTTAAGTGCGATTCGGCATTATTCAAAAGATATTTTGTGAACGTATACCACAATAAAAGTTTTTTTTCTCGTTGTGTCGTAGTTTGTATTATTTTTGTGACTCTTTGTCACTGGTGTAGTTTTTTTCGAACTATGACCATCTTTTTTTTCCTGAATTGGATTTGGATTTATATAAGCCCGATCTGCATACATATATAACATGTGCACAGTTGAGTTGAGTGATAGCACTTCTCACAGCCCAACGGCAATTCTAGCTTTTGTCATTTACAATAAGTTACCGGCAGGCTTACCTTTCACTCAATTAGGGTAGTAGACTACACCTATTATACAACTAACCTAATTAAGTGTTAATGAGGTACTCAATATTCCCCCATCTTACACCACTTCACGCTAATAAATACATTCACTCTCAATACACGTTAGGTACACAAAACTATCAGCACTATATATAATCAAACAACCCTGTCCCGGAGCAATCGGAGCAGGGGACCCAAAGATTCGTTGCCGTTCTCAAGCACGTTTTCAAATCGGGTGACAATCGTACACGCTTTCTATATAGAGCCAATGAGTTGACCCTTCAATTAGATGGAACACATCGAGCAACCTTTCTCTACATGCCGAATACATCCTTTACTGGAATTAATGGGTATAGGTTTGTTATGTACTTATGTTAAACGAAATTAGTTTAGTAGTAGTTTTATCCGCATGTCTTTTATTTAGTTAATCAGGCCCGTTGAGTTATTTTAAAGAATATATGTGAAATGCCGACGTCTGATTGACAAGTCATCGAGGATAGGCATACCAAGTTGGTAGGTAATTATCAAACTATATGAAAGTATGCTGAACCGTTTTCAATCTTAGGTTTGTTGAACTATTCAAACGCGTTCTGCATTTTGCCATCTTCAGTGAGCACCTGTCTGTCATTTTGTCTTGGTAGAGCTGTATGACAGTATGTAGTTTGATGTTTCCTTTAATTAATTCTTTCTAAACCTCTGATGTACTTTACATGATTCCGTTTTATGATTTTATGTATATATTCAGTGAGACGTTTTGTATATTTCAATTGTACACACGTTTTTACTAACTAATTTAACTATTATCAGTTCAAAGTAGTTTTCTTCTATCAATTAAGAGTATTGGTCATTATTTATTGTGTACTGTTCTATTGAGCAATGACGACGTTTTTTTTTTTTATTTTGCTTCTGAAAATATTCTGATTTGAATAAATACGTAAACTTGGAGAAAGAAGTACATATAAAGACTGTAAATTAATAATAAAAATAGTAAATTGCTTCTTTACAACTTTAATGTAAGGAATTCACCATTTTCGAGCTTAGAGACATATGTAGACGTGATTTGGCACTATAAAAATTGGTAATTGATCCACAGATGTTTTCAAAAAATTTCAGTTTCAAACATTTTTTCGGCGGAATTTCAATATTTTTTTAGAATCTTTTTTTTTAGTTGATTATTTTAACCTTTCAGTTCGGTTTGCCGTCTAATTTGAAATCAGTTTTAAGAAAATTATACAAAATGCCAGCGTGGAAAAAGCGGTAAGTGTAATTTTTTAAAACCACTTCCTGTTAAAAAACAATAAATGAGGTCTAGAAAGAGGAAAGTGTCTTCTGATATGGACAGAAATTGAATGCAAGTTTTGTCCTTATGCTAACTAACTTTGATTTGTTTAATATATTTAACACTACAAAAAGAATAATTGTTCCTGTAGGTCTAGCATACATTAAAATATTGTTGACAGATAGTTTCATTGGTTGACAATTTTATACAATACCCTTAAGAAAGTTGGATAGGATTTATTTTAAATTTTGAAATTATATCATATTAAAGATTTTTTTCGAGGTTCGTTGTACTTTTTTGGTGGAACTCCAACATCAAAGGTCGAATATCGATGAAGCCTTTAGTTCCAACTTTTATTAATTTATTTGGGATGCTTTTCACTTACATTGTACGCATCTTCAGCCTTATCCTATACAAAAGTAATTCTAATTAATAAATATAGTGACAAATATATACATTTTGCAAGGTGCCGTGCCTATTCGCTCCATGTAAGGAGCCAAGGCGTGACACTCCTCGACCAACTGCGACACACCGAGCAACTTTACACAAGTGGTTAATACACATGACTATCATACCAAATAAACCATATCCATGGGCGTGGTCAAATTTCTACAATAAGGTACATGATTGTTCTCTTTTCATTTTGTATTGGATAGACTTACAAAACCAAAAAAATAACTATTTGACTATATTCCACATCATCAAATATTTCAAAGGGGTACTCAATATAGGTGAGAAATGGATCAAAAATGTACCACAGAAAAACAAAAAAAAAACAGTTGGAACTAAAGAACTAACTTCACAAACTCACTAAACTAGCTTCATTGATATTCAACCTTTAATAATACAGTCCTCTAAAAAAGTACAACGAATCTCGAAACATCGTAAACCTTGCTTAGCTGAGCAAATAAGATACCTGGCACATTAAACAGATTCAAAGAGTTGACTCAAATCTTTGGCTAAACTACGAATGCCAAATACAGATGGGAAACACCCCCTTTCTCTTAAAAATCGAACAGGGTACCCGACAAGTCTCGTGACCAAGGATTGGATGCCGTGCCTATTCGCTCCCTGTAAAGGGCCAAGGCGTGCACACTTCGACCAACTGTGACACACCGATCAACCTTATACAAGCGTGTGTTTTTTATTAACCGGTTGTTTAATAATTTCTTGTATTCTTGGACCCCTTCTCACGAATCCAACACATTATACAAGTGGGTCATACATATTACTATTATATTATCAAATAAGGAATATACTGTGAGTGGTAAAATTTCTGTAAGGCACATGATATAGTTGTTTTTTGATTTTGCACTGGATAGACTTACAAAACCATAAAAATTACTGACTATATTCCACAGCATCAAATATTTCAAAGAGGTACCTAATAGGTGAGAATTTGAACAAAAATGTACCACCCAAAAAATCAGTTGAAACTGGCTTCATTCAACCTTTGATGATGTAGTTCCTTTAAAAAAAAAATACAAGGAATCTCGAAAAAAATCGTTGGGTTGTTTTGTTAATCCTACATTTTTAAAAACTAACGCCCGCTCTTATATTTAATAAATGTCATTTTGTGTTAAATATCCTTAAGCGTTGATGCTAATTGTTTTTATTATTTTTTTGTATATGAATGGCTGATATAAAGGAAATTGATGCAATGACGATTCTTTCAGATTTCGTCAATGATGAATAAAGAAAGAGGGGCGAGTGTTGGCAAGCTTGTTGTCCGGATCATCTCTCTCTCTCCGACTCTAATCTGAATCGTGCCGTCTCGCTCTGACCGTCGTCTCTTGCCGTCTCGCTCGCGTCAGTGCCCGTGTTAAGATTCTCATGGGTATTTCAACGAGAAGTTAACTTTTTACGATTGGGATCCAGGCGGATTATAAAAGGGGGCAGGCATCAAGATGGCGTCCGAACACCAGTATTTTTACGAGGACGAGGTCTATCGAATCAATAAAAAGGGCAACATTGAATTCGGTATGGTGTTGGAAAATTCCGAGCTGGTGAGCAGCGACGACAATTCAGATAACGAGGAATGCGCTAAAATAAAAAAAGGACACATCAGAGTCACCTGGCATCCGACCGGGGCGGAAGAAGTCGTCTCGGAAAGAAAGGTTTCAAAATATTCCTTCTTTCTTTTACTCCACTTTCCTTTTTTGTTTTACACTTATTTTTTTTATACATATAATTGCTTTCACTCTTTGACAATATTATTGGAGCAGAGTGATTTTTAACCGGGGTCTGTTTCCTCGGCCGATTTAATTTACCATTGACTGAAATAGAAAAAAACAAAAAAAAACAGACGAAATAAAAGATGATCCTTTTTCCTTTGAAGTACATGCATCAACACGTCTTTTCCTCGTGTACCAACTCTTTCTGGTTTTATGGTTTGCCCAAACAATACTGTCGAAAAACGAACACAGATCTTCAACGTTCGGAACTGATTGATATAATCAGTTGATAATTAATATTACATAATTTTGCAAAAAAAAAAAAAAGAAAAAGCCAACAATCTTCCCTCCATTATCTTCCTCCGTTTATTTTTTATCCTAATGACTTTGGAAAAGTATTTCTCCTTTATATATACAGTTAGTAAAAACGTCTGCATACATTTTTTACTATTTTTTATCAGTTGTTTTGGCCTTTTTAGGTGAAATATACCAAACATACTAACATTTTCAATTAAAAAAATATTCTGTTCAACAGTTGAATAGCATTGAATTCATATAATCATAGGTATACAGTAAACAAAAGTTTGAATACAGATTTTACCAGTTGTTTTGTCCTTTTCTGGTGAAATATGGCCATGAACGACTAAAAAACTATAAAGTTTCCAATTTTCGTGAAAAATACTGCTCACTAGGTGAATATGATGGTTCAACACACTGTTTTTTCCGCAGTGATGTGGATTTCGAGCATTGAATGCTCATCATCATTAGCAGCATTTAGTAAAAAAAAAGTTATTAATTTTTTATCAGTTTTTTGGCCTTTTAATGTGAAATATACTGACACTAGAACATTTTCAATTGTAAAAAAATATACTGCTCAATAGTTGAATATGATGGTTGGACTCACTGGTTTTTCCACAGTGATGTAGATTTCGAGCATTGAATGCTCATCATTGGCAGAAATTAATGAAAAAAAGTCTGTATGCAGTTTTTATTAAGTTTTTATCAGTCGTTTTGGCCTTTTACAGTGAAATATGCCGAAACTATAAAATTTTCTGTTGTAAAAAATATACTACTCAATAGTTGAATATGATGGTTTGACTCACAAACTGCTTTTTCCCAGGGATCTGGATTTCGAGCATAGAATGCTCATTTTAATTGGTGTACAGTTAGTGAAAAAAGACTGCATTCAGTATTTATTAATTTTTTATCAATTGTTTTGGCCTTTACCGTGAAATATACTGATACTATAACATTTTCATTTGTAAAAAATATACTGCTCATTAGTTGAATATGATGGTTCGACTCACACTGGTTTTTCACAGTGATCCGGATTTCAATTTTGTTGAAAAATATATTGTTCAGTAGTTAATGCAATGATTCTATTCACAAGATGGTTTTTCCCGGTGTTCTGGTTTTTGAGTATTGAATGATAATTAAATTTGTAGTTATAAAAAATATACTGCTCAATAGTTGAATGGTGGTTGGACTCACTGGTTTTTGAAGTGAACTGGATTTCAGGCATTGACATTAGTAAAAAAAAGTCTGCTTACAGATTCTATCAATTTTTTTTGCCTATTTCCATAAAATTTAGCAATAAACAACCAAAAACTATAACTTTTTCAATTATTGTAAAAAATATACTGCTCCATAGTTGAAAATGATGGTTCGACTCACATACTGTTTTTTTACTGTGCTCCAGATTTTGAGCACTTAAAGTTCATCATTGGCAGTTAGTTGTATACTGATTTTATCAATTTTTTATCAGTTGTTTTGGCCTTTTTCTGTGTAGTATAACAATGACTAACTAAAACAGTATAACTTTTTTAATTATTGTAAAAAATATAGTCATTGTTGAATATAAAAGTTCAGCTCACAAGATGGTTTTCCCGGTGATCCAGATTTTGAGCATTGAATGCTCCACATTGTTGTCATACAGTTAGTAAAAAAGTCTGCATACAGATTTATTAATTTTTTTTTATCACTTGTTTTGGCCCTTCTCTGTGAAATATACCAATGTCCAATTAAAATCTATAACATTTTCAATTGCGTTGAAAAATATATAATTCGATAGTTCAGTACGATGATGCAACTCACAGACTGGTTTTTCTCAGTGATCTGTATTTTGAGCATTACAGTTAGTAAAAAAATCTGCAATCTTTCTTATATTTTGGGTCATTTTCTTGTTGGCAAACAAAATTCTCACGAAGTCCACTTTTCTGGACATTGGGCTTTACATTTTCTCTAAAAATGTCTATATAAACATATTGGTTATAGACCTTACGAAGATACTCCAAGTATAACATTTTTTTCCTTTTAAAAAGAAATGAATAATTTATATTATTTTATTTTTTGGGGCTTATGCAAACTTCTTTTACTAATTGTATGTAACAATGCCTCGACTTGTACGGAGCTATTTTCTGTTAATGTTTTCCAATCCAAGTGCAAATTTAACTTGTGAAATATATTTTTAGACTGACATTTGATGAGACATTTTTAGTTACAACAAAGTTGTTTAATCATAGAGTTTGGACAAAATCAAATGATATTAACCTCAATAAAAACATTTTATATTGATTATCAGTCATTATCTGAATTTTAATTTAATTAAGTCTTGATGTAGAGAATTTTTTTATGTGCTTGATTCTATACAAATTATAATCCTTTATATTTAGTGGTCTGATTGACCCCAATTACTTCTTTCAATTAATTAATCTTTTTATGTAAGGTCTTTGTTGAAATGAAAAAGTTAATGTCATGAGTAGAATTCGAACCTGCAACCTTCGGCTCTATACGCCGCTGCTCTGACCACTTGTCACGATAAGTCAAGCCGAAGGTCGTGGGTTCGAATCTCGCTCGTGACACTAACTTAGAAATAAATTGTAATAATTATTTTTAACCAGGATGGTAATATTGCTAAATAAAATTACTAATAGCATTTCTTTGGAAATTATCTATTGTATTTGCAGTATCAACCTATTAAACAATATTGATTTATAGGTTGGATTAGCTGATCGATCTCTGATGCCTGGTGATGTTGTACGGAGGATGATAAAAGGCAAGGATACGCAGAGAGGCTATTGTCGGCACATAGAGGTTATGGCTTCAATCCAGATAGTTGGAACAAGGCACATTATCAATAAAATCAACAGTAAAGATCTCAATCCAATTGAGGTTGATCATTGTTTCATCAAGGAATAATGTTACATCAATTTCCATTTCATAAATTTCCATTGTTCCCAGATTCTTTCAAGAGATCAGGCAGTGTGCTTGGATTCGTGGGTTGGAGGTATAAAAGTAGTGCATACAAAAATCCATCTGAGGCTTCCTGATATGTCCAAGTGTGTCGTTACAGATCCAGACACAGTAGGATTTGATATATTTGATGAAAAGAAAGATCCAGTAAGTAGAAGGAATTGGTTTCCTTTAAAATAATGTTGAAAAATTGTCAAGGTTGATTTTATATGATTAGGATGTAGATTTCCCTCACAGAGGCGATTATTACCCTGGGCAAGTCTTATGGGGTCCTTTAAGCTTTCTGGATGAAATTGCTGAACGGGAAGATCCTACACACACTAGAGAGCAGATAAAGTTAAGATCCAAGAACAATAAAATCATTAAGGTAACTATCCAATTCAGTTGGCATACCCGCATTTTTACTATTAACTAGTTAACGTTTCTTGAATATTCACCAGGTTGTCATTGAGGATGTAGAAATCGAATCAGTAGCTGTCCACTGGCAGTGTAGGGCCTACTCGAAAGATGGCGCTGGTTCTGAGAAAGAACAGCCACGACTCCTTATCCAAGGCGATGACATCAAGAGGCTTAAACTGCTGAGTGTCTTTGAGCCTTGCACCCTCCAAGTCGGTGACAGGCATACGTATACTATCAAACCGACAGATCAGATATCGACGAAGGATCAGTGGAGGAAAGAACAGAAAAGGCTCATACTCAAACATGATTCAAACAAATTCAAAGACACGCCTAATATACAGAAAAACTTGCACAAAGATTCTCCGAGTAAAACAAAAAAATGTAGGTTTTTGTTAATTTGATCATATGTTTTTTTTTTCTTTTTAACTTATTACCTTTTCTGTTATAATTAATTTTGCTTTCAGTAACAAATAATATTAACAAATCTGAGAATGACTGCAATAAATCAAAGTTACAAACAGAAAATGGCCATCTTGAAGTTGGAATTAATGAATCTGTTACCATCACTGAGGCTGGTGAAAATATATCAACAGAAACTAGTAAGTTTATTCTGATATATACACAAAAAGAGAGCTTGCTTTGTGTTTGCATTACTCAGTTATTTTTCATAAATTAACAAATTTACACAATTATAAACAAATAAGTTGAAGTGATATATGTTTACTTATTATTAAAATGTTTGTGGCATTTTGTTGTTTCAGATTCTACTGATTGGAATACAGAAAGCTCTGAGGAAGAATCAGAATCTGCCAGCAATACAAGTAGCATTGGAAGCATAATCAGCAATGGTGGTAAAAAGCATCCGTCCCTTCCAGTTAGAACTCTTACAAAGGTGTGTTTCACATATTATCTCTATTTATCACAGAATTTCAATTTTTTTATGGATAATAGGTTTTACATAAAAAAAAGCTTCGAAGGACAGCCCAGAAGAAAACCATGCCTAATGTGAACATTGAACCTGGTAACAAAGTGATTGTTGAGACTATCAGCACCTCGTCAACTGCAGATGTTGTATGGCAAGTGAGTGATCCATAAAATATTTTAAGTACTTTACAATTAATTTACCACATTTTTATATTTATTTTAAAGGATGGTTCAGTTGAAGTCGGAATTCCATCAACTGAACTTTATCCAATACATCATCTTGATGATCAGGAGTTTTTCCCTGGGGATTTCGTCATTGAGAATAGGGAAGAGGCTTGCATGAGAGTTTACGGAGTTGTGCAAACAGTGGACCACGCTGGAAGAACGGCTTCAGTTAAATGGTTTAAGACCTACACCTCAACTGACAGTCCACAGTAAGTTGCCTTGTATATGTAATTTCATTATAAATTTTAATTATGCCCTTGCACACAGGCCAACTCTCTTGATGGAAAATGAAGTTAGCGTTTACGACTTGAAAGACCATCCGGACTTCCAATACCGCCCGGGAACAGTCGTGATACGAGTAGCCAACTTCCAAGGCGAGGATGAAGTTTGTACAGCCGGGCAGGTCCTTGACAATTATCCTGAGGGTAGAGTCAGGGTTTGGTGGGTCGAAGGTCACATATCTATGTGCTGGCCTCAGGACTTGTATAAAGTTGGTGAATACGACTCGGATGGAGGTGAACACTGGGATGACGGCCCTAGCGATGATAATTCCTGGCAGACAGAGAGTGAAGCTTCCAATGAGGAAAAGTAAATATATTTATAATTGTGTTAAAAACTGAGAATTTATAAGCTAAAAATCACTTGAGACTGATAAGTACCACATGTTTAATACAGTCATATCTCACTTAGTGCGAAAATACTCCTGAAGGTAAATTCAAAATTAGTAATCATTATATTTATGATGAATCATATATATACACATTATTTCTTGTATGTATGTTTTATACATAATTGTCAATATAATTAATCTTTTCTTTCCAAAAAAAAAATGTTAAAGCAAATTGTACATTTAGTAGGGTCATGCAAAATGACAGAGTATCTCTGTAATTATTTATCCTTACCACCTACTGCCTTGTCCAAAATGTTTGAGTAATTTTTAGCTTTTAAACATGTCACAATTTAATTAAAGTTGGTTACGCTGAATAAAATAAAACGGAATATGTTTTTAAATATAATTTTAAATTTAAACATTTTAAAAAGGAAACAGATAAAAAGAAGACAAAATAAGACAGATAGCTGTTTAATTTCTTTTCAGCACGGACGATACACATAATGAAAGCCTAAAGCCAAAACTAGCAGCAAACATTGAGAAAGCTCGTATTGCCATGTCCCGTCTTGAAGAAATTTTCACGCAAAACCCCTCATTGCAAACAACAGAAGTGATGAGAAAGCTTCTTGAAGTTTATAAAGATTGCAGGTAATGACACAATATATTTTAAATTATTGATTCTTTGATGGTTATGAAGTTAAAATTACTATTTTATATGACTACTTTATGTTGTCTGTCTACTTTTCCCTGGGAGGTTAGTTTTATTTCTTCATTATTTTTAGACCAGTTTATTTTTTATTGCATTGTGGATGGCAAGATGCCGAAATATCACAGAAAAATTAACTTATAAATTATTATTATTTTTTATGACGGTGTTTCGTAGACGCCGGTGGGAGAAAGTATTGGATATCTACCCTCCAAGTCCGGCGCTACCAGGGATAGCCTGCCGGCTGTTGCATAAAGGATTTAGTGACAATAAAAGTTAAATAATTCGTTTGATAAATAAATTTATTAATTCACAATTTATGATATAAATACAGAAACTAAAATCTGGCCAGAAACAACTTAAACAAAGGTAGCAAGAAAGAAAGATATAGATATAGAGAGAGCTAAGTTGATACACAGAATGGCAATGTTGAGAAGAAAAGAATAAGGATGTTCGTTCGTCTTGATGCTGACTCACGACTGAAGATCAGACGATAATTTCGGGTTTATCCTGATTGGAGTCAGGGAGCCACTCGCCAGACGAAGTCAAAGATGCGTTCGTACCAGGGAGCGACTGGCTGAAGACAGCTGTTGTACGTTCGTACGTACAGGTAGAAAACCAGGCAGTGACTCACTGTTTTTATGGCGTATTGCTGAAAATGTCCTGTTTCTCCCTCCAGCGCCTTGATTTTTACAAATTTTCTGTTTTTCATAATTTTTTAAAATGATAAATTTAAGATAATGAATTGTAAGATTTCTTATTGACTATTCATACGTAAAAATGTTTACATTGGCGTAAACATACGGTTTGTAATAATAATTTTTGAAAACATCATTTGTATAAGTATATCAGCAGGGTCATTTTGCATTCAAACCTGGGGCCTTTACCTTATAGAGATGAGCACTGTGTCACCGCCTGAATCATTGCAGCCATCGATGCCCCCAAGTAAAATTAACTATTTTAAACTTGTTAGTATTGTTAATTATGATTATTCGAAAATCGTGAGATGCGATATGGTGTGACGTACGTTTCAGAAAAAACATTTTCTTTATCGTGCCAACATTTCGATCTTTATTGAGATCATCCATCTTCAGGGCTGTTTGTTTTCTGCATAATTGTGTCTTTCTTGTGTGTCGTGTTGAGAGTGCCCACGATAAAGAAAATGTTTTTCTGAAACCTACTTCACACCAGAACGCATCTCACAATTTCTGAATAATCATCGACTAACGCTCACTAATCACCACACATTGTTAATTATTTTATATCCTTCAAAAATAAATTGGTCTAAAAATAATAAAATAACTTTAAATAATTATAATTTATATATAGATGTGTCAATTAAATGAGCCTATTCTAATGGGTATGATTAACTTATCTGCAGGTATCTCGATAAATTGATGGGCACTATGTTTTTCCATGAAAGCCATTTTGAAGGGCTCCTCGAGAGGGTGAGAGAGAAAGGTCGGACAAACCCAGCTCAAAGAGTGGCTGACCAAGTGAGCAGACTATTTTCACATAACGAAATTTCTGGTAAGTACCATAGTCCAGTTATTTTTTTTTCTACTTAGTCAACTTAACCCCCTAAGCCTAAATGCATGAAATTGTTTTGGATTTTAAAATAATGGACGTGTGACCAGGTGGGGAAGATGTAATCCTGACTGTAGAAGAAGTGAGAAAGTCTAAGTCAAAAGAAGATTTTACCGTTGAAAATAAAGGTAGCCTGATTGTAAGAATTAGTTGCTTAGGTTGTTTCCTTTCTTCCTTTTCTTCCCCTTACCATTTAATTTAGTAACACTGCTGTGGGGTGTTGGTTAAGCTTTTGTTTTGTACAATTAGGGTTATCAATTGAAAAATTAGTTGGTTTTTTATTTTATATAAAGTTCAGAGAATTTCAAGTTTTACCAACTGAGCATGAATATACAAATTTGCAGAATGAAAGTTTAATTGAAAACCAAATTGATCAGGCTGATTGGAATGTTTTCAAATGCAAAGTTTTTTTATATCTCTTCAAGAAGATTTGACAAGATCATTTTGAATAAACTGCTACAAATGATATGTTTTTCATCGAGTTCATTAAAATTTCATTTATGTAGAGCTTTTGATTGAAATTGCTTTTGGTAAAATTTGTGGTTATTTGAAAAGTGGATAAAGTCAAAAATTGAAAACTCAGTAATTGCATGTAAATGTTTAAATTAGGGGGTATCAGTGGCCACAACGGTTATGGCATTGACACAGCGCTCATTACTGTAAGGTAAAGGTCCCGGTTTTGAATCCAGCAGCCCTGCGTTTGAATTTTTTTCTAAAAACACCGTCACTCTGATGGTTCGTATAACCTCGTCGTTGAAATATCCTCATAAAAAATATTCAAATTTTTTCCCTAAATGACTGGCGTATAATAATTTTACCATATTTGCTTTTCTTATACTCTCAACATTACCATAGCTTCCTGAAGTAGTTTTGTTATTTTTTCATTCTCATTTTTTCATTTTCATAATTTTTGATTTAAACCATTTTTCACTCCCGCTGGAGGAATACATATTATTTAATTAACCTCACTTTAAAATATCACTTAATAAAAAAATGTTTGAAATAATTTCTTATTATTTTCCAAGGTGATGAGAAGATTGTAGAGGATGTACCTGAGGAAAAGAGTAGACGGGATTCTTCTGGTGAATTTCTCACAGGTAGTCTAGCGTCTCTTGAAGCTAGGATATCTGCTTCTAGATTAGTGTCTGGACCACCTGTGAGCAACGACACCAATAACCATCCTGTTTCAAACCAAAACGTTGCTGCTAATGTTAATGTCCAGAATCAACCTGTCTGTTCTGTGAATGTGTGCGTTAGGCTTTGTTCTTTGATATTGGCACAGCTTGTGAAAGCACATGCCGAAGTTATAAGAAGGTATTGTGATTATTATTGATTTTATTGTTTGAGTTTATATATTATGTGTGTTAAAGGTTTGGAGGGAATACAGGGTCAATGTCCGAAGCCAACAGTGTTTCTCCCAGTGGACCGCTTACGGAAAAAACTGAAACATCTCCTGGTATAATTATGATTTTATTTTAAAATTTAATTAAATGATTAACATGAATGGATTTAAAAATGTTTTCACATTACCAGTTGTATATGTTACAAGTTTTATATTCTCACAATTTTAAATTGTATGCTTTTCTAAAGGAGCAAATGGATTTCCTGAGCTTAAAGAAAATGGGGATATTGATACTAAGGATGGTTCTAATCTTGTAATTCCCAATTCTCTTGCTGAGCTCAACAGTACGATTGAAGTTAATTCGAACGAGTGTATTATCAAGCCCAATGAAAAAGGGGGTAAGTTTCAATGAAAATAAGTCGACAGCACAAAGAATAAAAGACATACTTTAAATGTTTCAGTGTTTACAATATTAGACACAGCACCAAATAGCCACAAATTCAAATTGACCATGTTTCAACCCACGGATACAAAATCGTTCTTCAGGCGGGTTCGAGGAGAAATCAAACTCCTTAGAACATCTCTTCCTTCAGGAATTTGGATAACCGGGTTTGAAGATCGTATGGTAATTTTACCTTATTTTCTCCTTTGTATTAAGAAATCTAACTTGTGAAAAACCAATAGGATTTGTTCTCTGTGATGATTCGAGGGCCAGAACGGACTCCATATGAGGATGGCTTATTTTTCTTTGATTTCCAACTTTCAGCAGATTATCCAAAAACACCACCCCATTGCCATTATATATCTTACTGCTCAGACAGGCTGAACCCGAACCTTTACGAGGACGGTAAAGTTTGTGTAAGTCTCCTTGGTACTTGGTCTGGTAAAGGGACCGAAGTATGGACCTTGACCAGCAATTTGCTTCAAATTATAGTTTCAATTCAAGGTTAGTTTTCACAATGTGGATTTTATTTGCATGATGCTAAGCGATTTTCTTTCAAAAGGCTTAATTTTGGTGAGTGAACCTTACTTTAACGAGGCTGGCTATGAAAAGCAGAAAGGATCACAACAGGGCAAAGAAAATTCAAGGATGTACAACGAGATGGTTGTTCTTAAACTTGTCCAAGCCATGACGAAACTGATAGTAAATCCTCCCCCAGTCTTCAGAGAAGAGATCAATGCTCATTTCAATCAGCATGCTGAAAAGTAAAGTCCTTTTTTCAATATCGGGCTTGTCAAATTGTCAAAAAACACAACTAAAGCTATGAATATCTTTGTAGATTGTGCCAGAGGTTGGATTCCTGGCTAGACATTTCTGAAAAATATAACAATTCTCATCCTTTATCACCTACAACTCCAACATCATATAAGGATCTTTTAGCTGAAGGTATATAAACAATTTTCTAGGATTTAAAAATAAATCATAGGTTTTTTAAACTTTAATCATTCCTCTTTTCCTTCCCCCCCCCACAACTACCACCTCTTTCTTTTAATCATTCTTTTAATTATTTATTTAAATTATTTTCAATTAATTAATCTTTAATTAAGGTTTTGGTTGAGATAAAAAAGGTGTCATGAGTGGGATTCAAACCCACGACCTTCGACACCAACTTCCATCTCAACCCCACCTTTTGAATTTTCCCTCCTTTTTGCCATTTTTCAAACTTGACTTTTTTATCTCAACCAAACCTTAATTAAAGATTAATTAATTGAAAATAATTTATTTTATCAATCGGATCATGAAACCTAATTGATATTTATTTAAATTTTTTTTTAAGTCATTTTCTGTTGTTGAATAAATTTTATTAGTTGAAAATGATGGTTCTACAAACTTTTTTTTCCCCAGTTACAGTCATGCTCCCGATTAAATCACGTGCTGTTTCTCAGCACATAAAGTGAAAATTGTGCTGCGCCCCCCCCCCCTTAACACAGAATATTGTTTTAGTTTTTATTGGTAAAATTCACTGTTTCTTGAAGAATATCCAGTTCTTCTTTATCCACTTCTTGCGATATTTATTTTTGGTTCAAGAACTTCATTTATCAAAAGGCTGCATGTCGGATTCAGTTAATTCGATGATGTAGCCTTGGATCCTTCAGTTAGTCTCTCTTCCTGTATTGGTTAGCTGTGTGTTATTCACTTACCTGGAAAACGAAATTGAAATGATCCTTAATTTCTCTCTATGAAAGTTCAATATTTTCAGTGGCTCTCAATGTTAAACAATTTCCAATGTTCTTTCATTGACTGCCAGTCTGAATCTGTATCAAGATTTAATTGATTGAATGTACTTTATTTGCTAAATTTAAAATACAATCATTACATTTACGATTACATTAATACACTATCAATTGTATGTATTTAGACATAATTTTGTTAATATAATTAATATTTTCATTACAAAAAAAAGTAAAAACAAGTGGATCCGTTCTATGTGGGGTCATGCAAAACAGGACATAACTATTCTGATTTTAGACCCTGAAATGTTCATTGTCAGATTTAAAAATTTACAAATACGTTTGCCAACAAAATTGGAGAATGTGACTTATAATTTACATTTTAAACTATTTTAATATTTTTTTTTTTTAACAAAGACGTTTCAACTCTGGCATTATATGAATCCTCGGGGAGACAATTTAAAAAAAATCCCATTTGTTGTAAGTACGGCAGGCTCGAATGCAGGGCTGCTGGTTTTGAACCCGCGACCTTTACTTTACAGTGATGAGCTCTGTGTAAACGCCTAAACCGTCTTTTTATTCATTCTGATGGTGAGCATTTGGGGGTTCAAAATTTAGATAACGGTGAAAAGCCTTTTGTGAGTAGACCCATTGTTTTCAACTAATGAATCAATATTTCCACCTTAACTATTTTTATTAGTTTTTAATAAATGATATGAAATGCAATGAATAAAACAGATATAAGAGGCTAGTAGATTAATTATTAAGTGTACTGTAATTGTTTCCCTCTTCTTTAATTTTGAATTGTAATTTTTGTATTTAATTTGATAAGTATATTAATAATTAATGCATATCCTTAACAGTTGGAGAAGTGGCGGATGGTATCGCCTTGCCCGAGTTTCCATTGATTCCGGCTTCAAAGGGCTTTTGCTTAACACTACGAAAAACATTGGTCACATTCAGACAAGCTTTGGCGGACAAACGCAATATGAACAACGGTCTGCCTAGTTAGTACAAGCCAATGCCCTGTGGGGTGAAATTTGTAAGTAGAACCCCGAATGTGTCATCGCCGTTCCACAAACAATATTATATAAGGAAAAATTTAGCGCTTTTGTACTTTTATGTACAAACTTTAAAGACGAGATAGCTTTAAAAAAATATATATATATACATATATACATATAAAATAATAATGTACAAATAAAGGAGCAGCGGTACTTTGTTCATAGTTTGTAGTTTCGCATAACACCAGACTTGTATATATATTATATATATATTCCTACATAGGAATGTTGATATTTAATAGTTTGATAAGTCGTTATTAAATTTTCATTTTTTTAAACTGTATTTAGAAAATATCTACCTCGAAGTATATTGCACATTACATTCCCTTTATATATATGTAATATATTAAAAATATATATTACATAGTTATTTATTTATTTATTTAAAAAAATCACAATACATTCAGTTTTGCTTTGAATTAAACAATAGTATTGCCGAACAGACAATTGAAAGAAAAACAATATGATAATTAAAATTAAATATGAAAGAATTGTTATGACTTCATGAGATAAAAACGATAAAATGATTGAATTCGCATAAATGTATATAGAAGTTGTTGAAAGTAAGTTTGTAGAATTAATTTAACATAAAATAAAAATCTCTAGCAGCAATTTGTATTTCACATTATTTATACACATGTACAGTAATTATTTGTTTATAAATGATTAAATTTATATTTAAATGCCAAATAATTGGTGTTAGGGCACAGATTTTCTAATTGTTTTATTTTGTACTGTGCATTGTACCACTAGTTTTGTAGCTAAAAAATCTTATATTTCTTCAGTAACGATAATAAATTAATATTTATGGGTTTTTTAAAAGTAATTAGAATAAAAGAGATTAAATGGATTATGGGAATTGTTAATATATTTATTTTTTCCTAAATAATATAAAAATTATTTTACTTCGTATTATTGTTAATTTAAAAAATAAATAAGGAAAACTCCTATTGTGTTAACTAAATTATCAATTATAAGTTTTTCAACATTTTCTCTTCAATTATTATTATTGATATTATTGTTTTGTTTTAAAAAGCCATGCATTTGAAGAACTATGTATGAATGAGAAAATGAAAATTGTAATTGAAAAGTCTATTCTGTTTTGCAGTAAACGCACAATAAAGTTCTTTGTTGGATGCTATTATATTGTTTTTCTTGAATCTACCTATCTTCTATTGTTCTAAGAAGGTGGTGACTTTGTTTTTCTTTTTGTTTTTGACTTACAGCTTTTGTTCGGGTTTCGGCCCAACCAGGAGGTCGTGGAAAACGGAAAATCCTTCAAAGGACACGGGCTGAAGTGCAGCTTCTCCCTCGACTTCCGCTGTCATAATAAATTTTCCGTCTTATTTATTTTGTCATTTTATTTCATGTTAGTATTAATTAATGATAATCAAAACATTTCATCTTATATTTTTAAAAATTGGCACTTCATTCAAACTTATAAAATTAAATAATATTTGAATACTTCTACAATGTTGTGTCACTTTCAATCAATATCAAATTATTTATTTTCCAGCTTTTTCCAAAACTGTATCTTTTATTATATGATAGTTTATAGTTTTAAAGTATAATTAATTCTCAGTGCTGCCTTTGGAATTATTTTACTGGAAATTGAGCAAATACTGTAATTAGTCTAAGATGATAATATAAACCAAATCATTAATCATTGAAAACCACACAAATGGTTCACACAACAGCCAATGAGAAGTGAAAGGCAATCAACAAGAAATTGTGACATTATCACGTATAAATGTAAACCATTTGAGTCAGAAACTATGATGATTTAATTAAAAGAACTACAATTAAGTCTATTGGCTGTGCTATGAAAAAATCTATTTTAACTCGTACCAGCTGTAGTGGGTATTTTTAGACCTAATATTTTTTTTCAACTGAATAACTACAATGTGTTCTTATGTTTTATGTTTATTAATTTACTATGTGCAAAGCTAACTTATGAATAATGAATAAAAATTTTCTTGCTTACATTATATAATATTGTATTTTGTTAAAATTTTAGATTCGTGTGGAGCGGTCAAGAATGAGTAGCTTAGAAAAACATCATTTTCATTGTTTTTGCCAATGTTTCGACCTTTATTCGAGTTATTTTCAAGGCATAAAGTGTGGTGAACACTATGACACTACAAGCATAGCACCACACTTTTTTCCCTGCAAATGATCCAAATAAAGGTTAAAAAAAAGGTGTTTTTCTGTGCTACCTCATTCTTGACTGCTACTCATGAATCTAACAAATTATTAAACAACTGGTCACTAAAAAAAATCACATTTTATTAACATTATTTTATTTTACATCATTACCTATTACGTTTTGAATCAAAACAACTTGCAACTCTTTTAAAATATAATCCTCACAAGTAAAATCAGAGATAGCAACTGTTTTGATCACTTAAGCACAAAAATTGAAAAATAAGAGCTTCGGGGTAAACAGAAAAACCAGGATGACAGACGAAGGGTAAGGAGCTAGGGTGTGATTAGCAGGGCTAACTCTTTTTTCTTACCTGAGTGATTAAAGTGGCTTATATTAACGTAGTGCTTGGAAAAAATATGAAAAAAACATGACCTGGATCTCGATCCTAAATAGACCTAGGCATCTATTTATCAACAAAATGAGCAATAACAATTACTTTTTAATTAAGGTTTTGGTTGGGATAAAAAAGTCTGTGACACGAGCGGCATTCGAACCCACGACCATTCAGAATCAAATAGATGTAATAATTACATTTTTGTTCAAAATTTTAAAAATTACTTTATGTTAAGGAAAGACCTAATAGAGGAATACATTGAAGGGTGATTAAAAAAATAAATAAATAAAGAATAGACATACAAGTGGGAAAAAACAAAAACATTCTCTAAGTCTTTCAAGACCCTCAATGGTGGTGTGAGTGTTAATGGAACAGTATGGCTTCTTAATTAATAATTAAGAAACAAAAGATTAACATAAATATAAGAGAATTTTAATATTAAACAACATAGGAAAATGTTGAGAAATATTCCGTTTACCGCCTGCTTATGATGTTTTGTGTTATATTATTATTTTACTGTTTTTATGGCTTTCAATTTAAATATGACTGACATGTATTTTCGATGTAATCCACATTCTGAAACAGATACACACTTTAAAAAAAGAAGGAATTAAAGGTGATTTTTAAAATAAATTAATGTAGGAATACATGTACATTTATTATATCCAATGGAAGGCATTTATAGTGTTTACATAAAGTAATACCATATTAATTTTTGTATTTCTATTGGCATTTCTTTTTGTACTATCCATAAGAGCTCTGTCATACGTTAACAACGCTTTCACAGCCTCTTCTTAAGTAATAATAACTGAATACATTAAATCATGTCAGTTTGCAATCTCACCTTAGAGTGTGGATAACTATAAATACAATATATCAATAAGTATTGTAACATTAAGAAAAAATACATTGATTACATTTTTTTTTTAATCTACACTCGTCGGCTTTCGGTTGATTACTATCGCCTAATTTAATTTTCACCATGACTATTTGGTAATTTGTTTAATTCTTCTTCCAAATTAATTCATTCACTATAAGTGTCAGTGACATTTGGAATGGATTAAGGTGTATATTTTGGATGGATTATTTATGGGTTATCCATAGACCAGATCATTCACAAAGCTTTAATGTGCAATGACAACATGACAGTTCTACGAGAAATCAGCCTTTGATTTTTATATTGATTTAGGTTTAAATTTCTCAAATGGAGGCTAAACATCTTGAGCAAGAGGGTAATTTTACATGGTTATTAGTCATCTTATACGTGTTCATATAAATATTTAAAATTGGCATTTGGCTTTCCTGATACAGAACAGGAATCAATCACAAATATACTACATCATTAAATCTGTATTGTAATAAAAGCCTTAATTATTAATAAAATGTTAACATTTAAACATATATTTATTTACACATGCATTTATAAGCTGCTGTTAACATAAATATACAATTTGACTTTAACTTTCTTTGGAAATGCTGTACATGTCACACAATTAGAATACTTTGCCTTTGGCTTAATAGGTTAATAAACATCCAACATATTTCGTGCTTTTAACAATATATAAAATAAATATATAAAGACAAATTTAACATATATTACAGTTTTAGATTTTCATTATTATTTATCAAAATATAAAAGAATGTGTAATTTAATAATGACTTTACAAAAGTTTTAACCATTATTAGATTAGATTAAATTGAAGTAGAGATTGGGGCTTATGTTTGAAAGTCAATAATGACCTAATATCAGAGTTAAAAGGGAAAAATTGAAAAAAAAAAGTATGTCTTGTTGTAAGACTTCAGACTGTCATAAATACTTTGTTGTCACGTTTTAAATTATTTAAGCTTTTAATTTTTTAAACAGAAATGTAAACATTTAGCAAATGCATACAATAAATTTCCATATAAATGTGTACTCTAAAAAGTTAAAGTAATTCCTGTTATACAGGAGGGCTTAATGTCCATCTACCCGTTGGGTGTTGCAGATGATGGGCCACACCGCTTTACAATACTTATTTCCAACAATGTTTAATTAAAAAGCCATAGGCTCTGCTGGGACTCAAACCCAGGACCTCTGCTAGCACATGGCAAATACGAGTCGGACGCCCTAACCACTCGGCCATCAATGGTCCCCAATATGAGCTATAATAAACATGTTTATATGTAAATTAAATTGAATACAGAGAATTTTTTTAACTTTTCAAAACGATTTTGAACAATTTAAGTTTGTTTTTCTTTCAGTGAGTTAATTAAAGACACTTAATTTTCTAGATGACAATTCTATTCTTTTCTTTTGGTTAAAACCAAAACCAATATTTTATTTTTGCTTAAATGCATTTACAACTATATGTACATATTTCTAAAACAGGTTTCAAGCTCACAAATCAATGTTTAATTAAGTTGCACACAAAACTGCAGACAGTTTCAGCAGCATGAAAAAAAGTATATGTATTCTTAATTTTTTTATTATGTTCTCTAAATATATTAAATTAAAAAGAAAAATGTAAAAATTGAAAAGGTAAGAAACAAATATACTGTAACTGACTGACCACTTAATGGGTGCTAGCCTTGTTTATATTTTAATCTTTCATTTTCTCAAAATTTGTTCTAATAGTTTTTTTTTTGTATATATTATAAAATGTAAATTTTTAAAACTAATTTGACTTTTTTTAAATTTTTTGATTTTTGTTTAAAAAAATAACATGTGGTCGGTTTAAAAAAGAAAAAAAGTAAATTCAAATTAAGTAAAAACAGTTACAAATAAATAATTCAAATTAAGTAAAGTAAATTAAGAGAATAAAATACAAAAATAAAAAATAGAAAGATGGTGATGATGGGTGTAAATTCCCAAAATGTCCAAATAAATGTTAAAATAAATAATGTATTTAATTTAAAAAAATTGATTTTTTTAAACAAAAACCAAAAAATTTGTTTAAACAAAGATCAATGGAAAGTTACAATTTACTTATTTCCATTCAGTTTAATTTACAGTTAAATGCTGGTGGCAAGTTCCATTAAATTTATGTATAAACAACCTTTTTTCTTGGCAATAAAAACTTTTCTTCTTCTTTTCTTCATTATTTATTTATTTTGTACGAGGGTTCGCAACAGTAGAGGTCATATCAACCCTCAGGGTGCCGGTGTTTTAAAAAAAAGCCCATTTGTAAGTATGTCGGGTTTGAACGCAGGGCCACTGGATTTGAACCCAGGACTTTTACTTACAGTGATGAGCGCTGTGTCAACGCCTAAACCATTGTGGCTACCGACCCCCCTTTTTCTTTGTTATTGTTGTATTTCTTTTTCTTTTTATAGATGAAAAATATTTCTTTTAGGCCTTTTTGAAGGCGTTTTTAAAATAAAAAATGATCGAAATACATATGGTAACCACCTTGACATAAAGGCCTACAAAAATAAATTTTTCAATTATAAAAGCAAAACGTCTACTTTTTTCTACTTTTTCAACTATATATATAAGAAGAAAAGAGTATTTATACTTTTTATAAATTAGGCTTGAAAATAGTACATTTTTTGTAAATATAGTCCAATTAAATGAAACATAGGAAGAATAAATGCATGAGCCATGTTTAATATAACGCAAAAAAAATTCAAAAGCTTTGTGAAGATTAATTTTGTTTTAAAACATTTTATCTGAAAATATACACTTTACGGCAATGTAGCAAACCCTGTTTGGAGCAGTCAATACAGGAATAATTTAAATTGTTTCACGAATAATTCCCGATGGCTGTCTGAATTGAAAAAGAACACATTGAAATTTACTAGTTGAAAATAAATTTGTCACCTAGGTACATGTATTAATTCTAAACACTTATGACCAATGGTTATTGACGCAGACATAAAGTGGGCGGTAAAGGATCACTGGCTCTGTTCTTACTAAGGAACCGTCGTAGACTTGGCCAAGAAGAAACTCCGGCCCAACGTACATTCCGCCTTCAACATGTTCACTTGCAACACCTGAAAATTATTACCAAGTGAAATATCATTTTCTGAATGAAAATTTTCTTTTATATTGTTGAAGGTGTGTTTTTAATGAAAAAATTGGTTTTTCAACGTTTTGACTTGCTTTTTTAAGAAATATTTTATTTATGTAATTTTAAATAAATAAAGTAATTTATGTAAAATGTTTTTACAGAAATAAAATATTTTATTGAAAACAGCACTAGTTGATAAAATGTTGAAAAGCTACTTTTCATTGAAAACCACCTTCAACAACACAACCAAAAGCATAAAAGATAATTTTTCATTTATAAAAAGAAAAACATGGACAACAACAATGAAGAAAGAATAATAAAAATGTCATTTTAATATAAAAGTATCAATTACAAAATATGTTAATATTTTGTTATTCATACCATAATGTACAACAGATTGCTCCTTGGAATTAGGGATTCGGAATGGTACAGTTGCTACAGTTAAAGGGAAGTGCATTGTCAGATCGTCTCCTGTCTTTTCAAATTCCAAACCAACCTAAAAACAAAAAATTACAAAGCGAATAAAATCTATGATAAATGTATACTCAAAAATTTGGCATAGCTTTTCTTCTTTTCATTATACTTTAGTAATAATAGTCAACCTACCTTGAGCACATAATATATTTGTAAAAGTCGGCATAGACCCACAAGTGACGGAGGCGTCACTGGAAGAACCAGATTATGGTCTGAGTCCCATTTGGTCACGGTATTGGGCTTAATCAAATCCCCTTTATATTCTAGTACTAAATGCTCTGTTTCTTTGGTTACTCCAAGCACACCTCTTTCTATGAAATACTCTACATACTAGTGACAAAATTATTAATTATATAAATGTCTTTTTATAGAGCTTGATTTAGAACTAACTTACTTGCATTAGTTTGACTACTAGCCTAACTTCCTGTTCTCCTTGGTTGTCAATATCTGCACGGAGACGGATAGATTCTCCTGATACATAAGCTGATCTCTCAAGCTCAGATCTGCAGAAAATGGGTGATAATTACGTATAAATTATAAATCATGTCATAAGAGATTTTACAAAAGTACCTGAGAACTACTGGCCCGCGTTGACAACAAAAACAACATGTTGTCTTCTTATCTTCTCCAACTATAGGTTTCTAAAAAAATACATTCTTAATTTCCATTTGTATCTTTTTATAGAGAGTCTATTTTTACAAAATATTTAACATAATATTATCCCATAAAATTTACTATGTAATATTTTGTGATGATGTTTTTCTTGAGAAATAGGAACATCACATTCATTCATGGGGCCTTTATTATTTGAGAAATTACAATAGAAATCGTCTTGATAATTTACAGTAATAATGATAAAGACAACAACATGGTCCAGTGGACCGTCTATGGAGTCTACTATTCATTTTTAACTTTTACAATTATAATCTCTCTTTACTAAATTACTAATTGAATTATAATTCTCTTTCTCTACTATACATATACTAACTAGTTTCAAGGATCGATGTGATACTCAGTATTACCTTATACATATTCTTGTACTACACATTCACACGTATAAATATGTTCATCACCAACCTTTTTATATATACAATATTAAAATTAACTGCAAAAAAATATATACAAAAAATTACCTGTTTCCTCCCAAAATCAAAAAAGATTTGTTTATTAAATGAAATCATGAATAAAGAGTTTATTTCACATTCTTATGAAGCTCAGTTTAGCTTAATTTTTTTTAATGTTAGAATATTTTAGATGACTTATGTGAATAATTTTTCTTGATATATGTGCAGTATTGTCGTTTATGTTGTACACATCAACCCTATTTACTTCTTGGGAAAAGATTAAAGTCTATTTTATACGGGTCTGTAAAAAATAATAAAATCATATTTACCAAATATTGTTCGTCCATACAGTCAATATGAGGTCCAATTATGGTGAAATACTTCATCCCCTGTGGCGGAGAACAGTACGGGATGTCAACTGTGACCTGTAAAAATTTTATTTAGTGGCTTGAGAATTAAATAGTGGACTTTTCATATACTGACCTTAATGTAATATCTTATATAGCCTGGCTTGCTTTCAAAAGAACAAGGAAGTGCACTTTCAGGAAGGTGAAATTTGAATGGAAAATGATGTTGTCCTCTAGGTAGGATGGCTATATTTCCTTCTATTTTGTCTATAAAATAAATTTTCCCTCTATGGTTACAATTTTCCAAATTTATACTTCAGTTGTAAGATGTAAGGTTTGTATCTTACATCTTATACTTCAATTATAAACAAAGAAAAATATTTTTATAACACAATAATTATAGTATAATTCAAATTTGTAGAAATAATTTTAAAGTTTTATTACTAATATGGTGGGAAGGTTAATGTGTCCCAATGTATTCCTCTAGATGTAAAAACCGTTCAAAATAAAAAGAAAAAAGAGCTAATTGGTAAAAGATAAAGCTCTTTTATGGTACATGGTCAAAATATGGGAAATGGTACATCTATGGGCATAAAAAGGGGGAATAACTTTGAACACCATATGCTAAAAAAGGAGCTTTAGAATTTCTGTAGCATAAAGTACAGTCACTTTAAAGAAGAACTTAAAACTTAGGTGACTAAAAACAACAATGGGAGAAAGAGGAAAAAATATTGTAGAAACAATAAATACTGAGAAATAGCATAAATTGTACTACTCTCCTATGTTATCATAGTAAGTCCTATCAATACACCCATGAAAGGCCTCAGCCACTTACAGTCAAGGCAGTGTCATTTGACAGCAACGGTAAAGAGTAATGGCAACAGGAATTCCAGTGCATTAACAAAGAATTTTTGGCTAATGGAATTAACACTAACAGCAAACACCTTAAAACTAAGGCATAAGACAAGGCAGTGGTTAGGGCTGAATGGCTGCAGTTACAGGTGCCATCTCCTTGTACATGCAGAGCTCTGTGGTTCCTTTAGATCCATAGCTTCTTGTAGAAACAAATGACTACACCAGAAGGAAAAAATCAAGTTGTTGACATCTAGGGCAGGCAATAGTGCCTTAGTGAAGGCAAAAGGACCTAATCTGCTAGATTTACAAGCCTGGTTACTGCAATTGGCAGCCAAAGGTAATAGGTAAAATACTCAGGCAAGATACCTGCAGAAGTAATTCTTGTTGAGTAGATGTGAATGATGTCTTACAAATTTTATTATTGGCTTCGAAAGAAGCACCAGGCGCCTGCTGACAAAATACTTAACTGTTAAAGGAATAGCAACAGGCAATTCAACAAGCAGTATGGGCCATCCACCATAGTTCTTGAGTGATTATGGAACCAAGTAGGTCCAAAAACTTGAACTAATTATTGGATATGACACAATATGCAGTATGGAGTAGCACAAACATCAACACTAGAGATGTGTTGCTTTTAGATTTTATTACTAGAGAGAATTTGGATTTAACCAATAGAGGCATAGATCCTACTTTTGTCATCTGTTGTCAGCATGGAGGTGGTTATACAACACCCTAAGAAATTCATATGGTGTAGACTATATGACAAAGTGGCATAGAACACAGGATCCATCATGCTCTGACCATAAATGCATACTATTAAATTTTCTTCCACCCTCCAATACAAGATTTCTCATTGTTTATGCATAAGATCCATCACTAACTATTCTACATGGAGCAAACTGGGAGGTGTTTCTTCTAGTTGATTTAAATAAAATATATATACATGAATAAAAATGATTTTCAATTATTATTAAGTACCGTGACCCCAAATGACTGCTCTGTCATCAATAATGTACTGATCATCTCTCAACGTACGCCTATCACCACTAATAACCACTTTCCACTCTGCATGCGCCTTCCCTCTCAGCATCACACGAACCGCTGTAACAAAGTTTATTATTTCCAATTAGTAAGCAGTTACAATATTGTTTCTTATTTTGTGTGAGACAAGTCTTAAACTCTTAGACGTTTTTGATTTTCCGAATGTTTCCTTTTTTTACATTTCGAAAAACACTCGTACTGTTTTCTTCTTCACTTACACCTAAATCATTTTCCATTATTTTACTTCCTTGAACACATTTCTTCTTTGTCTTACCCTTAACTGGAATTATGGGTTTATACTGTTTAAACCTGCAAATGCATAAAATACATTTGCTTATATTACGACTGAAGATTTTACAGTAAAATCCTTCAAAACTAAAGAAATTTTATTCATTTTGGGAGTTTCACAACGATCTCTTTTAGAACCAATTCTTTTAAATATTTGTATTAATGATCTCAAACTCTCTCTCATACACACTAAAGTTTCTTTCCTATTCCCAAAAATTTATCAATCCATAGCTTTTGATATATTCCTTCTTCAAGAAACTCTTCATACCATAAATGAGCCTGGCAGTCCCTTTCTCATTTCCATATTTAATAATCAAAACTCTTTCCCTCTTTGTAGACATCTTGGAGTTATGTTTGATGAAAACATGACATAAAATACATTTAAAAACAATAGGATTCTTTAACTGAAATAACCATGGCTTCACCAATCCAACAACCACATCAGTTTCAAAAGGTCTTTAGTTGTACGTATAGTAGAGACTAGAGCATGCTTCTATCATCCGGAATCAACTCTACTTCAACCACACATAATCTCTGTTGAATCTGTTCAAAGAAAATTTGAAACTGTTAGCATTTAGAGGATGTTGGCAGTCCGAGGTCAGACATAGGTCTTATTGGCCAGTCACCCTGGTGTTTGACCCTTTATAAAATGAGTCAAGTATCAGAATAAACACCTGCTTATTAATGATTTATATAAGACAACGTATGTAAATACACACACTTTTTTAAAAATAAATTACCAGCAGACCTCTAACCTCAACCACCTGATAGCAGTCCGGGGTCAGATCTAGGTCTTATCCATCCAGCTGCCAGGGTCGGGCTCCAGAGGCTACCAACAACTAGGTCATTTCAGCCCCCAATGCATGCAGTTCCTAAAACCAAAACAATTCACTCTCACTCACTCTTAATCCCTCCCTTATTTACTATATCTGTCATACTCATTTTGGCATTTTGCAATCTTTCAAGACCACCGCACGCCATTTCAAGCCACTGAACATGTCTAACAAACATAAACAGAAAGTACTAGAAAATAGACCAGTATGGTTGAAAAGGATTAAACTACAGGCTCATCACCCCTACAGACTTCATAGAGAAATCTCACCTGAAATTTCCCTGATGACTGTTCAATGATCACCAGCCATCCAACACTATCATTGGTGTACCGACTACAAAGACATAAACAAGGCCCAACAAAGATCTTACTTATTCAGTCCTAAATGTTTGACCCTTTATAAAATGAGTCAAGTGTCAGAATAAACACCAAAAAAGGCATTTGGCAATCATTCAAGCCCACCTCATGCCATTTCAAGCCACCTGAAACATATCTAACTAACCTAAACAGTTCTAAAACCAACCAATTTACATTCATTCACTCTTAATTGCTCCATTATTTACATACCATTCACTCAGAGTGGTGGGGTATTCGATATTTGTCCATCACCCTACCTATTATATTAACCTAATTGAGGGTTGATTGGATACTCGATATTCCATTAGCCCTCTTACACTACACATTCTCGCCAATAAATACATTCACTCTCAGAGAGAAGAATTTGCATATACTTTGTAAATAACTTTTGTTATTATCTTGTATGTACAATGTACCTTTCTCTCTCTCACTCTCTCTCTCTCTTCCTAATCATTCAATTATGTACTGTTTTTGTAACTTTTTTTCCATTAAAAAAATTGTCTAAAAAAATACATTTTATTCTTTGACAATGTTACACATCACCTCACAATGTATATTCTAAAAGGATTATTTTCTCAATTGATAGGTTGAAAAATTCCAAGTATTCCATAGTTGAAAACCTTTATTCAATTTATATGGACGTAGAGGGCTCCTAGCCCATCATCAGTAACTAAAGCATAGAAAAATCTCATGGTATAATTCCCAATATGAAGACACACCCAACAGTAATTTCCATTTTTTTTTTTAAATAAAAGTATTTATACCTGGACTATTCGGATGATACATATATATTATTTTTCCACCCCCTTTATATGGTTTTCCACTTTCCCTTTCCACCACATGACCAATGCAGTTGGACAGGCGTGTGAAGGTGGTTGTTGTTTTTCCTTTGGCCTCCTTTGTTTGACAGGGAAATCCAATTAAAACTAATTATCACCATCTAAAATAGGTGGGACCCACTTGGAGAAGGGCGGATAGCGACTGAACATATAAGTTATATATAAGTTAAATTATTATCCATAATTTATATGTATATCTCATTACCATGTGGTATACCAATAAGGGACTAAAATAAAATATATGTTTCAATTAGTTTTAAAACCATGTGGAACATTCCCCTAACAAATAAAGGGGGTAGAAAAATAATATATATGTATCATTCTCAGGTATAAATACTTTTAATTTGAAAAAATTAGAAATTACTGATGGGTGTGCCTTCAGATTGGGAATTATACCATGAGAGTTCTCTATGTTTAGTTACTGATGATGGGCCAGGAGCCCGAAATGTTGAAATTTACTAAGTTGAATAAAGGTTTTCAACCACGGAGAACTTGGAATTTTTCAACCTATCAATAGAGAAGATATGAACCGTGTTGTTGGTAATATATAAAATAAGAAAAAGATTATTGATCCTTATGCAAAATAAAATACCTCTAACAATTACATTTGTATTATCTGTACTAATATATGAAAACGTCACATTGTGACTTTCCCGTTTCTCATTCACATATTCCTTGATTAGAAATGTGAATTATATTACGATAATTTTAAAATAAATAATTACATTGTACAATATAAATAAAATACGTTATATAACGTTTAATCTTGTAAATTATATTTGCTTTTGTGCGGGTCGGGTGCGTGGGAGTATCCTGTCAACACGCGCGTTCTGTCAACACGCGCGCTTTATTCCAAAAAAAATTCTGGAATTATTTAATTATTAATTCAAAACGGAAGCAAGAACATTAGATTTATTAAAAATATTTATAATATTTAAAATTAGTCTAATTTAGGTATTAAATCGGTACCCCCGATTTATATGATATTACATTAAATGTTTAAAGGCTTTAAAATTATATAAATGAAAAAAAAACTTTTATTCAAAAATGTTTATACAGTTTAGGAAAAACATTACTTTTTTGTTGTTGAACGAAAGTTTTAATAGTTTAGCTTACATTTTAATTTGAAGTTTTCCACCGTATTGAGAAGAACATGGCCAGAAAGTGTTTCTCCAGCGTAGTACATCTCCCTTTCGAGCCTAATGTCAAATTCCCTTATGTAGTCCATATTGGGGGCGTTTATCCTCCCTTCGGTCAAAACGTGTCAGAGGACGTCTAAATCTATTACACTCATCTGAAGTTCAATATCCCGTACTCAGAGCTTTATATATATTTGATAAAAACCGTCGACAAAAAAGAAAAAAAGACTAAGAGATAGCACCAGTGGCTATAAACAAGTCAATCTTGCTAATTGACCAACATCTCGGAAAGTGCGAAGCATCCACCGCGAATGCGCATTCGACTACTTCTGCTCACCCTTGGGTGGACAAAATCGGTAAACGCCTTTCATCGTTTTTCCCACGTGAAAAACAGCCACCATCAATTTAAAAAAATGACAAATGTGAAAATATATATATTTTTTTAAGCCCGTTACAATCGAGAGTGCATACTATAAATATTATAATTAAAAGTAATTTTGCATATTTAAGACTGCCTCCCAAATAAATGAAGTGATTTTAAAGTATTTGTTGTTTTTTAAAATGAAATTTAGATAATTTTAAAATTTGTCCGTGTCAGTAATTTATGTATGACTTCAAATGCAAGGTGAGTTACTGCCGTTCCTTCCAATAATTTTTTAGGAAGTTGATGGAAAAATACTACGAATATAATATAGAGTTACATCAACTCTTTGTGGACTTCCGGCAAGTCTATGATCTATTAAGAAACGTCGCTTTACATACATATAAATGGACAAGCATACAAGAAATGCAAGAAAAGTGAACCGCCTAGTGCGAATTTCCAACATATGAAGTGGCGAGTAAAAGTGGAAAATGGCCTTTCGAGAGACCCCGGAGTCAGGGACTCAGACAAGGGTACGCGCTGTCCACCACCCTATTCACTCTCGAGACGGGTGGATCAGAACAACCCAGGAGGGATTTTGATGAACCGAACCACTCAAAATTTGGCATATGCAGATGATATCGCTTGGTTGCTAGAAATTTTAGAGGGCTCGAGGAGGGTTTGAAAAGTTTGAAACAGGAAGCAGGAAGATTTGGTTTGTCCATTGCTAAAAATTTTGGTAACAAGACAACGAATGATTTTCACAAGAAGTCAAGGGGAAGTCAATTTCGCTTCCATTGCACTGAACCGAATAAACATATTATTTTTCACTTGATTTTTAAAAAAACCAAATTAACCCTTTTTCTACCAAATTAAGCCATTAATTTTGAAATGAAATGTATATTAGGTCATCATATGTCTATAATGGCGTCGATCAAAGCGGCCATAAAACAGGAAAAATGTAAGTATGGAAAATATATATAACAAAAAATATATTTCTGGTTTAAGCACCATTTAGTTCGTTAAGCATATAACATTTCACACTAAAGAAAAACTAAAAAAAAAAAACTATAGTTTACAAAATATAGCAAGGTCAATATAGTTCTTTATCGAATAGTTCACCTTCTCTAGTTCGTTCATGAACTACACATCCCTGTTCGATTTGCCGCCAATGTCAACCGCCAACTGCCAGAGTGCCAAGAGGGCAAGTTTGGGTTTTATTTCAGGTCGCGTACCAAACACTCCGTTTCGTTGGTACTTTGGTTGATACTAAATAGTAAATGGGGTTTCCTTTGAACACATTTTTACCATTTTTGTGTTGTGCATGTTTTTATGTTGTACCAAGTTGAGTTTTGATTGAAACAACTATGGATCCGTTTGAATACCAAGCTCCCAAATTCGTCGAAAGATTGCAAGAAAAAGCCGAGAACCTTGAAAACGATGGAGCAGACGAGTTCTTTGGTAAATATTACTTATGCCAATTCATCCACTACTAACTACAGATATGCTTTGGCACATCTGCAGCATATTCCTTGGATCAAGGTGTTTATCCTAGCTTCTGTAAACTTGTTATTCCTTTGTTAAAAAGGAGAAGTAAAACAAAAATATAGCTAGGAACTGTTTCTATTATTTCTCACAGTCCTAAGCTTTTTGAAAAAAAAAATCGTTATATGTATTTTCAAACAATCCTTCATTCTTGCTTCAACATAGGTCCATTTTAACAAAACTTTTAGGTGCCAGTTTTCTATGGAGATAACTTGAACATGGTAATCAGGTAGATGTCATTTACACAGATTTTTCTAAGTCTATTACAATCTGTTATTCTTAAAATTTAAATCTGTTGGAATTTCTGTATAATTTTTGTACTGGATTTCTATTAAACCGAGGCAGCTACCAGTCTGAAATAATAAAGGTTTTTTCTGGTGTTCTCTGAGGTGCTCATCCCTCTTCACTTTTATTTCATATTTCCTTCAACGACCTTTCCTCTGTTCTCACTCCTCTTTGCTGACGACTCTAGGTTCTGTTGGTCCCATCTTCCTATCACTCAACTTATTTTTGACCTTTTTTTATCACATTTTCTTTCTCTTTGTGCAAGTCCCTGTGTGGGGAGTTCGAATGTTGCCTTTTGAAGACTGCAGGGTTGCTTGTGTTTTCTCTTATTAAATCACTACTTTCATGGTCCGCTTGACCAATTAATACATGCAATTAATTAAGGTTTTTAGTTGAGACGAAAAAAAGTTAATGGCACGAGAGGGATTCGAACCCACGACCTTCGGCTAGATACGCCGTTGCTCTACCACCTGAGCAATCGTGACCTCTTATTAAAAGTGTATCATAGCATATTTGAAAATTTCCTTGTATGACCTGCTAGTACAATCAAAATAAAGGTTGTTCTTGTCAAAAACCCAATTACATTTTTAGTAAATGGATTAAATATGGAATTAAGTACTGACCAGTTCAAAGAAAATAATCGTAATTCCTTAGAGAAGGCATTAACATGCTTTATCTCTATGCTTCAAAAATGGTTTATGTTTGTGATTAATAGTAAAATAGTTTTTCAGTTAAAATTAAAAAAAAAATATATATATATATATATATTTAATATATAGAATATCATAAGCAATCAGGAGAAACATAATGACTTCTGACTTCTTTTTTTAAATACTGCTCTCTTTTGTAGAATGTGAATGATTTTGAAATTTCTTCTTGCATTGTTCTCTTAAGAGAAAGTACTGCCAAATTGAAAAAAAAAAAAAAAATATTTGAAAAACAAAAGTTTTGTTTAGAAAGAGTCATTTAAAAAAAGAATAATGGGTCATATAGTTTAAAATAAAATAATAATGTCGTAATATTAAAAAATAATGTGGTTGGAGCATATAACTGGCTACCCTGTATGTTGAAACTAACCAGTAAGTCTTGTATTCATAACCAAAATCAGGTCTCCTTGGTGCCGCCAAAAGACTAAATTACAAGGCTGATATTACTTGTGTCAAATGAGAGTGAAATACTTGTAACAATATCATGGACGTCGATGAGTCAAGCGTGTCAGTTGTCAATGTCAAGCAGTTCAAAGGCACAAGACAGTTTTTTTATATTGAGTTCACATGCAAGGCAATATATTATTATTATGCTTGTTTGAAATTCGAAGAGAATTAACAGTGATACGTTTTAAAATAAATAACTATTGTAATTATTTCTAGATCGTCCTGGTATAGCATTTTCATATTTTTTCTTCTTACCTCATATATCAAGAGGTTGGTAGGGCCCTTGGAGGATTTAACTCAGAAGAATGTTGCCTGGAGCCCAACCTTGGTGGCTGTGATAAGAGCAAGGTCTGACTTTGAAATGCCAACACTCGAGCAATGACAGGATCAACTCTATACTAGCATCTATATAGAAATGATGAATGGTGGAGTGAGTGCGGTGTTCAGTCCTTTTTAAAAAGATAGTTCCTACTCACAGTAAGTCAAAAAATGTGTAGTCAATTTACTGTGAGTAGGAACTATCTTTTTAAAAAGGATTAGCATGTATGTACATGTGCTGGTTTGAACTTGTAATCAGCAATTCTTGCCAATAAGACTTATAATCTCATCCCTTTGGAGAGGAATCAGGATTTTTGGGTTTGTAATAACAATGACTTGTGTTTAGTTAGTCGGTTAAGCGTGCTGTTTAGTGACTGTTAGCCAATGATTATCTGGCAATCGTGAGGTGCGGTCTGGTGTGACGTAGGTTTTAGAAAAACATTTTCTTTATCATACTAACGTTTTCATCTTTATTGAGATCATCTTCAGGGTCTGGGATTTATAAACATTGTTTAAGTTTTACAAATACATGTAGGCGGTGAAAAAAAGGAATTTATACAATGATAGAAAATTTAGATTCAAAGTATTTGTACTCACTCAAATTGTTTGTTTTCCTTGTAGATGTGTCATTCACGCAATATCTCACTGACACTCTCAACACGACACACAAGAATGACACATCTACATGGAAAACAAACACTTTGAGCGAGTACAAATACTTTGATTGAATCTAAAATTTTATAGCATTGTATAAATTCATTCTTTTTTTAAATCTAAAATTTTCTAGCATTGTATAAATTCATTTTTTTTCACATCCCACATATATTTGTAAAATTTAAACAATGTTTATAAAACCCAGGCCCTGAAGATGATCTTAATAAAGATCGAAAAGTTGGCACGATAAAGAAAATGTTTTTCTAAAACCTACATCACACCAGACCGCACCTCACGATCTCCAAATAATCATTACTTTATTTAGAAATTTCTACTGATAAAATACAAACGATTATGTGATTTTTCTTGTGCAATACATTTTTTGTCATAGCATATTGCTTCCAGTTTAGTGTGTTGGACTTGGTTTGTTTTAGATATCCCAGAATTAAACAGCTTTACCGATACAAAGGAGAATCCTGTATTTTTGACGCCTAAACAAAAACAAGAATTAAAAGAGCAATTTTTCACACCATTACCTCTTGTAAAAGGTTCACCTGTAAAGGTTTTATCTAATAAAACTAATGAGCAAGCTCCTACTCATAAAACACCCGGCAAACATCCAAAAGGACCAAGACCTATTATAAAAGCCAAAAGACGAGTCTCAAATGTCAACAAAAAAGCCGAAAGCAATACAGAAGGATTAAAGTAATAAAAAATTCAAATAAAGTACACTTTTATAATTTACCTTTAATAAATAGAAACTTGACTTTCAGAAAGGAGAAAATTAAATTAGATTCAGTTCCACCTGAAAAACAGCACTCCATGATAACTAGACATGATGTTTTCAAGAGTCTTAGAAAGGGAGTGATAAATAAAGAAGCAGTGAAAAGAAAGGGTTCTCCGATAAACTATGGGGGAAAACATATGACATTGGCAGAACACTTGTTTCATTTTCAAAATGACACACCGCCAAGGTTTAAGTCAAAATCTATAAGATCATCCGGTATGTATAACATTATTAAAAACATTATTCCAAATTAAAGTTTGTTTTGTATTCTAGCTATTCCACTAGAGAGGACAAGATTGACTTTAACAATGGCTCACTCTCCTCAACTGGCGACAAAGCATAGAACACGTGCACATCCTGTACCTTCTCGAGTAGATAAGTGAGTTTAACACAATAAATATAATACGGGTCAAAGGTGGTGTTTAACTTGTAACTTTCAGCAGCAACCTTGTGAAGGCACATCCTGTAAATAAAAACATATTTAAACCTCCAGTGATGAACAGACCACCTCCTAGGCCATCTACTATGCCTGTACCATTTAAATTAACCGAGGTTAAGACAAAGGTGAGTCGGTTTGTTTATAGTATCTAAGTATGCAAACTGATTTTAATAATTTTAGGCATCGCATAAAACAATGCCTGAACCCTTTCACTTTAAGGCCAGGCCAGCTCCCAAGCCCAGTAAAAATAATGTAAGAATTAACTTTTTTTAAAAATTATATTTAAAAAATTATAATCATTTTAGTTAATAAATTTAGAACTATCAAAAACTTTTGTTATTATGTGTAGGAGAATAATGAAATATTTGAAAGTAATTTATTCAAAGGCCTTAAGTTGGTTACTGGTGGTAAGAAGGTGACTGAAGTCAAGCCTTTTAGCTTCGATGAAAGAAATAAGAAAAAACAATTAGAGAAGGAGGAAAAGATTAAAAAGGTAAGTAAACAAATTAAAAAAATATATATTTAACTTACAGTTATGGTTTTTTAGATTATTGATGAAGAATCCAAAATACCAAAATTCCACGCTAAACCACCACCTTCCACACAAATGAGGCGTGCTTAAACATGGTAGAATCACCTAGAGGCCCAGTGGCTCTGTGTAATATGTCTTGTTTATAAATGTGTTTTTGTTTGCTTGCTTTTATGTTCTTTTAAATGATTTTATCGAAAATTTTGTTGATAGGCTCAAAATGCCACTTATTTACGTACATTTTCTTATATAGCAGAATGGTACCCAGGTGGTGAAAATGATTTAAATTTATAGAAATGATGAAGGTGAGGTATAGATTCACTTCTGGTTTTTGTAGTGTGAAAAAGCATAATATGATTTAATCTGTTAAACATAACCATTATATATTTTTTATTGTATGTATATTTTAATAATGGCTTCTTTATCAGAAAAATTATTGTATACTTTTCTTATTGCAATGATACATAGCATTGATTTTACAAATGTCAATTTTTTCTTTCCCTTTTTCTCATTTAGTCTACTAATTTTTTTTCTGATTTATTGTTTTTGTCAGTTAATCTACTCATGGCAGTTTTTAACATTTAAACCAATTGAACCCTCACGCCGTGGTCCCTTGGACTGCCTGAACGAGCTGTGGTTGGGATGTCATTCTGGCCATAATACTGCTTTTCCCATGCATTCAACTTGTGTTCCGTACTGCTCTGGCCTGGAACAAAACTTTAGAATTTAAAAACCAGCCCCTCATACCATAGCAGTCCTATGGAACGCTAAAATTTTTATATACGTTTACATTTTACAAACGCTAGAATTTATTAATCCTTAAAAAAAAAGGAGTGAGTATTTCAATTCAGTAGTTGAAAAGAAAAATTATCCTTTTCAACCGTAATATTATGTAAACATTAAGAGTGAGTATCATTAGTAGTATTTTTAATAATAATATGTAGATGAAAAAAAAAAATTCCTGAACTATTTTTATTGTTCTTTTAGATCAGGAGGATAAATATTAGGGCATATAAACCAACTTCCACGAGCCTTTGATTCCCAATACTCATTGTTATATTTATATAGAGTTTCTTTTGTATCTTCCTTTTCCAGTTTTATAAACCAAGTGGGAAAGAATGGTAGACCTGTAAAAGACATGGAAAAATTGAATTGCCAATAATAAATAATATTATGTGTAGCTATTATTAGCCGATTTGACCTTCAGGAGTGCATTCTGAATCTTTGGGACCGTGAGTTCGAAGTTGTTTTCTTCTAAGGCCTTCAATTTTCATTTGAAAAAAAGCAGCTTGCTGTAGGTCACCCAGCTCAAATGCCCTTATATCTATACGTCTTCTGGAATCCGTTGGCGCAACCTTTTCTTCATACATGTTCAATTGCCTTGCAAAATTGGGCATGTGATACATTCCTGGATCTTCATCTCTATGAAGGAATGAGTGTAATTTATTGCATCTTAAGGGATATACCGTAAATGTTGCATACGGGAGAGGATCACATTTCCAAATTGTTTTAAATAAGCCTCTTTGATATGACACTATTCCATCATCATCTATTACAGTTTGAACACGTGCAATTCTAACACCTTTGTCCCATTTTCCATCTAATGTCCATCGAGTTTCTCCTGACTTATCTAGAATACAACCCAATACCTAAAAAAGTAAAATATAATAAAATTTAGCAGGTTGTATGTAATTTTTATAGAATTGTATACAATAGAAAATTATGCCATCATAAGGTAAAAACGAAAAAGTTTTCCCTTAGTTAATTTCACCTATCTCTGTTACTTTATACTCATTCAACTAGCAAGGTGAAGGTAATATTAGACACGTGTCTGAATGTTTTAAATGAAATTAAATAAAAACTAAGAAAGAAAAAGCTCACATAAATAAAATAAAACATCAAATTGCTATATTTGTGTCCGACCTTGATTTAAACTTGAAAAAAAAATCTTAAGTTGTGGTTAATTAAAACTTTAAAAATGAAAATGCTATTATATCTTTCTTCTTACCTTCCTCTGATAATTTTTATTGAGAACATCATACGGGAAAAAGCTCAGGTTGCAAATTTCATCTGTGGTTTCATTAATTATTTCCATAAATCCCTCATTATCAATAAATGGATTGCCATGTATGATATCATGTAATACAGTTTTTACTTTACCCCAGCGATATTTATTACCTTCAAAAAATTGTTGATTAAAATTCTTATTGAAAATCTTTTTTTTAAAGTTATTTATTTTGTATGCTTATTATAAAACATTAATATTTTTATTTGGTAGTACTTAATTCGATATTAAATTACATACAAGTAATAACTAATATATGAATATTAATTTAATATTTAATTGTAATGCACAGAACATTTATTTCAAATTTGATAGTTTTCCATTGTTTTGGTCTATCCTTACTGATTTGCTCTGTCAAACATGATTCAGCATTTTGCCATCATCAGAGTCTTAGTGATTTCTATTATATAATTTCAACTTATAAAAAACTTAAAACTACATGGAAATAGTAAGTAGAATAGGCAGACCAAAATGATTGAAAATTATCAAATGACAGGTTCATCACCCTGAAGACCTCATTAAGAAATCAAACAAATTGAACATTTACTGTTGTTGCAAGAATGATTGATTAATTATTATTCATTTATTGTAATACTTTTTTCATTTGTATTATTTGCAAATAGAAAAAATGTTAAATAGGGATTATCGTACCTGATTCAAATTCTAAGTGGATTGACGTAATAGGAGAAAATTCCATTTTGTTTCCAGGAAATGTTGAATGCATTGAGAACAACTGTGATAATTTCCATTTCCGTCCTTCGACAAAAAAGGCTGTTGTCGGAGGACGATTGCTCACTTGTTCTGCAAGGGAACGCCACCCGCCTTTTTCCAAGTTGTCAAATTCAAAAGTTTCCCCTAGAATAGGGTTGAATGGTTTCGCCAATCTTTCTGCTGTCGATGAGTATGCTGATATGGCAAACGCAGCGACATAAGCACACTGCTCGAGGGAGTCAGCTATTTGAGCGGCTTTGTTTAACAAATGAGCATATTCAAAGTCTTCTGTGAGCCTTTGTAAAAAAGACAATGGCTCGGTATAATCCAGCTACAAGAACTAGTTTAATTTGTTATAACTACATATGTATCTAACAAAACGAATTCACTTACTGGCACTATAATTTTGTATAGTTCATACCATTGAAAGTCTCTTATGGCTGGCCATAAAGGAATTTTCGGTAGAGGTCTTAGATGATATTCATCATATTTTTTTCTTTTGTATGCATATTTTAGCTTACTTTTAGCAAAATCTGTATTACTGTTCCTTTCAAACATTACAATTTAATTATTAAAATCTAAATAAAATCCTATTACAAGATGGTTAAAGAACAATTTTCAGTTGAGCTCAACAGCTGGAGCAAACAAAAATTATTTATACGCTACTTTATTAATCCATTTGGAAAATTTAAGTATTGCTTCCTGAAATATTAATAATTTATAAATTGACTAATGTAAACTTAAGTAGATATTCTAAAATATTTGATCTCTAATATCATTTAGTCATTACAGAACTATTACAACTAACAAATCAACAATTAAATTGCATTATTTTAAAGAAGTTATATTTCATGAAAAAAAAAATCTTTTTTGTATGATGTGTATATATAGAAAAAAATAAAACAAATCATAAAATGAATAAGTAAATCACAAAATAAACTTACTCGACACTTAGTGCATTACTTTCAACCATAACATGTAAATATATTAGAAGACATTCAATTTTTCATTGAAATGTACAGTTAATAAATTTAATCATTTTCATAGTATTGAGCCTGAGCTAAATCTATGGTTGAAAATAATTGTTGCTAAAGAATTATATATGAATTCATTTTCTCGTTAACACCTAGTTAATTTATATATTACAATTAATTAAGGTTTTTAGTTGAGATAAAAAAGTCAATGGCAGTCAATAGCTCAAGTGGTAGAGCAGCAGCGTATCAAGCCGAAGATCGTGGGTTTAAATCCCGCTTGTGCCATTGACTTTTTTATCTCAACTAAAAACCTTAATTAATTGTAATATATTAATTGGTCAAGCGGACCACGAAATTAGTGAATTTAATTTACATAATTATCAAGAGCAGTTTGTTTAAATATCATCTTTAAAGTACAAAAAGAAATGATTTATAAATGTACAGTACTAGTGTTTTAACATCAAAATTGATGGATTTAACAGCAATGTACTGAAAAAATAAAATAGTGCTTTTAATAAAAAATAAACTAAATTAATTTAAACATCAATATGTATATGAAAAAGCACATCCGATGGTGTAGTTTGGTCATTTGCATAATGATTGGTGTGTCACATGGATTTTGACCTGACCCATCTTCAATGAAACAGACCACCAAAATTGAAAAAGTATGTAGGACAACTCTACACTACCCATTGTGAAATAATTGATCTAAATTATAAAAACTACTGCCTTTAAAAAAATTGGTTTTTTGGCTAGTTTAACCATTTAATTTTCGGTATGGTTAGGGACCAAACATGTTGACTTTGTTTTGTTCTAATTTATTTTATTTGTCCTTTACAAAAATAAAAATGCAACAGAAAAAGACACGACTCATCACTGTTAGGGTCCCTGGTTCGACTCTGTGACCCTGAGTTCAAACTTAAAACCCAACATACTTACAAAAGGGCTTTCCAAAGAGCAAAGCATGTAAATGAAAACACAAAGAAAGTTCCACTTTGCGGCAGGAGCAGAGGAAAAGGCCATTATGTTTATAATGAGATTGAGCCATTCGAATTTTGGACCGGACCTGATGTAGTAGAAGGTTGTAGGTTCCATTATCTTCCAGAAGACCAGTGTGCCTAAAGCGTCTTACAGCAGCTTCCCCATCTTCTCCTCTGTTTGTGGATCTCATTTTCTTGCACGAGCAGTACTAACTTGGGGGACTGACTCCCCACTGAAGATGGAGAGAAGCGAATTTGTCCGACAGATTTTTTTTTGGCTTTGCCGTAAGGTATCCACCACTCCACTTTGGTTGAATTTATTTTTCTTATACTTAATTAATTATTTATTTTATTTTTTAAATTCATTTTAAGTTTGTTCATTTATTATTTATGTTATATCAGGATGTCATTTAGACAAGCCATCTTCACGATCCCATCCATTAGATGTAGGTTGGTCGTTTTGCCGAGTATAATGGACATTTTTGTAGGTAATGGCTCCCCTTGAGCGGTCACTAGTTCGTATAAGTCTTATTCCTCGTGAGGTTGGAGGACACGATAAGATAAGGTCAGCATCGGCTACAGACCTGTTGTCGCATGGACATGTCCTCGGTCTATCAACCCAATTTTGTATAGGTGGTATAGGAGCCTGTTTTGACTAAAGTGTAGACTGCATATAGCGATAAAGAAAACCCGGGGACGGTTAATCCGGGCAAACCATGGTTTGTGTCTGACAGATCAAAACGAGTATAGGCAGACCAAGTCAAACCATTTCGAAAGATCGAAATGACCAACTTAAAAAAATTACTTTATACATCATTTGGTTAAAAAATATATATTATGTAATAAAAAATAAGTTTATTATTTAAACATAGGTTTATTTTATGGATGTTCATATATAAAAATAGAGAAGGTTATCCATTTAAAAATTACATGAATAACAAATAAACAAACATTCCAACTATAAAAAATTACTTAAACATCAACATTCTTCATTTCGGTTAATAAATAAAAAAAATATAATAATAAATGTTGTCATTTAATAATAGGTTTATTTTACGGATGTACATATATAAAATGGTAGGTTATCCATTTAAAAATTACGTAAATAACAATATTTAAAACTTTATCATATTTACACAACACATTTATAAAAACAAAATAACTAATATATCATACACATATCCCACTTAATAATTGCCATTACAACTCTATTGCTAAAGTTTTTCCCAGCTCCACCAAAGCCATGTGAGGACTCTTGAAGACATTATTGTCTTTTCTGTAGCCACAATCGGCCTTGAGTGACGGGAGGACACAAGTCTTTCCTTGGTTGTTGGCAATTTTACTGTAATAAAACTTTATTGTTTTCTTCGCTTCAGTTGTAGCAAGTAATTCCTAAAATCACAATAATTTATAACGTGAAGTCCAATTGGTATTGTTAAAAAAATTACCTCTGCTCTATTCTTATCCTGGCAAAGAACCCAAAACAAAGTGATGACCTTGCAGAAGAGAGGTATGTTACTCTTATAGAACTTTCCTATTAAGTTCAGGAGAATGTTTTGCCCAGAATGTTCACTCATGTTCTTAAACAAAAGCAAAATGGTAACAAAAATTTCAATTAAAGAGACAATTTTCAACATACTTGCCACAAAGAATCTACCGATCTTGGGCAAAGAGAAATATTAAGAAGAATGTTCAGAATCAGATGATAAATGTCCTGGTAAGATTGAGATCTGCATGTAGTGCTTAAAATGGTATAAAATTTGTAATGAATCACTTTCACTGATGTTAAACTGTAGCACAAAACAGGGGCATGTTGAATCAAAAAGTCTGACAAAAAACACACAACAACAAATTAAAAAAGAATATAATAATGTTATGGAAATTTTAATTTAAAAAAGACATACCTAAATTTTTCATTATCTTACAAAGAACATTCATTGAGGTTGTACTTTGCATTAACTCAATGTTAGATGTGAACCTATCTTTTAGCAACACGTCTTTTTCTTCTGGGCATGACCAATTTCGGGTAACCTTAGGAACAAACCTGTTCGTTTTCCTTAATTTAAAACCCCTCCAGAATGCCTGTAGAAATAATGAAATAATACTGAGTCCTTACCTTATAACAATAAAAAAATTATTTACCTGAATAGTACATGCAGCATTGTACTGTTTTCTAACAATATCGTGTTCTAATTCCTCCCTCAAAGACATTCTATTTCTGTACCAGTGTTGAATTATAGCTACTTGTATAATTTTGTTTTGCTTGCATTGTATTATACTATCCATATTCTTTCTTGTTAAACAACCTCTCTGCCATGATTGAATTTGTATAGCAGCATCAGCCCTTATCTGTTTGTGTTCTATTAAACTTTCTCTTATATCATCCATCATCATTCTGGTATGAATTCCTCTCCACCATGACTGAATGTGAACTGCAGCCTCAGCTCTTATTTGCTTGTGTTTCATTAAACTTTCTCTTATATCGCCCATCAACATTCTGGTAAGAATCCCTCTCCACCATGATTGAATGTGAATTGCAGCATCAGCCCTTATTTGTTTGTATTTCATTAAATTTTGACTTATACTATCCATATTCTTTCTTGTTAAACAACCTCTCCACCATGATTGAATGTGAACTGCAGCATCAGCCCTTATTTGTTTGTGTTTTATTAAACTTTCTCTTATATCATCCATCATCATTCTGGTATGAATCCCTCTCCACCATGACTGAATGTGAACTGCAGCCTCAGCTCTTATTTGTTTGTGTTTCATTAAACTTTCTCTTATATCATTCATCATCATTCTGGTGTATATCCCTCTCCACCATGACTGTATACGAACAACTGCATCAAATATATATCGTTGTCTTCTGGCTGTGATCCTTTTATTTATTTTATGCCTTAAATTCACCTTCCTCCACCAGGACTGTATATTCTTAGCTGCTGATTCATAACGTGGAGCCAAGAATTTGTGGAGTATTTGCCACAAAAGGGACATTATTTTTTCTTTATGCGCATTAACGATATCAACAGCACTGACATCATCTATTTCAAATCCTTCTTTCATCAGTGCATCTAAAGCCACCTTTACATTATGAATTTTCTGAAGCCTTGAAACTGCTGGTGTCCTCAGTCTTTTACAAAGAGTGTTGTCTTTCAAAATTATTTCCATTGTCCTTGTTAAACAGACACCATCTCTTAGGTCAACATGTGATTTGACTGCAAAGTCAAATTCATCCATATAAGTCTGCTTATGGACAAGAACATAACCTAAATGCTTCAGTTTTTTTTTCATATGCCCAACACATTTTATAAACTCCTTGATAAACTCATTTAACATACTCTCACTGTCCTAAAATTTAATAAAAAAAACTATATTTATTAATCCATATATGTTTAGCGGTCATAATTGGCCATATTAATAATTTCAATTAATTATTTTGTGGTTGAGATTAAAAATGTAGTGTCACCAGCTGGATTTGAACCAAGACTTTCAGCTCAAAATGCCGCTGCTCTTATCACTTAAGCTATTTATGTTTATATTCCTATATATTTATGTTTAAACATAAAACTTATTAATGTTAATGTTATAACTGGATATACTGACCTTGACTGTTGCTGTCTTACGAAACAGGCAAGGATCATAAGGGATCATTCGTTTCGTTTTTGCCTGATCTAAGAAAAACACAAGTGCCAGAAATTTGAACACAATGAAGTTATTCATTTCTTTCTGTAAATAGTATAAAATGTTCAAAACAAATTTTTTTCTTGTAAACAATAAAACAACTTACCTTAAAAGCTAACATTTTGTAATTGCTCTTCTTTGAATATGCATTTTTTTCTATAATGTCTTTATCAGAAAGAAAATAGTTTTTTAAGAAAAATATTAGACTTCCAATCAAGCTGTTATTAGAAACTGTTTCAACAGGCCGACCACATATGGCCTCAAGTCCAAGTCTTAGCCACAGTGGATTGTAGTACATAATAAGCTCTACCAACTTATACCTTGCACCTGGAAAAAGAGAGGAAAAAATGAACACTGTCGTATTTCTTTCAAGTCAGCACACTTATACCTTGGTCACAATAGAGATCCAAGTCATCCTTGACAGAGAGATAGCCATTTTGGACATTTGAGTTAATTTTGTAAAGGACAGAGCAAATTTGCTCTGACCTAAATAATTTTACAGCAGCCTTTTGAAGAGACAGAAAATGGATCTTATTTTTACAATAATGAGTCGACACTGACTCTTTGCTAGGAGCTAGTTGCACTACATCTGAAGCTACAGCCTTCTTCCACAACTGTGCCAAATCAACAGTCATTTCTTCATTTCCAAATTCTTCAGGTGGTGTAAGAATTGAATTGAGCCATTTAATAAGCTCAAGGGCTTGTTTATCAAGCCACTTTTCTGGGTGGAGGGCATTTCTAAACAGTGAGATAAAAAATATGTTACATTCGCTCAAAAAAGTTTCTTACTTGTATAAAAAAAAAGTTATGTTTGTAAACTTCATTTTACCTGGCAAAAGGGTTTTTAAATGTTGTTAACCCATATTTGTCTAAATTATATGAAGGAAGCTGAAAAATTTCCTTTTGACTTGCTTTAAATTCTTCATCCGTGAGGTTAAGAAACTCTGCCCCTTAAATTACAGTGTAGAAATTATATTAACAACACCAAAACAATACTAAAAAATAAATAATTTATAAGCTTATTACTTAAAGATTTTGTCAGCTGCGACTTCAGTTTGAATTTAGTAGATGGAGACCTTTTAAATTTAAATGTGTTTTGTTTTACTAAGGAAGGCTTAACAAACTCTTGTGGTTTGCCACTTTGAGGGGGGCTTATGAACATTGCTACCATTGGCTTATCCATTCTCACCGGAGTTGAATGGAAAGGAAGTACATTTTCAAACCTTTCATTCTCTGCAGGGTGCAATTCAGGTTTTGGAGGAATTTCATCTGTGCAATGAATACAATTCTTTAACAACTTGGTTTCTTCATCCACTTCCAGGTTTGTTTTCACATCCTCTTTCATGAAAGAATGGTTGATACAGACAGAGCTCAAATGGAGGTCTACGATTTCATCTGTTAAGTTTGTTCTACTTTTTATAGTCTGTTTATCTATTTTTATTGAAGATGATTCATAATTATGCACATTTTCACTACCCTCACTCCTTTCAGAATAAATTTCATTGATTAAATTTTGTTTTTTTGTATGATGAATTATATTCTCAATGTTCTTAAGATATCTTGTTTCTTCATTAACCTCATGAGTTGTTAAAGAATGGGGCAATTTTGTACAAATAGTGCTCAAGTTGAGATTTTCAATTTCATCGGTCAAGTTTACACTACTTTTCACATTCCATACTTCATCTGTGGTCTCATTCGTTTTTGTAAAAGACAAGGAAAATGAATTGCTATCGCATTTTAATCTGAGATTTGTCAACTTTTCTTTTGGAGATTGTGAATGGGTCTTTGATGAACTGACATCATTATCCGTAATAACAAGGGAAACAGCGTTAGATACTGAAAATGTCTTGCAGTTAACTGACTTGGAAAGTTCTGGGATTTCTATTGGCATATGTTGTGTAGGAGAACCATTCCAAGCACAAGTTACTTTAGATTGATCCAGATTGTAGGTCTCTCTCCTAATTTCCCTTTTAATCTCTTCAGTAAAACTCTTACTGGGAACTGTGGCTGGTTTATATGTAGAAGGTCTCAGTCGACTCCCTCTTAATGGAATTTTCTAAAATTTGTAAAAAATTTAATAATACAATTAAAAAATAAAAATTTGTTACTTGTAAATATTTACAGTGATTATATGATAATTGATGTTAATTATTAGAAATTACAGTAACATAACAAAACTAAAATATTGAATGTTATATTCTTATCGATACATATGCTTACAAATATTCTATATAAATATAAAAACTTCAATAAACACATATAAATGAAATATCTAGAAAAGTACCTGTTTAACAGATATTGCCTTGGATGTGATCACAATATGGCCAAACTGTTTTGTGCCTTCGAACTGCTTGACATTGACAAGGTCATGCCAATCTCCAGCGCATATTGGCGTCCAAGAAATTGTTACAGGTATTTCACCCCCTATTGGCACAAGTAATATCGGCGTGTCAATGAGGTAGCCTCGTAATTCAAAGTCTTTTGGCGGCACCAAGGAAACCTGAAAATCTATGGGTTATGAATACAAGACTTACTGATTAGTTTTGACATACAGGGTATTTTTTAAAGGACACTCTCAAAATAAAACTTAATTTTTTCAATTTTGTAGTACTTCCTCTTTTGAGAACGCAAAAAGGAATTTCAAAATCATTCACATTGAACAAAAGAGAGCAGAATTAAAAAAAGAAATTATTATTTTTTTCCTGAATGCTTACATTAATTACATACATGCATATTTTGTTTATTTTAACTGAAAAACTATTTTACTATTAATCAGATCCATAAAACATTTTTGAAGCATAAAAATAAAAATATGTTTATACCTTCTCTAAGGAATTATAATTATTTTTGTTTTAAGCTGGTAAGTACTTAATTCCATATCGGGTTTTTTGACAAGTACAGCTTTTATCTTGATTGTATGAAGCATGTCTTACAAGGAAATTTTCAAATCTGCGCTATGATACACTTTTTATAAGAGAAAACACAAGCAACCCTGATTTTCAACAGACCACATTCGATCGCGCCACATAGAGACTTCCACAAAAAGAAAGAAAATGTGATTTAAAAAGTCAAAAATAAGTTCAGCGATATGAAGATGGGCCCAACAGCACCTAGAGGAAACATCACACCTAGTCTTCAGAAAGATTTACGAGATTGATTTAAGATAAGTATTTAAACGGAAATCAAATTTTAAAATCCAATTAGATTAGGGAATTTTTAAAAAGAGAAATTAGTTACTTTGCACATATTACTACGCCTAATGGTATGAAACCAAATCCCGAAAAAACAACAGAAATTCAAAATTATCCAATACCAAAAACAACAAAACAAATAAAATAATTTTTAAAGATGTTCAGATTAGCAGGACACCACTGTAATCAAGCTTACACTAACTCTAAAAATGTATACATGGTGTCCCACAGAAGATGTTAACTTCCTTAATTTTGGCCCATTTTTGATAAAGCTTTTTTTTCTGCTATAAAGAGAAGTTTGATTGGGTCCTGAAATAACTTTTTGGTTCTTTTTTTATATACATAAAATAACCCCTCCATAACTTTTTTAAATAAGACCTTCCCCATTTTTTATTTGGATTTTACAACTAGATCATTTTTAATAAATTTTCACATTGGTCTGGGTCCGATACCTTATTTTTTTTATAGAATTTATCAATATGAGTTTTATTAGGTATTCACACTTTCAAGCTGACAAGTTACATTAAACACATGCCAGGAAACTTGAGTTACTTATTTAGTGAAGAATGACAATTTTCTGGAAAACAAAAATCATGGATGTGGAAGAAAGCGTAGAAAAAACAGAAGCACGTGTGCATTGAAACATCAGGTTGAAGTTTTGAAAAAGCTGGACTAGAGTGAAACTGGATGACTGAATTGTATTCAGATTAGAAATACTTTCAGATTAGCCGAACACCACTGGAACTTGTTTTAAGGTGAGAAAGACATGTGGGATACGCCAAATGCCGAACAAAGGCTCGCTGAATCCCGACAGGGGGAGGGTACTCAGTTATTGGCCGGGCAACAATATTTGGTGCTCGCCATGCTCAGTTAATTGTCGGTTCTGTCCCTTCAAAGTGTACAAATACTCATGAAGAAATCAAACTCAAAGCATCCACACATTCGGGAATCAACTGTATTATACAGATATCAACTGTAATCATCAATCAACACTATTTACTTTTAATAATAAATGAGTGCTAACTAATATGTAGATGTATTAGAACATCATAGCTTAATTTGAAGATCGTGAGTTGTGGTCTGGTGTGACGCAGGTTTAGACAATTTTTTCTTTATTGTGCCAAAGTTTTGATCTTTATTGAGATCATCTTCAAGGTCTGGGATTTACAAACTTTATTTAAATTAAACAAATACAGATAAATTATACAAATAGATGTATTTGTATAATTTAAACAATGATTGTAAATCCCTGGCCCTCTCAAAAAAGATCAAAACGTTGACACGATAAAGAAAATGTTTTTCAAAACCCACAATGCACCAGACCGGATCTCACGATCTCCAAATAATCATTAATTAACGGTCACTAAACACCACACACACAAACATCATAGCATTGTTTCTGTCTGTAAGAAATGGAATTGGGCAACATTCGAGTTCCTCGATTTGTACCTAGCTGAACCAATAATTTGGAACGCTTCACTTCCGAATCACAAAAATCTGATTTTTGACTGAGCTTGTAGCCACTGTACAAAACAGTAAGCGCAGCTGTAGCAATGATAGTTTCACTGTGCCCATCACAAATGGTAGGCAATAAGTTGAGGACTCACACAGCATTAGGCAAATATGTATTCACAAAGGCTGTTTGGTAGGAATGGTGAATGATGGAGTGAGTGCGATGTTCAAACCTTTTTTAAAAAAGATAGTTCTTAATCACATTAAGATGTGATGATTATGATGATCACTTAATGTGAGTAAGAACTATCTTTCTTTAAAAAAGGATTACGCTATTTGGCGAATGCCAAGACGAGCATCTCGAGACTTGGCAAACATTCGGCAGCTGGCATTCAGTGAATACCATATGCCTGGAGCCACCTTAACATAATGCTTACACTAGCTCTAAAAATGTTTACATTGCATCATAACAATGCAATATTAGAAAAAAAATAGGAAGCAAAAAGATACATGCACAAACCTGTATGCCATTTTTAGTAGGGTTCTTTATGAAAACCGTCCTTCTTACTGTCGATCCGATCTTGATTGAATTGAAGTCCAGTTTAGGTATTGGAGAGAATGGAGCCAAAACCAATTGGCATTTTGTCTCCATCTGAGGTTCAGCTTGTCTTACAGTTGGACTTATCTGAAATAAAAAGTCCCCCACGGCATATTTCAAAAAACAATTATAAAAGTTTAAATATTATGTGTAATATTATAAGTATAAAAGTTCATCAAAATTTTTTCATGAATATCGGACTCACGTTGAAATGTTGCGAGATGCCGTTCATATTTTAGGTCTTCGAACTTGTTTCTGGGGCAGGATGTAACACATTAGCTCGATAATTGTACGATATTTTTTAAAAAGCTTCTGAAGTTCTGACTTTTGCTCTATTAATCCTCGAAAGGGTTTAAAAGTACTGAGTAACGGTTTTTAAACGGACAGTTCAAACGATTGTATTTACAAGTTGCTAACCACGTGCTGCCCCGGTGTATAACTACTACAAACTGTTCCCTCCCAATTTCAAAACAATGTACACTTTTATTTCATTTTTTTATTTATTTAACGGGCAGACACATTTTTTAATGTATACAATGCGAAAAAAGTAACAGTTTTCAATGTAAACTGATATTTAAAATAAAATAATATAATACAGAATTTACAGTACAATGGACAGAAAAGTACATTTATAAAATTTCGATCTAGACCTAATTACATAAAAATATAACATAATATAATTAAAATATAATAACAGATAGATAATAAGTTATCATTATTAATTAGTTAATAGATAAAGTAACAATCAGATAATCGGGATCAAGGATCTTGATGAAAAAGTAAATTTGGTTGTTACTGCCAAGCTTTTGACCTATTTTAAAGTCATCATCAGGGTATAACAACCTTAAATATGTCTATCTCTAAATTAGGTTTTTAATAGACAATTTCAAATTTCTTTGAAGAATGACTTAGTCCCAACATTGTCAAAGATTGTAAAGGTACGTTTCTGACACTTATGTCCACAAATATATGTCGAGTGTCTGACAGTAAATCGCTTTGACTGTTTACATACTGATAGAAATTGATAAAAATATTTATCATGGATATGTATATGGCAGTTCTCAAAATGCAAAACTTTGAATAAATGTATGGCTCGTTTACATACAAGACAGATTTTTGTGTACACTTGTACCCTATGTATCTCTTTCATTCTGCTCACAGTTGATTTTATTCTAACATAGAAACGCAAAATTGCGGCCTGTGTAATTATTTTAAAAATAAAAAAGAAGAAAAAACGTTCTAAATATCTGAGCTCACTATTGAGGGTCCAGTTCAATTTCAAATTTTTGAAGAACGAAACTTGCAGATTTTGAAAAGCTTGTTTGTATAGTATACCAAAGCAAGGTACCAAATTCAGAAAAACTATTGTTATAACAGAACAACTTGCTGTAACTTTGCGATTTTTAGCAACTGGTAAGTTTAAATTTTAACCTCTCTTTTTTGTCACTCAACGCATCACTTATTCCAATGGCAGAAAAGTAAACGAATGGCCAACTTGTTGAACAAAGTTGAACTTGCAACTGACCAGTGTTACATTTGTTGGTATAGAAGTGTCAAAACAAATAGCTAATGGTTGAAATATATACCTTTGTCATAAATTCTTCACTGTTAACATTAGCCATGATTTCTGTCTGTCATAAATATCATGCAATAACTGTCAGTCAACTAAACGTACTTTTACAGTATTTTATGTACCTTCTTGCCACCTCCGTAAACAGAAAATATTTTTATTGGATATAAAGGAACAAATTTTCCACTACACTCCCCAATGATAGAATGTTGTTACATATGCAATACTTATTTGGAGATCGTGAGATGCGGTCTGGTGTGACATAGGTTCAGAAAAACATTTTCTTTATCATGCCGCCTTTTTGATCTTTATTCAGGACCTGGGATTTATAAACATTGTTTAAATATACCAATATTATACAAATACATAAATGATGTGAAAAAAATGAATTTATACAACGATAGAAAATTTAGACTCAAAGCATTTGTACTCTCCAAATAATCATTTAATTAATGGTCACTAAACACCACACATATGCAATGCTGTTGATTTATTTAATACTTCTGTTTCCTCATTAAAATGTCAGTTACTTAAAGCATAATAATTGTATTTAATTAAAAAAAGGTAAAAATTTACTATGCATGTAGTTATAATACTTTATTATATTATTTCGATATATATATTGTTTTTATGAAGGGTGTTTAATTAAGACAGGGTGTTTAATTAAATATTTATGTTGTTTATTTATAAAGATTTTATTGTTTTTGTCTTTGATGAATAGTATAGTGTTTTATTCTTTATTAATGTTTGGTGTTTAGTGACTGTTAGTTAATGATTATTTGAAGATTGTGAGATGCGGTCTGGTATGATGTAGGTTTTAGAAAAACATTTTCTTTATCGTGCCATTTTTTCTATCTTTATTGAGATCATCTTCAGGGCCTGGGATTTAGAAACATGGTTTAAATTTTACAACTACATGTAGGATGTGAAAAAAAAATGCTTTATATAAATTTATACAATGATAGAAAATTTTAGATTAAAAAAAATGAATTTATACAATGCTAGAAAATTTTAGATAAAAAAATGAATTTATACAATGCTAGAAAATTTTAGATTTTTTTTCACATCCTACATGTATTTGTAAAATTTAAACAATGTTTATAAATCCCAGGCCCTGAAAATGATCTCAATAAAGATAGAAATATTGACACGATAAAGAAAATGTTTTTCTAAAACCTACGTCACACCAGACCGCATCTCACGTTCTTCAAATAATCATTCTTTACTAATGTTGAGTTAGTTATAATCATTGTAGTCCATATTTTTCTCCTTATTTTTTTTCATTTTTAAGAAATGAGTTTTTGACCTGTAAAAAATTAAATAAATAGCCTGGAGTCCAAACCGAGTGGCTGGACGGTAAGACCTAGGTCTGAATCCGGACTGTCAACACCCTGGGTGGGTGAATCTCGAGACCTGTCGGTAATTTAATGTAAATTACAAAATCTTGAATTGCTGATGTGCTGTTAGAAGTGATCGGATCAACTTTGTACATGCATGTTTAGATTTGAACTGATATAAATCAGTAATGTGTGAGAAGTAATGGAATGCACTTCGAGAGCAGAAATTGTTGCAATAGAGGCCTTCTGCTTTAGTGAATATTTTTTATTTTGCTTACAAAAAAGAAAAAAGTCAATTTTAGTTTTGATCTGTAATATTCACTTTTTCGTGTAATAAAAAATCTTCCTCGTGATGAATTAAACTCCATCGTTTTAAACCTTGAAGATAGAAGCATGAAACAGTTTTTGTGAAATTTGCTAATCCCTAGGTTTCATCATAAAATAACGAATTTTTTAAAATTCTTAACAGATCTTTCAATGTTTCAATGTTTAAATTTAATAGGTTTGTGACAACGAAATGGTAATCAGTTGGATTGAAAGGGTCCAGCGATGACACAGAACTCACATAAATCCCATTATTGCTGCATTCTATTCCATTTAAAATTTACTATCGCTCAACTGTTGGAACAAATGATTGATTTAAGATATAATAGATATCATTTAACTTTTATTAGTCATTTGTTCTAATAATTTTCCCACAGCCAGACTATTCAAATTTTTGCAACCACAAAACCAGTGGGGGAATTGGTTACATATTGAAACCTCTCACCGACTCACTGGGCTTAAAGCTCAATACTTACGAGCTTTGTTTCTACTTTCTGTTCAATTTGAATTTAATTCCATTCAATTGTTTGTTTATTTACTGACCAAAAGGGACACTTCTCCTGGGAGTAGATTGCATTTCAGCTTTTCTTGATAACACATCTACAGAAGGTATGTTTTTGTATATATATGATATGACCATACTTCCTCTACTACCTCTTAAGTTATTCTTAAGTAGTATAGTATTATTTATTAAATAATATAAAAAATCCAGGTAACCAGTCATTCCAGGCAAACTACATTCCCCAAAATCTACATTAACCAAGCAGTTTGGTAAACATTTAGTAGGAGGCAGATTTTGACAGTAACAAAGTGTAGGTAGAGAAAAAACCGTTTAAAAATTGCATATTACCGTGCTTGGAGATGTAAAATCTATCATATTTTTCTTTAAAAAATCACTGCTTTTACTGCTGAAGAACACCAGGTTTGATGTCTTTGTTAATGGTATAGGATTTATCTTGTAAAACTTTTTGGAAGGAGCGGAATAGATTGTTTGAAAGTGTGATGTCTGGTGAATAAGGTGGATACAGTAAAATCTTTCAACCAAAGATCCGTAATTGCGGCCGAGTCCGTAAAGAAACTTGGGACTGAGCGTTGTCATGATGGAATATCATGCTTTTCCAGTTAGCAAATTCTGAACATTTTAGCCTACTCAGCTTTATTAAGATGGTCAAAAATATTCGATTTGCAATATCTAGCCTTTCAGCAATCTCTGGAACATTCTATCCCTTTGTGGGGTTCTAGGTTTTCCACTTTCACAACCAAATATCGAATGTCCTATACACAACTATACTCTGCTACCATTCGTTGCTCTACTCTTGAGTCAGCAAGTTCAATTCAGGATCATTGCTTTTTCAGAAACTTCATGCCCCGTTATGCGCAAGGCTGTTTTACTCTACCCACAGAAAATTTTAGATAAATATATTAGACATGACTGTGGTATTAATACCTTGATACATCCTAATCAGCATGCCTATTTACCAGGAAGATCAGTGGAAACTGCTCTGCATACACTTGTAGGAAGGATTGAAAAATCATTATACAATAATGAGTACACCTTAGGATGCTTCTTTGATATCCAAGGAGCGTTTGATAATGCAGATACCTCATGCATTATAGCAGCACTAAATAAATATAACATTCACCAACACCTCATAGGATGGGTGAAAACATACCTAGAGGGTCGGATGGTAAATATGTGCTTAGGTAACAGTACTCTGAGAATCAGGGTCACTGGAGGCTGTCCACAAGGAGGATGTTTATCTCCTCTATTGTGGTTAATCACAGTAAACAGCTTATTAGAGCTTCTGAATAACTCAGGCTTTTATAGCCAATTATATTCAGACGATGGTACCATAGTGATCACGGGTAAGGACCCTCTGACNACACTACCTCGCAGAATGCGATAGGTATGCTAGGGAAAGATTTAATACTTTCGAAGGAGAGGACATAACCAAAACACTCCCCAGGATAAAATGGTCCACAATCCTGGGGTTTGTGAATAGGTCCAATAGGTTTATACAGGACTCGTGAGCCGACCAGGTCCCGGACCTTCTAGGGATGGGGTACGGGCCTACTCAGGCTTTTAACCCCTCGGGTCCTGGTCGCCCGCCCTGTGTAATATATATATACTCTACCCACTACATTGAATCCCGATCCTTGATCCCCCAAATTTCACAAGAGCAAGCAATTTTTGGACGACACTTAAGCAGATAGACTATTGGTTGATGTGAGTGATGGCCCGGTCTCGCCCAATAGAGACGTACTGTCCAGTGCATTCAGTACCTACTAGGGTTATATATTTTAGACAGAGTTCTTAAATTTATGTGTTGTCTCCTCCTCACCACTCGCAAGAGGATTGTACCCAAAATAAATTTTGCGGGCTGTTTTTAGATCATAGAGCAGCTGTCCTCTAGGGACAGGAACCACTGTGATCACTATGGAAACAATTCCCCTTTGAAAGTCAAAGTAAATCCTAAATCCATCAAGGATGTCTAATAATATATTGTAAGGTTTCTAACAATTATTTGTGACCACTTTTGTTTGGCATTAGCATTTATTGTCCATACAGATGCAGGAATTAAGTGTCATTTGTATATTTGTGTTACTTAAGGAAAATCTAACATCTAACTAAAAAGTTTCTGATAGTCTTTAGTTAGTTAACATGTTTTTAAAATGATTATAGGTATGGCACACTACAAAGGTGCAGCCAGCGAGGCTGGCCGAGCGATGCAGCTCTTGAAAAAGAGGGAACAAGCGCAGATGGAGATAGAATTCAGGAAGAAGAAGATAGAAGAAGATCTCAAGATATCAAATATTGAGAATAAATTTGCAGCTCATTATGATGCCGTTGAGCAACAGCTAAAAACATCAACTATCGGACTTGTCACCCTTGATGAGATGAAGGCGAAACAGGAGAATATCGTAAAGGAAAGAGAGAGAAAACTTGCTCAAAAACAGGCTGAAAAGGAACAGGAACAACTAAGGCAGTTACAGGAAAAACAAGCAGAAAAGAATCGTCAGAAGAAACAGGTTCTTTTTAATTTTTCAGTATATAATTTCATTTTTTTAAAAAGTTTTTAACATTATTATTTTAAAGTTATTTATTATCAATTACAACTATATGTTTTTAGTATATTATTTTTATAAAAATAAATAATAAAATTAAATGAGCAGGGAAGAAAGTAAGATGAAAAACATTGTATGTTGCCAACAGCATGCATCATCCTTGGTCACTGATGTTATTTATCATCAGGCAAATAATTTTTTTGAAATTATTATTTAAAAAAAATCTGAATCAATATAAACATCATGATCCTCTTAAACTATCCATAAACAAAGAGAGAAAATAAGGGCATCAAAACTAAAAAAAAAAAGTATATTTACAATATCTGAATAAATGTTAACAATGAAAAAAATGAATAAAATATATTGAAAATTAGTAATTTTCATTGTATTTATTGATTTAAATAGTAAGTAACAATAACAGTAATAATGACGTATTATTCATTAAATAAAATAATAAAAAAGAACAATCAACAAACCCTCATGTGAGGGTAATGTTTCTACTGATATACATAAAGCATTAAGGGCATTAAAATCATGGTTAGATATAATTTTAATTTTGCCATTTTGTAAAATTTAGTACCTTTTTATGTATTTGTAGTTATTCTGTTCAGATCCTTGCACTTTCGTTCTCATTGGATGAAGATGCCAATGAAGATGAAGAAGAGGAAGAAAAGCCTGTAATCAAGAAAGAAAAATCAGACATCACCGATGAAATTCCATCTAAAAGGATACGAAAGAACCCAGATGTAGACACGAGCTTTCTTCCAGATAGAGAGCGAGAGGAACAAGAGACTAGATTGAGGGAAGAACTAAGACAGGTAGGTCAGCATTTAAGATACGATTTTAAAATTTATTAAGCAGCTTAATAAAAAAATGTTAGGAATGGGCAGCAAAACAGAGTTCATTGAAAGAAGAGGACATTGAAATAACTTTCAGCTATTGGGATGGCTCAGGGCACAGAAGAACTGTTAGAATGAAGAAAGGTATCTATTATTCATTTACAAATGTTCTGTTTATAATAATTTAACATATTTCTCTAGGAAATTCAATATACCAGTTTCTTCAGAGGTGCTTAGAATCTCTGAGGAGAGAGTTTTCTGAATTGAAGGGAGTTACAGCTGATCAGCTTATGTATGTCAAAGAAGATCTTATTCTGCCACAACACTATACTTTTTACGATTTTATTGTCACAAAGGTGAATGTTTGATTTTAAATCATTTTTACAGATCACAATAGATTATTAGATTAATAGAGAATAGTTTGTTTTTTAAGGCCAGGGGGAAAAGTGGTCCGTTGTTTATGTTTGATGCTCATGATGATATTAGGATGGTGAGCGATGCCAGTGTTGAAAAAGAAGATTCACATGCTGGAAAAGTTCTGCTAAGGTAAAAAAATAGAGTTTATTCTTATTATATACTTTAAATAAATATATTTTCTTTTTTTTTGTTCTTTGCTCAATAGATCTTGGTATGAACGGAACAAACATATATTTCCTGCCAGTCGCTGGGAACCATTTGATCCGACAAAATCTTATGATAAATATACAATAAAAGATAAAAAGAAATAAAATAAGCTGTAATATTGTATTATAGGAAGGTTATATTTTGTATAATTGTACATTAGTTGTTCATAAACAACCAAATATTTGAAAATCTTGGTAAAATTATGTTTCGTCTCATGTAAAGCCTGTCTAATATATCTTACGAACTATGACCTCATCCATTTTTAACCTCACTTGGTTGTCCTTGTTTGCACTTATGTAATTTAATTATATTAAATTAAATTTTTTTAAATATGTTTATAGTATAGTTTTTAAGAAGGAATACTAATTATTACACACAACCATAAAATACAAAATTGATCGCTCAATTTTGAACACGTGAAAAATGCAACTTACAACACATTTAAATATTATCCCAGTACATACTATTAGAAAAAGATTTTAAAACTAGTTATTATTTTGTATGTTGAATATTATTAAAGTAGTTGTGTAAAATTGGGGGTAAATTTAAATCTATTTTATTATTTATGCATTTATATTCTTGTTTAATTTTATATTTTTTTATTTCAAATTTTTTAAACCAATCCCTTTGTTGAAACTGTGTAAAACTTTTTTTCTGATGGCTATCAACCCTAACGGTTATTTAAGCCCTTTAAGTACTGCGTAACACTGTTATATTTAAATTTAAATTGTGCTTTGTTTTATTTAGATGGTCCTTAAAATTCTGAAAATTTGTTCGATTTAGGTGTGTTTTTTAACTCATGTTTTAATTTCTCTGCCGCTTTGTTCTATATATTATTTAATATTATTTGTCTTTAGGTTCTGAATAAACTTAGCATTTAAGAATTTTACCTGCTTTTTCTGATAGTTTCCCAATGGTTGGCAAACAACGAAAACCTAATGATTCATTTATGGTGGGGTGGCTGAGTCCGATTGTTGTTTCTTTAAACAATTTTTTTTTTAAATTATTTTTTATTAAAACCTATCAATAAATAATTCTTGATATCCATTGCTTTTACCTATAGCTGTAATTGTTTGTAGTCCTTTCTTTTTTATTTATTGCCTTTGTGAAGTTTATACTACGGTGTAAAGAATTAATTGAAGGAATTCTTTTAGATCTCAGGTTCTTGACCATATACATAAAATATCGTCTATACAGCATTTCCAAATGAGCACAGATCTAATGAATTCGTGATTCGAATAGAATTTTTTCAAAGTGATATATGAATATTTCGGCACAAATTGGGGATAATGGAGACCCCATTGGAAACACTTTCATTTCATAAAATTTATTATTAAATTTACAACATTGGATTCTAGGCATATGTTTAAGAAGTTTATTATATTGTCACAAATTTGTTAATGGAGTTTTCTATAAGTTTTTAATCTTTTTAATAACATTAAATGACACTAAAACACAATTGTTAGGTATATTTATGTTATTTAGTTATTGCAAATTTGTGGCTTATTATAAACGGACGCTTCTGGTCTTGTAGGTTTATTTATTTTTATTTTTTATTTATTTTTTGTGTATGGATTTTAACTGTATCATATACCATGGGGTTTCTTCTAGTTCATTGGAGATTTTTTTGTTGGTCCGTAAACCTCCCATATCATATAATGCTTAAGTCAATATTATCCACTTTATCAAGTGGAAAGTACTCAATTTCAGTCAATTGAAATAAAGTAGAATGGCATTCATTCAATTCTTTCTTTTTTTTTGAATCTCCTATTTTTAATCAAACACATTCTAAGAATAAAGGCAAAATATACCCATAAATTGTAAAAGTAGATTTTCTAAATTATAAATAAATATGAAAATATTGTAGTCATAATGTACATTTATTTGTTATACACGTGATAGTTTACACAATTTTTTAGATTATATATTTATATCATTTGGCAATGAATTAAACTTCTTCAGGGCTATCACCAGATTAATTTTTGTTACGTAAAGGAATGACTAGGTAATCACAGTAGGTTGTATTCAGATTTATCACTTCACTTCTTTTCTTAAAATCATGTACATTCTCTATTATAAACTTTAAATTAAAAAATATATATAAGGCAGGTATATTCATTACATTCAGTTTCATAAAGAGTTGTCTACAGTGGTATTTATATTTAGCATTACACATAATTTTTACCGCTTTCTTTTGCATTTTTAACACTTTTAAATTGTATGTCTCACCACCCCAGAAATGCACCCCATAATTTCAGAATCCTTGGAATAATGCCATGTATAAAATTTTTATCACCTAAATAGATTCAGATTGTATAGTAGGTGCCATATAGATGCCAATTGTTTGGTCCAGAAATTATTATTATGAAAATTATTATAAAAACAATATTTCACATGTTTTAGTGATTGACATTGCCTTCAATAGGACATGTACAACTTCTGACAAAAGATTTTACACTCAACCTTGAAGAAAGATACCAAATTTGACTTAAAACAACAACAGTGGTCTGAATTGTTGATAAATAATTAAGTCCAATATTTTTAAGGCTAATTTGAAGCCAATTGCTGAACCGACCACAGGCAGTATTAAATTACTGATATTTTCATATTTCCGTCTTCAATTAAATGAACTCTGAATAAGAATTTCTTTAAAAAATATTTTAAATTTAAAATGACACCATATACAGAACAAAATAATAAAGAAACACACACAAAAACAGACACTACCTACGTAGTACCAAAATCCGACAAATTTGGAATTAAAACCACTGTACACCACAAATTTGACCAGAAAACTACTGAAATATTGACAAAACCAATCCACTTGACAAAAATGAAAATGTAATGGAAAATCAATCATCATCATTGAATGACCATCTGCAAGCATAAATGAATTCCCAAATTCATTTATGCTTGCAGATGGTCATTCAATGATGATGATTGATTTTCCCCAGATGGGTAAGAAGTGCTTTGGTTGCACCAAAGTGCATTTTGCATGTTTTCTGGTATACTTGGATTTTTATTCATTAAAATTTGTTGGTGATTAGATTATTTTTATCTTTGGCTTTTTAAGGCCAACGTTATATTAATAACAATTGAAAATTGAGATGAAACGATTTTATCACTTAGGCACACACTTCACTCCCACATAACAAGTGTATCAGAACAGTTCATTTTTGTTTTATTTGATTTAAAGCAATCACAATTTGTGTACTTAAGACAATTATTGTTATGATTAAATTAAAACTAATACTCCAAGGCAAAACCTTGAAAAATACAAAAATAAATTATTGCCATTAAAAACTAGGCCTGTATACTGACAGTATCTGTTTATGACAGGATTTTCCGGTTCTTGTTGAAAAAAAAAGGCTGGTTGAGAATGGAGTATGTTGAGTCGGCAGTTTTATTAATACGATAATAACGCATTGCACTGCATTTTAATGGATTTATTTTTAGGTTGTTATTTCGGCACTAGGAATTAAATTGATTTATATTCTGCTGTAAAGCGATCATATCAGGCATACTATCAATAATTTTGGTAAGTCATCAGTATGATGAAGAAATTCGACATCGTTAAATATGTATCTGACAACATTATTATATAATATAAATAAAGGAGGTCCTAAACTTGAACCCTGAAGAATGACATACTTTTCTGTAAAGTAGGAGGATTCTGAAAAATTAAGTTTGACACAATACGATATATTCCTTATAAAGCTTGAGAGCCAAGTTATTTAAAAGTGTTTAACAGGTATTTAGTTCTGAAATAGAAACAGATCTGTGGATTTCCCACTTAAAAAACCAGTATCAGGAAGTGTAACATTATTACACAAAGAAGCAATAAAATTATAAACTTATTTGTCAAATAACTGACTGAATTAACACAGATCGATAATTCATTATGTCTGAGGAAGCCCAGAATTGAAAAATGTTTAATGAAATTGTATTTCCAGATATAGAAACAACGCTTGATTAAGATCTGTTAAATGACATGAACAAGGGATTTGCAAGTTGAGGACAGGTTTTTAATATGCATTTTCAATTTCACGAGTGTCTTTTAATACCAAAGTTAGTAAATAAAGGAAATATGGTGATTTTGTATAAATCCGGTGCGCATGTGACACTTAACATGCAGAGGTGGTTTGGAGGACAATTTGTTTTCAATAACATTTGAAAAGACCTAACACTAAAAAGAAAGAAGGGATAAAAACGTTATATATATATTGTTTGTTTTTTTTAAATCAAGGAGGTCCAGAATACACTAAAAGTTATGATACCCATTTATTGCAAACTGGAAAGTGAATTGGCAGTGTCTGGGGAAATATCGAACACAGATGTCAACAGTTTTGTAGGTCTTGGTGTTATATTGAATTTCATTTGCAGGAGATGTCTTTCGTATTTATTAATTAAACAATTTTTGCAATTATTGATATTGGTTTTGCATCAATTTCCTTTGGTTTGGCCAATAATAGAGAGTTTTAATTCTTTTGAGTACCTCATCTATAACTCTGAGGTTCATTTTTCCTAAATGATAGTTTGGTGTTATCTCCTTAATGCCTTCCTTGGTTTCTATGTCTATTAATCTTTATCTTTTTTTTTATAAGGATACTAGGAAGTGGGGTTTGTATGCCCCAGGCACTGCAGCCTTCTGGCTTATTGTACCTTCCTAGTTCCTTAGTTCAGTGCAATAGACTCTATCCTTCTCCTTAGAAGTATCAGGTCATTGACTGTCGCTACTAAAATTTCATTCCCTATGTTTTTTTCGTGTGTTAGGTTGAATCTCCATTGAGCTGTTGCTTTGCATTTGAAGATGATATGGGTAGCTGTTTCCTCCTCCTCATTAAATAATCTGCAGATGGCATTATAGTTCTATATGCCCATGATGTTTTCTCAGATGCCAGTGACCGGTTAGTAGTCCTATCACTCCTCTGAGTTTAGCCCTCCAGTTGCAGCAGTGATTTTGTCAGTCTTGATGAGGGTTGTGTCATCATGTTTACTGTGTCTAGCACCGCTAGAGTTTATCCACTTCTCCTTTTGTTTTGTTTGGATCCATTCTGCACAGAAGGATTCTACATTCGTTTTTGTTATCCCAAGTTCAGGGCCTGTGTATGATCTTGCAGATCCTCCTCTGGCCAGTCTGTCTGCTTTTTCGTTACCCAAAATTCCTTTGTGCCCTGGCATAAGATATCAGGTTGTTGTATTTCCCCAGGTTTTGGAGATTTTGGATACATTCACTGACTAATTTTGATGTAATTCTTTTACATGCTAGTGCTTTAACAGCTGCTTGGCTATCAGATCTTATGAGGATTTTTTATTTATTTATTATATATTATGTATTTCTGCTTGAAAGACCGAAATGTACTTCCCTAATGAGTTTGATTGCTCATGTTTTGGGCTTGTACAGTAAATGCCCGATCTATTCCTACGTTTGTTTTGGAGCCATCGGTATACCATATCATTGTATCTGATGCTCTCTTTATTTTTATCTAGGAAGATTCTGTACATTTAAAATATTTAGAAAGTGTGGAACAAAATTTTTCATAATTGTCCTTTTCGAAGTATAAGCTGTATTTTAATCTTTGGGACAACGCACGTTTTTATAAATTGTATTAGGTCTTGGTGAAAGTGATTTCGCGAGAGTTGCACCAGGATTCGTGTCTTTGTATCATTGAATTACTTAATTAGTTTCGATTTAGCTGGTACGAATTCTTCTTCGTTTATTATAATTTGATTAATACTTTTATTAACAGGTTCATCTATTATGGGTACTGTGATCACAATATTGCCGTCAATGTTTGAGTGGACAGTAACGTCGTCTCCATCAGTGCTTTGTCTGGATCAACGTTGACTATCACGGATTTATCTACTATTCGTCGACTGGTTGTTCCAAATCGGCGTCAGTTAGTTCGAATTCGCTTAGATTTTTTTCTTTCAGCTCGGGAAATAAATCATAAAAGTCCTGCAACAATTCTACTCTAGAAAGTTGAATTCTCCCTGTTTCAACTGCCAATTTTCTAATTTGGTTCTCTCATCGAATATAACCATTGCAACGGGCGGGCGGTGGTCAGTTAAAATTTGAAATTTTCTGCAAAACTGGTAGGGCCGAAAATATTTGTCCAAAATATCGCTAGCAATTCCCTTTCAATGGTGACTAGTCTAGTTTCAGATTTACATAGTTATGAGGTTCGTTGATCGACCTGCAGATAATCTATGTAGGGTTCCAAGCTTCCTAGAGGTCATTACACGGTGAAAAAAGGAGTAAATGCTGGGTTCACCGAGCTTTCGGCACTTTATAATGCCATCATCAGGGCTTTCCCAAGGATGAAGGAAACGATTAATATGAAAAACTATTGTAGTGTTTTGGGTTTAAGGCTATTTAGAACATGGCCAGCATAATCCATTTTGACGGTGAAACAGACATCTTGCTAAAAATCCATATGACTAAAGGTCTAACTATTTTTTTTCTGACTAGCAATCTCTTTTAGATACTTTTGTGATCACAGAGAATATTTACAAAAATTGCTTTTTTTATGTATATTTAAAACTAAATTACAGCTATTTACAGAAACTATGTACAAAGGTGCTGTCGGGTGTGATGTAGGTTTCAGAAAAACATTTTCTTTATCGTGCCAAGGTTTCGATCTTTTATTGAGATCATCTTCAGGGTTCAAAGTGTTTGTCTTCTGTGTAATTGTGCCATCCTTGTGTGTCGTGTTGAGAGTGCCCACACAAGGATGGCACAATTACACAGAAGACAAACACTTTGAGCCCTGAAGATGATCTCAATAAAAGATCGAAACGTTGGCACGATAAAGAAAATGTTTTTCTGAAACCTACATCACACCCGACCGCATCTCACGATATCTGAATAACTATCGATTAACGGTCACTAATCTCTACACATATGTACAAAGGATTAAAAATTAATGAAAGAGAGCGACGAACCCCCGTCGCCTCTGGTTGGACTGCTAGGATTAGTGACTAATAACTATAAAAAAAAGCAATTTCATGACCTCTACGAAGATTGGAACCCTACATAGATTAAATAGTATCCGGCTGGTTATATACGATCGAAAGTCCTTACCGTCAAAATTTTGGCTCCCAAAAAAAAGTTACTAGCGTCCGTATACAACTTTTACATATCCTTATTCTAATTGTTTAATGCATTTAATACAACAATCTTTACACAATTAATAATTAACTTGTTACTAATTAGCTATACAAAAAATAATCCTCTGATTTCATACACAGGGTGTATCAACTTCCATAGGCCACCCATTTAATTCGAAAAATATTAATTTTAGCAAAAAATGGTCTTATACAATCCCCAAGTTAATTTTGGCTAGGAATCGCGTTGCGGTAACAGATTTAATATAACTTTCTCATCTAGAAATGTGTGGTGATTAGTAACCGTTAATCGATAATTCAGAAATTGTGAGATGCGGTCTGGTGTGATGTAGGTGCCAGTTGGGCACTCTCATCACGACACGCAAGAATGGCACAATTACACAGAAGACAAACCCTTTGAGCCCTGAAGATGATCTCAATAAAGATCGAAACGTTGGCACGATAAAGAAAACGTTTTTCTGAAACCTACATCACACCAGACCACATCTCACGATTTCTGAATAATTTTCTCATCTAGTTGGGAAATGACACTAACTTTGTTATTTTAAATGAGATCCCATATTTTTATTGTTCAATTCGATTCTAGAGCTTATTTTATGCCACTTTTACTGAAAGGAAAATTTTGATAGTATCGACCATTTCTGAGTTATGCCCGACAGAAGACGCGTGTGGGTGGTATGCTTTATGTGACAAGGTGGCTCCCTATTTCGAAAACGATTAACTTTAGCAAAAAATGGTATTATACAAATCCCCAAGTTAATTTTGGCTAGGAATCGCGTGGTGGTAAAAGATTTAATAAAACTTTCTCATCTAGCTGGGAAATGACACTAACTTTGTTATTTTAAATAAGAATTCCATATTTTTATTGTACAATTCGATTTTAGGGCTTATTTTAGGCCACTGTTACTGAAAGGAAAATCTTGATAGGATCGATCGTTTCTGAGTTATGCCCGACGGAAGACGCGTGAGGGGTGTATTCTTTTAGTAACAACAAAATGGACCGCTCCGTTTATTTCGTTGTCCATGGAGAAGGTTTGTCGTTTGTTCCTAAACGTTCATAAGTGGGTATTTAGTTTTACGTTGGAGTATTTTAGCCTGGCCAGAATCCTATCCGCCGTCAGTCTCCATGTTTTTGGGTCTGGTATGTAGGTTGTGCAGGCAATCGGTCTGGGTGTGTCGTCCATTGCAAGAATCTCGAGGACTGTGTCCTTCCATGGCTTTAGCGTTGGGACGGTCTCCATTAGCCAGTCAGCACTGATCTGATCCTCTCAGGTTATGACCATATAGCCTGAGATGTGCGTGCACTTGTCGAATTTGAGCTCCAACGTCTGTGCTTCTCAGCCGATGGAGTCCTCGAGGGTGTCCAGCCTTTCGGAGGTCATCTGGTTTTGCTGGGTAGCCTTTTTCTACCACGGCTACCCAACTTGTGTCAAGACCCCCTTGTAGGATATCTCCTTCTTGGTGGGTCTTGACTTTTTCGGCACCTGCTTTTATTGGATGCCGTGTTCCGACTTCGGCCTCTTCTTTTCGGATTTTGAAAAGCTTTTGTCACATATGCTGACTTTTTATCCTGCGTCTTTTCCTTTGCCGGCTTCAGGGTCGCCTTTATGAAGTTGTCCCGGACTATCGTCCTTCGCCTATATTGTACCCCATCCTTCAATAGGGTTGCTAGAGTATCTCTGGAGGCTTCCGACTGGCGGTCCTTAATAATCTCATTTGCCGAGAATTGTTCGATCTCCTCCAGGTTTTTGCTCTGAAGGGGACATATTTTGGTATGGCACTGCTGCCTGGTTGGGTTGCCTCTGGGCCTGTCCCGGGTGTTTGGATTTTTTGTTTGGTAAGTTCCATATAGTTGTAGGGATATAAGTATAATAGGATATTCTGAAAATAATTAGGAAATACTTAAACTTATTAAAAAAAATATATTATTGAAACTTTTTTTAAACTTAGGGATACATGCTTTTATAATTATCAGTTCTTGCTTTGAGTTTCACCCAAATCCCACCAACAGGCCTTATGGTGACAGCTAGAGTCCGGTCGAATTTGAAAGGTAGCTGGTTTTTTCTGCTAGCCAGAATATCGTAATCAAGAACCATCCGGGAGATCAAATGTTTCAGTTCGCCCTCCGCAAACCTCATACCTAAAACAACATTTGAGATTAACCAAACCATGGCATTAATCAAATGGCATACCGATGCAAATCCTCGGTCCTTTCCCGAAAGGCATAAAAACCTCGGGCGTCTTCCCTTCGGCGAACCTCTCCGGCCTGAAGGAATGCGGATCCTCGAAGTACCGCGGGTCGTAGTGTAATGACCGGACCGGGAGAATGACGTCCATCCCAACGGGCACACGGAAATCGCCGATAGTATATGGCTTGGTGCAGACTCTCTTTATGACTCCCAGGACGGGATACATCCTGGTCACTTCTACAATATTTTGTCAGTACGGAGGAGATCTGCTATTAAAAGTTAAATTACCTTGAATGACATAGGTCATATAAGGAATAGCGCTAAGGGTTTCGTAGCTAAGGCCATCCTTAGTTTTTTCAATTGCCTTTTTTATTTCGCTCCTGAGTCTTTCCTGCACATCTGGGTTCCTTGAGAGTTCGAAGACCGCCAAGGCTCCCGTCAGTGCCGTTGTGTCGTGTCCGGCGAAAAAGAAGGCAAACGTGTGGCCAATCATTTCACCCATAGAAATATCTGGAAAAGGCAATAGTCTCTAATATAAAAATACAAAAGCTAACCCAATTTAAATGATGCACCACAGTGTTTATAGATTTTGTAGAACTTTTTTCTCTGTTTACCTTCATAATTTTTTATCTCCCCATTTTGACATTTGATTAGAAAATCGAATAAATCGTTGGAAACTATGTTCTGCTCTTTTCTCAGTTTGACAACCCTTTTGACGAGTTCAGAAAATAACTCGTATATACCCTTGTTGAGAGTAGTGAGCCCGAGAGCTTTGTGAATCCCCGGATGAAGGGTGAAAAGGAACGATTTGAGCAAGCTCGGCACATCCGGATACGCGAGCATGTGGGACGCCTTCAGGAAAGCAGACTGGTCCTTCACGTCGATCCCGATGAATGTCTTCGTGATCACGTTCATCGTCAATTCAGTCAGAGTCGGGTCCATATCGATGTCCAGATCATCCTTCGCGAATCGGTCCAAATTGAGCAAGAAGCTGTCCACAATCGGCTCCGACATGGTATGCATGTATTTGAGACGTTTGGGAGTGAAAAGATGCGTCATCACAGATCTCCGTTTCTTCCATTCCTCAGACTTCATGAAAAAGAGAGAATGTAACACTGTGTCCGTGTCCTTTGTAGTATCGAGAAAGATCGAATGGTCGGTAAAATGTTCGAAATCTTTAACAGTTATGTTTTTGATTAATTCGGCGTCTTTAACCATGAGAAGGGGCTTCCAGAGGAAGTAATAACCGCCGAATTTGACATCGCCCAATTTCTTGTAGCATTCGTCTGCGACGTCCCCTTCGTTCGCCTTCATTGCAATCACTCCGCCGAAATTTCCGAAAACCGAATTCGACGCCCATTCTTTTACTCCGTGTCGACGCCAATAAGAAAATTTACGTTTATACCAAAAGCATCCGATCGAGAATAATACAATGAACAACGTTACGATTGCTAACATATTTAGATGTTCCTCAATGAAGATGGCGCGATGCCGAAACGCGTTTGAGTAATTCAACAAACCCGCTAGTGAAGACGGACTATAAAGTGACGCTGGTTCAATATGATATTCAAAGGAACTCTAATCTACTGTTGATGTGCCCTTGAGCGCATTTATATAAAGGATTCCAGCACGATCCCCACTATGTTAAAAACCTGTACGCAATTTCAAATCGCTTCCATCATGTATTAGGCCATAAAATATTAGACACTTCTGGTTTTCTGGCCAATGTGCCCTAAGAACCGAGAAAAAAAAGTAATTTTCTAAAATAGGTTTTTCTTTCTTTGTTGTGCATGTATTTCATGTCATAAATTAGTCAATTAAAAAAAATTATATGGGTAAGAATATATGGTAGCAGGATAATGTTAAATGAGAACATATAAAGGTCTTGGTTGAAATGAAAAAGCTAGTGCCACGAGCGGGATTCGATCCCACGACCTTTGGTTACCTTAGCTAACCATAGCTTTTTCATTTCAACTAAGACCTTACATAAAAAGAATAATTAATTGAAAGTAGTAATTTGGTCAATCAGACCACTAAACATAATGCATGTACAATTGATAAAACCAAAGACGCTTCCAGTAAAGTTGACCAAAAACATTTTTATTAAAAAAATCAGATTTATTTTAAGCAATCTTTAAAACCTTTTTTAAAATATTAAGTTTGAAAGAAACCAGGTATTCTGGTGGTAGTTTAATTTATTTAAAGATGGCGTTTCGGGCTATAAAACCCGTCTTCAGAATTTATTTATTTATATTTGAAGGCTGGTAAACTAAAACGTAAGTGCCTCAAAACAATTTTTATCGAGGCAGCAAAAAATTTATAAATAATAAAGAAACAACTTTTTTATAAACTTGTATTTGCACAAAACTGAAAGGTCTCTGGGTTAGAAAAAGTAGTTGTATAAGCGATTAAAAAAAAAAAAAAGTAAGAACGCAATTTTTTAAAAACAAAATGGTAAAATATTTATTTTATTTACACAATCCCCCTCTCCCCGGGCTACCAATAGTGAAGCTATTCAGCTTATAGTAATTGTTAAATTTTAATAGATGTTACTGAGGAGGAGAATATTTTGAAATACATTTATTAAAACAAAAAGCATGATAATAACAATGAAAAGCTCATCGTATCTCTCAAAACACGTGCAAGTCTAATTAAGGTTAAATGAAAGTTGTTTTATACTTTCAATTAATTAGGGTTTTTAGTTGAGATAAAAATGTCAGTGTCACGAGCAGGATTCGAACTCACGACCTTCGGCTAGATACGCCGCTGCTCTACCACTTGAGCTATCGTGACTTCCATCCACTCGGACACTAACTTCTCATCTCAACCCCATCTTTTGAATTTTCCCTCCTTTTTGCCATTTTTTTTTTTATACAATTTAATAGCATGAAAGTGAAAATAGCACACTTCCGTGCTTCCAATATTCAATGGAAATCGTTATGTTCGATATGGCTGATAGATCATTCATTGAAATCATTTTGTTTTGAAAAATATAACACACAAATTACGTTTTGATAGGAATACAAAGTATAATGGCATTGCTAATGCCATCTGCCAATATAATGCACACAAAACTAAGAAAATTCTGATTGTTATATAAATATTTTCTTTTTTAAAGCTTTGTACATACTCGTCCTACTTTCTAGACATATCGACGATTTTGTCTATGAACAATTACAACTTGACCGTTTGAATTTTTCATTTTTCTGGCTGCTAGGCAATGCCTAAGTTCATGGGGAAAAAATTAAACAAAAATGTATTTCTTCTTTTCTTTGCTACTGTTGTACTTCTTTTTCTTTTTATAGATTTTTTTTTTGGTAGGCCCTACTTTGAAACCGACATGCAGAGAAAGCTTGCTCGATGGGTCGCGCCTAATTGAAGGGTACAATTCCTTGGCTCCGTATAGACAACGGGTAGGGATGCAATCGAGAATCGTGCTTGAAGCTCGGCAGCGATAACTTTGATAACTTTGTGGACCTAGCGTGTGTTGATAGTGAATGAATTTATTAGCGTGAATGTGTAGTGGGAGAAGGGTGATACGGAATATTGAGTACCAATCGTCCCTCAATTAGATTAGTTATACAATAGGTGTAAAGGAAAGTAGGTGATTAGGGAATATCGAGCTAGTCATATCTATCCTCGCTCCTGTTAGTTGCAGAATGAATTGCCGCGACTCTTTGTGACCAATAACATAGGTGGCGCTATCTCTGTTAAGTCATGGTAACTACAGGTAACTAATACTATCTGCGTTCATTTTCTTATTTATTTATATATATTTAATTAGTAATATATTTATTTTCATTTGATAATAGATTTGGGCTAATAAAATACAAACTGTTTCAACCAATTTTTTTTTTGATGCTGATGCATGTGGTGTCTTCTTTCTTGAGGGCTTGTTGGACTAGTAACAAACTACCATTACGTGAAATATATATATATATATATTTTTTTTTTTTCAACTTCACAATTTTTGCACAGACACTTAACTATTGGTGACTTTTGCAACTTTTTTGGATATCTGGAAATACGCATTGAACCAATTCTTCTTGTGAGTGAATGCTACTGTAAATAAAATAAATACCACACATTGCTACTGTAAAAATTATTTGGTAATTTAATGCAACCTGTGGTTTTTCCAATTGTTTTCCCATTTGCAAAATATACTTATATTGCAAAATGTTCTGCAGAAGGATCATTTTGTAATTTAACTTGTTTGTTTGTCAGCAATGAAAATTTCTTAATATGTCTCCCCAAATTCAATGCTTTTAAACATGCATTTAGTTCATCATCTGGTGTTGAACGAACAGGTTCCTATGCAAGTTTCAATGTTCCTAAATACAAAACTTGTAATTTATCATTATTCCATGAACCTCACTACTCAATTAACTAACTACCAGTTCCAGTCACCCATTAATATAATTCAGCAAACACAAATATATCCTAATATATTATAGAATAGAATAGAAAAAATATGTATTTTTTGTAAAACTAAATATGTAATTATACAGGCAGACTGGAATTGCTGGTACAAAATATTAGTAATTATTTTAATAACAGTTAAAGAAAAGAAAAACACTTTTTAACACCATCATATCATTTTAACAAAAATCATAACTGAAATAAAGTTTAAAAATAAACACTTAATAGTAACTTACACATTAAACAATTGAGTTCTGAGATTACAAGAGATTATAAAGTAACAGGGGATTATCAATTTTTTAAATTTTTTTTTTAATTCGTTTACAACAGCACATATCATCAATTACTATAAGCATATATCGTCAATTGTTTCCTATTATGTTCGTTAACACTGATAAGAGTTTTTCATTTATGCTTGATGACAATGTATTTGAAATGAATGAATGCTGTTTAATTTCTTATAGATTGGACAAACAAAAAAGTATTGCTCTAAACTTTCAAAGGCTTTAAGGTTACATATAATGCATAGGATGTTACATCTTATTAGCTGAGTATTACCATCCACATACAGCTAATTTCATTTTTATTGGCAAATCTCAGTTGCAAAATAATCCTGTTTTTTGTGATTATTTTTTGTAGAAACAATTAATTAAATAAAACTCTTTCCCCTCATATAATCAAATCTGCTGAAAATTCGAACTATATTCTATTTTAAGCTCTATAAGCATCGCATTATACTATTTAATTCCTTAAAACATTTGGATTGTTTAATAAAAAAAAAAAAAAAATCATAATCTACAATTATTAAAATATTATTCAATTGACAGAACCAATTTTTGGAGTTTTTATTACCAAGTACTTTGTCGATATTCTTTCAGTTATATTTGAATGATCTTCTTGCTAGTTCATCACTCGGTAGCACTAAAATTTTTTCCCACCACTTATTAATCCTCTGTAAAGCATAACTTTGACAGCCTTCCAGCCAAAATGAGCCATGATATGGTAAGGAATATTTACAGGGTAAAAAAAATATTTTATATACACTTTAATTCAATTTTCCAAATTTCTTATAAATGTGAAATCCAAATTTAGGATGCAAACAAGATAGTGGCAGCAGCTATGGTTTCGAATAACAAATTTAGTTTCTGTTGAGTTTGATTTGCCTTTTATAAGAATATCTTTCACCTTCCACATTATGGAAAGGTTTACATTTGATTTGCAAAAGTTACACTCGACTTGAGAAAGGTTGAAATAAACTTGGAAATGCTATAGTTTATTTCAATAAATTATACTTTTTATCTAAAGTCATGGTTGAGATGAAATGAGAGCAAGATTTGAACCCACTAACTTTGGCTCAATATGCCACTGCTCTAACCATTTGAGCTATTATGACTTATCATCAACTTGGACACCAACTTCTCATCTCAACCTACAACGCTTCTAATTTTCATCTCAACCAAGAATTTAGATAAAAACTATAACTAATTGAAATAATTAAATAGGTCAATTATGACGGCTAAACATATAAGGATTGGTATAGTTTATCATTCCAATATTTTAATTATATTATGTATAATTTTGTTACATATTTTATAATTTTATATTTTATATATGTGTTATGTATTTTAGTACAATAAGGTATCCAGCCTGTATATACAAATAAATAAATGTTTTAGTGAATTATACTTTTTGTGTAAGGTCTCTTGGTTGAGTTGAAAAAGCTAGTGTCATGAGCGGAATGCGAACTCAGCTTCTCTTCGTGATACTAGCTTTTTCATCTCAAACAGATGAAGTTAGATAAAAAGTATAATTAATTAAAACAATTAATACGGTCAATTACAGCCGTATTATATGAATTAATAAATAAATAAGACCTAATAAATAAAAAGAGGGAAAATTCGAAAGGTTGTAGTTGAGATTAGGAGTTCGTGTCTGAGTGGATCAAAGTCATGATAGCTCAAGTGGTTAGAGCTGCACTGTTGAGCTAAAGGTTGTGGGTACAAATCCCATTCATAACACTAGCTTTTTCATCTCAGACAATAAGTTAGATAGAAAGTATAATAAATTAAAATAATTAATACCATCAATTATGACTACTATATTATATAGATTAATAAATAAATAAGACCTAATAAATAAAAAGAGGGACAATTCGAAAGGTCGTAGTTTGAGATTAGGAGTTCATGTCTGAGTGGATCAAAGTCACGATAGCTCAAATGGTTAGAGCTGCACTGTTGAGCTAAAGGTTGTGGGTTCAAATCCGCTCATAACACTAGCTCTTTCATCTCAGACAAGAAGTTAGATAGAAAGTATAATTAATTAAAATAATTAACACCATCAATTATGACTACTATATTATATAGATTAATAAATAAATAATACCTAATAAATAAAAATAAGGAAAATTCAAAGAGGAGTTAGTCCGAGGGGATCAAAGTCACGATAGCTCAAGTGGCTAGAACTGCGCCGTATTGAGTTGAAGATCATGGGTTCGAATCCCGCTCATAACACTAATTTATCATCTCAACCAAGAACTCAGATAAAAAGAATAATGAATTGAAATAAATAAGGTTCACCGTGAAATTTTGGTGGAAACATTTTAAATATTATTTTCTTAATGTATTGAGAGCCATTTTGTTTATTTATTATGTTAATTTTTAATTATGTTAATTATTGTTAATTTCTGATTACTTTCGAAGACTGTTTCAGCTAACACATTATATAGTTCTCTCTTAAAGCTTATTTTAGTATAAAGGTCAAATCTAGATTCAAAAAAGCCCGGGTCATGGAACGGATCAAAAGATAAAATATAGTTTTTATCATATTTGTAAACATGTCGATTAGAGTTAAATAATAAAATAATTCGAAGAAGTAAAACTGACTCATACGTAAAACCGAGGAGAAAAGGAAATATACATAGTCGAAGGGCTTAAAGCAGTAAGGACGATCAAGTTCTCTCTAGGGTACCTGGAAGAGAGGTAAAACTGTAAAGGGAGTCAAGGGACGAGATCACGAGACGGGTCGGCGATACGAGTGATAGAGTTTCTGTGAAGGGCCGGTCGAAGGGCGAGTCCTTCAATCTGTTCTGCTCTACTCGAGAATCCTTCTTCGTCTGGTATACAGAGGCGAAAGGGATGGCCGATGGGCAGAACAATACCTCTTACCCGCTTCACGAATCCGTTTTTAATGGCTACGTCAAAAAGCTCTCTGGGCTTCTGAGGACCAACAATGTCGAGAAAAAGGACAAACACGGTAAGCTCGTTTCGCTTTTTAGACATTTCGATAAAAAAAAAATTGAATCTAGTCGAAACACTGCTGCAAAGAGAAGGACATAATAAGGTCCAAACTCTTCGACCCTTCGAGCCCTTTCCTGATCTATCCTGACCCTAAGATGCAACCTTTAACTTTTTTTTACAATTAAATTATTTTCAATGATGAAATAGTTGTTAATGTTATGAAATATAACAGACAATTGTAGGTCTTATGTCTCAGTCTTTCATATACTAACTAAAGAAATTTAATCTTCCTGATGCTATACTTGTCAATACTCTTAGAAAAGATTAAAACTGTAAAAGACTTAATAATGTTCGTAATTTTACTTCAAGATCACATATAATCTAGTTTCTTAGTGAAAAAAAAGTTATCAATAAATGACTTTTTGGGTCATAGCAGCTTTTTTTTCCTGTATAAGTAAATTATAAAATACTAAACTGCTCAAAAATGAATAGGGATATATGTAGTTTATTCTTATATATTAATTTTAAACAAATTAACCGATATATTCTTGTTATTTGGATAAAAACAAATGTTAATCCTGATTTTTAATAACGGATTTACTTAAAAATAGTAAATATGAAGATTACTCGTTTTGTAAACAAACATCTTTTCTCGTATTTTCTCCGTTTTAATCCAGTTGCATTCTCTTTAATCATGGAACGACATCATCTGGAACCAGAAGTGTGCAATATTATTGTGAGAATGAGTCATTGAGGTCACTGGCAAATGGTTATTGCAGAGGCAGTTGAAATTTCTCAGAGGTCTACCGGGCTTTAGCTCAATTCCGAGAGATTGGAAGTGCCAATAGGAGGCCTGGTAGTGGATCTCAGCATGTTATGATACTAAGGGAAGACATAAATGTTGTCATTTGCTGCAAGACAGAACTCTTTCCACAGTTCCGCCAGATCTTAAATGAAGTACAAGTTGTTTTGGCACGGCCTTTATCAACACAAATATGTAATCATTTGTGGGAATTTGGCCTCACATCGTATGCCCCTTTGAGATGACCTGCACCAATACCTGCCACCAGCAACTCAGGAGAATATGGTGCAGCAAGCGCCTAGAAAAGAACACCAATTGGAATATTATGTATACTGATGAGTCGTGTTTCTGCCTTTATAGTGAGTCGAAGAGTACCGAGAACAAGGGTGCATACAATGCCCCAGTTCTGCTCCCTTTAGGGCAGTTTGGAGGAGGCGGTGTAATGGTCTGGGCTGGGATTTACACTAAGGGAACCTCACGGCAGTCTGTTATGTCCAAGAAATTATCTAGGGATCTCATTAGCTGGGATTTTTGGTTTTTGGATGACAATGCCAGACCTTATAGAGGCAGAGTTGTTCATCAATGTTTAGAAAGCATGGGAATTTCTCATCTGGCCCTTCTCTCAATCCTTTTGTGCACATGTGGGATGTGTTGTAGAGAAAGCTTTTCGATCTCCATCCTTAGCCAGTTGACATACAACAACTAAGTGCAGCGTTTCAACATCTATGGAGTGAAATTCCTTATGAAATTAGTGACATCCTTATTAACAGTATGCCTAATAGGGTGCACAGAGGTTTTAGCTAACAGGGGACATATACACGGTATTACTTATTTAAAAAGATTATTGTATCCAATAAACAAAATTATGGAATTAAAACCTTTTATTTTGTTATTTTTTAAAATCCTCTAAATTACATTTTCTTCAGTAAAAAACTTAATAATTTGTAATAAATGTTAATGCAATTTGTAATAAAAATGCTAGGGAAAGTAAATATTACTCAATTGGCAATATCCCTATTCATTTTTGAGAAGTTTATATAAATTATCCATGGAGTATTTGTCAGCCCAAAAAACACACTTGCAGAAGCTCAAGAGACTTTACTAATCAGGGCTTTCGAACAGTCTCTGGTGCTTTTGGAACCAGCACTTTCACCAGACTGCTGTGAGTTGGGAGTACTGCCGCTCGAACAGCTTATCTTCAACTATGTGGTGGCGTTTGCCGTTAAACCAACTCATTCACTTTTGGATGTGATACTTAAATGTCATTACAGCAATATGTAAGACTGACTTCAGACATAACCCTTAAGAGTACCCTTTGGCGTAGCCTTAGGGAGGGCAGGGATGATACTGGGGGGAAGGTACTTGGTAGGGCAACCAGCCAACTCCACCCTGGGTTCTTCTGGCTGTGCTCGTATTGGATTATCTCACCATGTCATTTACTCTGCTTTATTTTATATTTATCATAATTGGGTTATGGAAGTTTTGATCATTTGTTTCTTAAACTAATAAATGTTGAATTGATCAAGCATTATTCAGTTCATGTTTCACAGACACAGAGCAACAACCCTTCCAATATAATCTATAAAATTGGCTGTTATTTAACTTGCAAATTAACAATTAGAAAATAGCGTGAATTTAATTTCTGTGTGAGTACTTTTTAGCCTGTTTTTATTCCTAGAATTGGTACATTTTTACTTATTGTCACTACAATAAATAAAATGCAGAAATTAATATAATAATGATTTTTTTTTACTTTCATAAAAATCAGTGTTTTATTTTATTTTAAACAGTAGACAATGTTTTGAAGATTGAATTTATTACACCAATTATTAATTTAGTTTTAGTTGTCATATGTAATTAGCATAGTACAAAAAAGTAACAATGTGAAGAAGTAAATCAAATAAACACTCCTGTTGAATAAGACATAATTTGTTTTGTGATTCATGTTATCTCTTATTTAAATGTACACATTATGTAAATTATATATATTCAATCTATTTATTAATTTTAAAGGAAATACTGCTCTTCATTTGGCTGTGATGCTTGGACGTAAAGGTAATTTTATTAATGCCTACTTATTTATATACTCTATTAAACATGATTTTTAAATGGTTGTAGAATGTGTTCAACTTTTGCTTGCTCACAATGCTCCGGTCCGTGTTAAAAATCTAGCTGGATGGAGTCCTTTGGCAGAAGCGATCAGCTATGGTGACAGACAAACAAGTAATTATCTCTTTCATTTTAATATTTCCAAGAATTGTTTATAAAATGTTTTCATGTTTCGTTTTTAGTTGTGTCATTAGTTAGAAAATTGAAATCACAAAGACGGGAACATATAGAAAAGAGACGACCTAGCTTAGTGGAAGCTTTAAAACAGATGGGTGATTTTTATATGGAACTCAAATGGGATTTTACTAGTTGGGGTAAGAACATTTTTTATCCTTTTTGTAAATTTCCTGCAGGTTTATGTTTTATTTTTGCTTGTATTTTAGTGCCATTAGTGTCCAGAGTTCTTCCTTCTGACATATGCAAAATTCACAAAAAAGGGTCTTGCATACGCCTGGATTCAACCTTGGTCGATTTTAACGATATGAGATGGGAAAGAGGTGATGTCAGCTTTCTATTCATCGGCCATGTGAAACCATCAGAAGCTCTTACCATTTTAGATAATAAGGAAGGACTATATCAAAGAGTACGGTATGAGGTATGGATGCTAAATTCAGATAGTATGCTATCAAAACATGGTTAATTTTTTTAAATTCTAACAATTTTACAGGAAACAGAGACGGAGATTGAGGATGAAGTAGATATTTTAATGAGCAGTGATATAATGGCTGCTCAGATGTCAACAAAATCAATTACTTTTACGAAAGCACAATCTGGTTGGTTCTTCCGTGAAGATAGAAAGGTACTTAAAAATTAGAGTACAGTATAATCTCAGTAATATGAACCTGCATTAATTCAAATTCAGGCAAATCCAAACTGAATTTCAAATAATTTTTTTACCTACTTTTTAAAAATAATAATAATTTTTTAGAAACCTAATTATTGTCACATTATCACATCCGTTTAATAAAAACTAAATTGCTTAACTAACTGCTTTTATGTACATAAAATAAAAAATTTACTGGGGTTTTTGAATCTGATTTTTCTTTTCTTAAAATATTTATTATATATGTTTTTATATTAATTGTTATTAATATATAATATTTTTATTTATTATCTAAATGTGTTTTTCAAATTATTTTTTATTATGTTAATGTGTACTGCATAATATATATTCCTGCAAATCTAAATTTCTGCTTATCCGAACTAGTATGGGTTATTGAGACAACATTCACTGATTATATTGTTTAATTTTAATTTATATACTATTTTGAGAAAAACAAATAGTGATTTAATAATTAACATTTTTACACATTAGTAAGTTGTTTCTAATTTAACCACATTTGAAGGTGTTTTTATTTTTTATTTCTTGTGATGTTTCAGCCACATTTGTACCATATTCATGCAAACATGTTTTATTTTTCCAATTGAATGCTGACATTTTTTCAAATGAGCTGAATTGAGTTGATTGCAATATGCTCACATTCGATTAATTTATTGATATATACAGTCACTGGATCATATTTTACTAATTTGGTTTGTTCTATGCAGTTAATTTGGCTGTACAATTGTTTGAAGTGTCTTGTTCACACTGTTTACTTAACCAATGCTATTGAAGTAAGTGTGGCCATCTAATTTTGTTGGCATTCTCAATAAAAAACTAGTTTGTTTCTCTAGTCATCTCAACATAGCAAAAACATCCTTACTTTTTGTTTTTCTCTGAGTTCAATAATAGATGGAGTTTGTACTCAAATCTTTTCAGAAGTGAGAGGTCAAAATCAACCATTTTCTTAGTCGAGTTTATACTTTCACTGGTGCTTTAAAATATTGAATACAGATTTGTTAATCTCAAGCGTAAAATTACGATATCCTTATGCAAAGTCTGCGTCCAAACTATACTCTGAAATTCTAAAAGCAAAAAATCATACAATTTATCTTTTAATAATAATAATTAAAGTTAATAAAACACTTAAATAAACATCTTAACTATCCCTAATATATATTTATATGTATTTTAAATTATTACATATGTTAAGGATAGTTCAGATGATTAAATTCCAATGTTAATTATTGACTATATGCATCAAAACAAATCCCCATTGCCAATTTGAATGTATATTATCAAGCAGCTATCAGGTGTAGTGATCAACACCTTGATATTGTAGTGGTAGAGCACCTGATCAATCTGGATATCATGGGTTTGATCGCTCCTGACATCTCAACCTCACTTTCCATCAAGAAATTAAAATACTTAAAATATTTATTTATTTGCGTTAAAGTACAATAAACAATTTGTAGTAATTATAAAAGTAAATAGGTACAGGAATTACAAAATAAGAAGTAAATACTGTCATGTGTTTTTTGAAAACAGACCCAAGATAATTATGGGTACCTGAAGCTTGGTGGGGAAGTTGGCTAGTTAATACAAAATCAAACTAGTTTTATACATATTCTTCTGGGAAAATAATAACTAAGTCTGATCTCCACGACACATTCCCTCTCTGCATCCCGAGAGTCTCTTTTTCCATTCTGTGGTGAACGCTCCCTCGAGGACCTGCGGAATGCTATACAATCAGGAGAAAATCGCCAAACTTAAGGAAACCAGATTTTTTCCCTCACTCGTTTGCAGTGTCTATCCATTATGACCTGTCATGACCGTCCCCTTCAATTCCTCACCGTCCTGGTCCCACTACAGCTTCTTCCCGGGCTCGATTAACCTCGAGCATTATAGTTTTGAATGCAACCCCCATATCCGGCTGAATCCAATCCAAACCCCAGTGCAAAAAAAATCCTCGTATTTTTTACTTGTAATTGTAACAACAGCATAGGATTAACTATCCAAAAATATAACCTCCAGAAAGTCGACTACTACATTTGATATTGTCACTTTCCCAAATAACAAGTTAATTTACATTTACATACAAGTTACATTACTTTTAAAAAACATGCATAATTAATATAGAGATAGTATTGTACAAAAAAACATCATAAATGTTTTTAGAAAAATAATGAATATGGTACAAATGTCGCCAGAAATGAAAAATAAAATATGTAAAAACAACCTTCACCATAATGGTTAAAGAGGAAACAAAAAAAATAACATTTATAATGTACCAATTTTAACAATTTAGCAATATTAACTCAAGCATTAAGCATGTGGTCTCATTTTTAGTAATTGCTCCAATTTTATTGTTAATAATTAAAGTAAAAATTTCGATAGACGATCTGCAATTGTAATCCATGAATCTACAATTGCCAAAGTTAAAAGTTAAAAAAATCCAATTGTCTTTTTCAGTAGAATGTTTCTTTGCAGGAAACAGTTGGAACTTTTGAAGCAGATGTGTATGATGTGAATGGAATGGTGCTTGAATCCCGCAAAAGGAGGGAACATCTGTCTGAAGAGGATCTTCAAAAAAACAAAGCGATTATGGAAAAACTGACTAAAGGCAACACCCCAATTATCGACTGCAATGGGGAAGTCTTAGGGCGTAGAAGTTCTCTAACACCTCCTGCCAACCCCAGGGTAAGTTGGGAGGAGTATATCAACAGTGAACCAGGTGAATATCCAACACTCGGAAGGAAACTTGTTCACAAAGAGACCACCAAAGCCTTTAGAGCTACAGTAGCAATGGTATTTATTTATTTTTTAAATAAAATGTCCATAGCAGAAATTTATTGATATTATATGTTTCAGAGTCCTAACTTTCCATTGTCGGTGAGCATGCTGTTAGATGTATTGGAAGTAATAGGGCCTTTTAAACATTTTAACAAATTAAGGGAGTTCATCCAGATCAAACTGCCACCTGGTTTTCCAGTGAAAATAGGTACCTTTTTTTTAGAATTGTGTTTACATTTAGGCTTTATTTGATGTTTGTGAGGGTCAGGAGTTTTTTAATAAAATATCTTGATCACTTTCAACATACGACTTGGGAAAGAGTATAGATCACGGTTTTTATCATCAACAAGGTCATTATACTCGGTCAGTGGATATTTCCACCGATAATATTGTTCTCATTTAACTTTTGATTATTCAAATGTTAACAAGACTACTATTAATTTTATCTCTAATTAATAAATTGAAAATCATAACTGGTTATGGTACAATTATTATTTTTTTTTTCTACTTTGGAGGCTGATATGACCCATGGTGTTGCCCACTAAAAAATAAAATATTGATAGTAATATTTACTAAAATTTATATTTTAGGATTTTGTTTATGACAATTTTATTTCAAATGTATAATAATTAAATATTACCTTCATAAATATCATAGTCATATTTATAAGTATTTAATGTTACTTGTCTTTAGCAAGCATCATTATATGAATTTGGGTCTGACGATGAAGTTGATCTTTTCAGGTCTACAGATTTGTTGTTCTAAATGTGACTATTTCATAAATATGTATTTAAAAAATAAATAAAATTGAAGTCATAAAAGCATAGGCCACAAATAAATGAATCAGGAAATTTTTATTAAAAACAAAATCATTTGATCCTTTATTTAAATTTTCTGCTCCTGACCATATTCACTATGGATCTAATTTTTATTCAAAGAAAATAATTTATCTGTATAATTCTTATCTAAATAATACATCTTGGAATTTTATTTACAGAAATACCTATATTACCCACTGTCACTGCAAAAATAACATTCCAAGATTTTGAATTTAAGGATGAAATCGACTCTAAGATATTTGAGATCCCTCCGTATTATGTAGAAGATCAAAACAGGTAACAACTGCAATTATCTGAAAAGTCTTTTTCCTTTAAAAGTTTTATACAATTTTAGCTTTAATGATAATGAGGACTATGAAAATTAAAGAAAGCTCAGAAAATTAAGCATCTTTGAATTATCAGAACATTGAAAGAAAACTAACTATATATTTGAAGCTTGCATGCAGGTTTTCAGTCCAGTCAACAGTATGAAAAAAAATCAACAATGAGGAGACACTTAAATACTGTTGATTTAATAGATTTAATATCCAAGGCTTATAAATATATTTCCCTTAGTCCTGATGTTTTAGTATTCTTAGAGTTAAGCAGTTTTGGCTAATACTCTCCTTGTTTTGACACTACTGAAATACAAAAATGTTTATTAAAGAAAATTGCTTCATTACTCCAACAGGTTTCCAGACATATGACCTGCACAGAGCGTCTGGTTAACAGAATCAGGGATCGAGTTTGAACTTTCTCCAATGTACACCTGCCTTATAGTTATACAAGAATGAGTGTTTATTATTATCGGAAATGTACTTTTTATTTTTTATGGAGGAAACAGTCTCAAATTTGCCCCCATCCTTCCATTCGAAAACCGGTGTGACAAAAAATATATAGAAATCAAATTGTGGACTTTTTAAATAGGCGTTTAAACAAGTTGAATTTCTAACAATATGTGTTTGTGTGTGGGCTTTGTGTAAATTTATGTACAGGGTACGAATAATTTCATAAGATCTTGTAAATCACATCTGGTATGAACATTAATCTTCAAACTTACTTTCAGATTCTCGCTGAACTAAGTAGGAAACATTAATGTTACCCAATACACTTATCAAAGGAGGATAAAAATACTTGAAGAAATGAAATAATATTCATAAAAGTAGGTGTTAATTTTGGGATTATTTATATTTTCTTCTTCTTTTATTTATTATTAGTTTTTAAAAGCACTTGTGATTTTATTGTCCAATAATAAAAAATAAATGATGTCGAGTCTCTTGATAGAAAGCATTCAGCAAAATTTTCTTTAAAAGAATAATTTTTGTATTAAATTATTTGAAAATGTAATACCTTTATGTGTTTGTTTTTAACAATAAAAAAAAAGCAAAATGATACTGGAAATGTTAGTTGTCTTGTGATGTTGAAAATGGTCTTGTATTAAGATTTATTTCAAAAAGTTAAATTAATACATAATTATACAAAAATATATATCAAACATTGCAATCAAATCATTATTACATATGTAATTAGATTATTCGTGAATGTTCCCCAGTTATATCGTCAAAATATAAGGCAGAGTTTTTATTAGTAAAAGGGCAGTTAGCCGACTAGCTCAAGATTAATCCCGCCCTTTTTTTGTCTAGTCATGTCAAAACTACATTTTTGATCAATATTAATCTATTATTTTTAGTACTGGGTGCATTGTGGTCAATTTTTTATTGTACTGGGATATTGCAAATTGTCAAAAATAAAAGTGGCATTTCTTCGAAAGTTGAAAACTTAAGATGCTGAGTTGTGGAAATTAATTATCGGTGTTTTTTCATTTAGATGTCCTTGTCCATTTGAATGATCTCATGAAAGCAATAATTTTCACTAGTTGGGTGTTTTGGTGTTCCATGGATTGTAGATAAAGCGGTGTGTTGGATTAAAAGCCGCTAATTTAATTTCTAATAACCATGAATGACAAATATTTATTATCTATAAATTGTGAAATATTTAGACCTTATATTCTAGTGTTAATTGTTCCATTTTTTAAAGCGTTTAAGTGTTCAGTTTAATTGTCAAAAAATAACACTGGGGAAAATAGTGGGTGTTCACTTTGTTCCAATTTTGTGTCCTGTAGATCTGAAACTACAACCAGGTCTTGATGGTGGTATTTATAATTTATAAGAAATTTATATAACATTTGAAAACTAAAATGAAGATACCAAAGAAAAATTAATAAATCCCTCCACAAGCTGTGAAAACCTAGTCCAGTTAAAATGTATTTAAAAAAAAGAATAAAATCTGAATTAAAATTAAATTTGTACAGAACTCACCATATCAAATTGTTATTCTATTTTGAGTTTCCTTAATAAAAAACAATAAAAATACACACTATAAAATTCTTATAAACTATGGTTGATGCAAATTGTTATTCTGAGTTTCCAAAAGTATTAAAAATAAAATAAAAAATACACTATATAAAATTCTTATGCACTATGGTTGATGCAAACTTCGATAAATTTTTGTGCGCAATTCCTTTCTGCACTTTGAGAGCTATTTCAGTGAACCTTATTTATTCTGCACTTATAATGCTCAATCATTTATTATCTATTAACTAATTTATGTTTTTGGAAATAATATACTTTTTTTAAAAATTGGTGTTAAGTAATGTTGTTAAAGACAATCCAAGTATGTGTTATTGACTAAGATATGGTAAATAACTTGTTGAAAATATGTTTCTAACTTCTTTGAAAGGTATGTTTTAAATTTAATCTTAACAATTCTTTGATTTGACAATTTAATTACTGCTCTCCAGTATAAAAAATGTATTGAAAAAAAAAATTGTAAATATAATTATTTTTCTAGAGTGATCTCTTATATATTATATATGTATAGTAAGTATAAAACATTTTGTATAAATAAAAATATGTATATAGCTATATGTGTCAATTTGGTTTTTTTGATGAATTTTAATTTACCAAGTATTTTTCTTTTCATCTTGTATATCAATCATTAATTTTATTTCCTGAAAGCGCAATAAAATTAAAACAGTCACATTGAAATATGTGTAATGCTTTTATCTTTTTACTCTTTTGATAGCACATTACTTTCAGATTTTCTATTGTTTTGGGTTAGCCTGTACTATTTTAATTTATAATTAATTCATTTAGATTCAAGGTGTGAATGTTCTATTACAAAAATATTGAGCCATGTGAATATATTTCAGAAAACCTATGTTAGTGTCATCGTCTAATTATTGCAAACTGTGATATATTTTTTTTTTAGTTATGTAGTTTCAACATTATTTTGAATTGTTGAAGAAAACCCAAATTAGTTGGATTTTTTATCTTATTCTTAAATAAATCCCAATTATATTGACTAATGGATTTTGAGAGCATTACACAGTATTTCTCTAAAATATAAAATTTATGCGGTTTAATGATTTACATCTTGATTTAACCTTTATAACAAGTTTTGCACTCCATTTTGTTTGGGTTCTACTAGCCTGTTTATTCATTTTTGTGTTCCTTGTAATTTTGTACCTTGCTTGAAAGTATGTAAACAAAATATTATGATGTAATTAATCTAAAAAAAAATCTTGAGCACTGTATTATTTCAACCGGTTTACCTCATTAGACTACTCATCAGTACCATGTACTGTAAATGTTAGAAAATTATAAAAATTCAAGAGTGGACAGTATCCCACTTGTCAGATAATTTTCAGCGATGTTCCTTCTCAAAATTGTAAATTGTTTATACTTATTTAACTGTGTATTGTTTGTATAAGTACCATTGAATATATTTATGCGCTTTAATTCGATTATCTCAAATTTGAGTCTTTAATAAAAAAATTGTATTTTAATGCTAACTTTGTCACCAATGTTTTCTATATATGCAATCTAAAATAGGCTACTTCATTTTTTTCATTGAACTTATTTAATTTTAAATCTCTGATTCCTAATGATGAATTTATATTTGAAATACATAAGACAAAATTTAATTATATTAAAGAAAATATTAAAATTGTAAATTTTCACCAATTTTCATTAGAAAATATTATGTTTTAAAATTGAATTGGAAAAATGTCTTATAAATACTGAAAAAGGCAAGCTGACACATATTGTGTTTCTTTTCATACAAAATAAATATAATTCATTTACATATCATAGATTTTCTTTTATCATAATCCTAACAATGATTACATAGATTCAATTATTTTATCATCATGTACTATTTTAAAATAGAATAAAATTTTATTCATTTAGAGAAAAATTCAAATCAGAAACCAGGGGGGTGGTCAAAAAGTAATTCAGGTCTTCCCAATTTAAAGCGTATTAACTGGTCAAAATCAACAAAGGAGTTGTCTAAGCGAAGCTAGATACACCTTGTCCAAATGGGGCTTAGTTCATAAAAAGAAACAAAGGTTTAGCCCACTCGACTTCATTTTTGCAACCAAGTGGCATATTCAAAATCCAACTTCAACTCACCATTGTGTAGTGAGTGACTAACTTTAAACTGTAACTGACTCGTGACCAGTGCCAATTGACTTCTGACTACTCTGAACTCGTATCACCCATTGACTCCCTTTAGCACCCACCTTTTACAACTCTCCGAAAAAGGCTTCTTCCTAGTGCTTTCACCATTTAGCGTTTTTTGAGCTTTTCTCTGGAGATGATTCTCAGGCATCCAAAAAAGACGTAAAATGTGTTGCTTCGATTTCTACATATCCTCATTCTAATGTTCAGTAGAGTTAATACAATAATCTTTACACAATTAATTATTAATTAGTTACACAATTTCTCATGATGTTTTTCAATAACCAAACAAATATTGAATCCTCTGTGGATTTACTGAAAGTTCTAAATATAAAACAAAGTTATGATTGCAATAAAAAGTAATACAATTAAATCAAATTTTTCTGATTAATAAAACTTAAAACATTCTTCCTGAAAAGTTTTTTCTCCTTAAAAAAATTAAATAAAAGTCTTCTCCTGACATATGTGTCCTAGATGGGGAAAGAGTGGATTATCGAAGAGCAAAATGGGAAATTGATCAGTTATAAGGATTTGCCTTTTTTCCATATCTGTCCTTGTGGTGATAAAAATGTAATCCAGATCTTCACATTTCAAAAAAATTAAATATAAACATAAAAAATAAAAGGGGGGGTGTTGGTGGCCGCAATTGTTTAGGCGTTGACACGGCACTCATCACTGTAAGGTAAAGGTCCCAGGTTCGAATCCAGCGGCCATGCATCTAACATACTTACAAATGAGCTTTTTTTTTCAAAAATTTTGGCACTGAGGGTTGGTATGACCTCTACTGTTATGAACTCTCATTAAAAAATTAAATAAACTAAATTAATACGGTCAATTATTACCACTAACTAAATTGATTAATATTTCAAAAAATGTTTATTAATTACTTAAAATATACAAAGGAGTAAAAGGGGCACAAAGGGCTCTACATGGAGCTTTCTTCCCCTTGGCAACTACTACCCTCAGGCTTCACATTTCGCATTTTGAGCTTCCCTTTGGAGGGGATTCTCAAGTGTCCAGAAATGTGTTGCTTCAACTTTTATATATTTATATTCTAATTGATCAGTACAGATAATACAATAATTTTTACACAATTAATTATTAATTAGTTACTTTTTACTTATTAAGTTTCATGTTAACGTTTTTTCAGAATCCTTTGCTATTTCTGCTTTTATTAAAGGTATTCAACAAATTTTAAACAAATATTTGTTTTTGAGCTCACAGGGAGCCTTAGACTTTTTAATTTGTTGATGTAGCCTTCTCTGTCACCGACAGAAATTTTCTTTTTAAACTTTTGCGTGCTTTAAATTAAATCTTGCATGCAATCATGCATTCCCTATTAAACCACCTTTATTTCTTTTTGAATTGACTTATGGATGAAGGACAAGGGTTGAGGCTTTCTTAAGTAAACCATATAGAACATTAATTTTGCCTTTGTAATTATTGTTGTTTATGGAGCTTGTATTTAGCTATAGCTTGAATTTATATTCTTCTGTGTTTTTATCTGACCAATGCACCCCAGTAATATGGGTAAAATATGATATGGTACTTATTTAATACTAGGAAAAACAGTTTCAATTGGTATATGATCAAAAATAGCAGATTGGCAACTCTAAAATAACTTAGATGTGGTTAAATTTTTTCATGTTTACAATAATCAATGACCGATGAACCATTCCCCAATTACAAACTTTATGTTACTCTATTTATTTCCATTTTTTTATTTTTAATGGGTGAGCAGAGGCTATATTAACCCCCCCGGGGCGATGGCGTTTTTGAAAAAAGCACATTTAAGTAGTAACTAACCAGTAAGTAACTTTTCTTTTACATTTAGTTGAACTTGTTGCCTTGAAGAGACTTTTATACAAAATAAAAATTGAATTTACTATTCGGTTTTTCGATCATTGTGGATATTTCCATAACAAGAGAGTGGAAAAATGTGTACAAATAAAAAAATTAAAAAAAACATCTAATCTCCTAATCCTTTAGTTTTTCTCGCCTTTAATTAGGCAGTTAACCCATGAATACTGATAAAAAAATATGAAAATTGTTGAACTGTCTGTATGAAGTTAATGTTTTCAGTTGGTACTAGTTCATCAATTTAGTTATAACAAAATTTGTTATTATTTACATGATGCATAATAAGAAAATGACAATACTTTTAACCCATTAACTTAACAGCTTTAATTATTATCTGTTAAATAATTGAATTTTGTTACTGCAAATTAATTCCGCAAACTCAGTGTCAAGGCCAAGAACCTTTCGTTATCTTAAGATTGATGACCTAGGAGTGAGATTCAGAGTTATCAATTTGATCTCCACATAATAA